GGGAATGGCTTCAAGCTACGGCAGGGGAGATTCAGGCTGGACATGAGGAAGTATTACTTTTCAGAAAGGGTGGTCAGGCACTGGAACGGACTGCCCAGGGAGGTGGTGGAGTCACCGACCCTGGGGGTGTTCAAGGAAAGACTGGATGTTGTATTGAGGGACATGGTTTAGTAGGAGCTATTGGGAATAGGTGAACGGTTGGACTGGATGATCTTTTAGGTCTTTTCCAACCTTGGTGATTCTATGATTCTATGATTCTATGATATTTCTCATCCTCCTTTATACTTCAGACAGGATAATTCTAAACAGAATGTAAGTTCTGCTGTTTTCCAAGACCTGTTTATTTTTGGCTGGATTCCCAAATGTGTGAGCTTTGTGACTTATTAAGAGCAAATGCATTTAGTGCTTTCTGTAGAGGTCTTGTGTAGGTGATTTGAATGTGCATGGTGCACTTCTCAAGAATTTTGAGACTAATGCCATATCAGCCTGTCTGTAAATGTAAGGATAAATATAGGTGTTTATGGCTGTTCCAACTACATTTCCATATTTCCATAGTTTCAGTAAATGTAAAAAGTGTTGAAATTCACCAGAACAAAACTTCTAGTACGAGAATATGTTTGCAGAAATCTAAATATACGACAGCTTGACACAGAAAAAAAGTAGAGGCAAAGTTTTAACACTGAGGCCCTATTTTCAGTGGCACTGGCAGCTATGAGACTTTCAGGCCTGAACTATAAGACAGGTTGCATCCTAATCTGATTTTAAAAATGGCGTACACAAGAATGTTGCAAAAATATTTGAGGAAGAGGCACAAAATCAGAAATCCTGTTTGGATAATGGATGAGTGTCAGGAGTTGGATTTGATGATCCTTCTGGATCCTTTTCAATGGGGGATTATGATTCTATGAATGAATGCTAAGTAGGTTTCTATGAAAAGCATGCTTTTGTAGAGAAGGATATTAGAATTTATGAATTCCTGTCTGCTTTTATTGGAGATGAACTGATTAATCTTTTTTTTTTTAAATTTATATGCCTTTTCTATTTAGAAACCACTGTAAACTGAGTAGTTTTTTGTTTGTTTTTTTTTTTTTTTTACTGTTCATGAGCCTTGACTCACAGTTTGGGGAAATAAATATCACCTATAGACTTTTAACAAATGTTCATTTTTGTTATTTAGAATTTGTGGTTTGAACATTGCTCACTTTTATGATTCTCTTTTATGACTGGAAGTTTTTTAGCAGCAGAATCAGCATGAAGTAATGAATAATCTTGTTTAAGGATGAAGACTTTTCTAGCCAGCCTTTGTTCTAAAAAAAATAATGAAGAAAAATAATCTGGTACAAATTATATAAAAGACCAAAGAAAAAAGAATGTAGCAGTGGTTGACTTATACTTTCACTGAGTTTTCCAGTGACTGATTTAAATTAACTATAGTTACTGCAAAAATAGCCATCAGCTATCGAAAACAATGTGAGTGTTCCTTCAGTAGCTTTAGAAATATGTTTACCTATAGAAAGAGCTTTATATGTACTAACATCCAGAGAAATAAGGCAGGTTTTTCAGAATTTGCAGACTATACTGTAACTTTGCTTTCAAAATTGTTTGAACATATTGAATCTGTAGGCTGTTTTAAGTAACAGAGTTAGAGTAGGTGTGTACTATAGCATTTATTCAAATTGTATGTAGTATTAGCTTGTAATAAACATTTAAGATTTGTATTTAATAGCATGATCAGATGAAAAATTTAAATGGAATTAAAATAAAAAAGTAAAGCTTATGGGCATTATTCGTGATTATATTTTAAACCAGAAGAAGTTATGTACATTCTAGGCTGATTAAGAAAATCTCAAATCCTGTGTTATTCAAAGTTAGGTTTAACACATAGTTGACTTCGTCATATTTGGCAATACCGAGGAAATAGAATAATAGAATCATAGAATCACTCAGGTTGGAAAAGACCTTAAAGATCATCAAGTCCAGCCATGACCTAACTAAACTACCCTAACAACCCTCCGCTAAATCATGTCCCTGAGCACCACATCCAAAAGGTTTTTAAACACATTCAGGGATGGTTACTCAACCACTTCCCCGAGGAGACTATTCCACTGCTTAAAAACCCTTTCTGTAAAGAAGTTTTCCTGATCTCCAACCTAAACTTCCCCTGGCTGAACTTAATGTCATTTCCCCTCATCCTGTCACCTGTCACCAGTGAGAAGATGCCTCATTGAGGGAAATAATAGCAAAACTGGCTAAGAAAAAAGAATAAAGACAGATGTGTCCAAGAGGAACTCTAATTAGAATACCACTTTGCCTATGTTTTCACACTTTCATTTGCTGCATGAAAGCAATCCTTTAAATAGTTGAATATGCATACATAATGAATTTCAGGGCTTAAGTTAGTATTTATCAACTTATAAAGTGAATACAAACAGAGAGTAAATTAGCAATAGTCAATGCCGCAGTGCATTTCAATGATATGTAGAAAGGTCGTATTTCCCAAATACATTACTCAGCTTTGATAGTCATGTAAGATTTTGTTTTTCCAGCTGTGGTGGTTATGAGTTTGTCAACAAGAAAGCTGCAGAAAAGTCCTAGTGGAGAAATGACCGGTTAAAATCATGTTTCCATTAAAGTATATGTATATATATATATATATATATATCTCAGGGAAGCCATTATCTGTAGGGTGTATGAGAATCAACACCTGATTTTTTCTTCTGCTGAAAACATGTGCAGTAGGCAAACTATATACTGTCACTGCTTGCTTATTCAGTACTTGGCCCTTCTGAGGTGAACTTCCATTGATTAAAGATTTTTTTTTAATTATTATTATTATTATTATTATTATTTACTTACAGAGTCAGTGACACAGAGTCTGGTTGGAAACCTATAATTAGCAGTGCTCCCCAGAGGTCGGTGCTGGGTCTGGTCTTTTACAAAGCTGGGAGGAGTGGCTGGCAACCAGAAGGACATGCAGGCATTTAACAAGATCTAGACAGACTGGAGAGTTGGGCAGAGAGAAAGCCAATGAGTTTCAACAAGAGCAATAGTAGTCTTGCATCTGGGGAAAAATAACTGCATGCATCAGTGCAGGTTAGGGCCTGACCTGGAAAGGAGCTCCGCAGAGAAGGATCTGATTGTCTTGGTGATCAGCAGGTTGGCCATGAGCCAGCAGTGTGTCCTTGTGGCTAAGAAGGCCAGTGGTATCCTGGGGTACATTAAAAAGAGCATGGTCAGCAGTTTGAGGGAAGCGATCCTCTCCCCTCTACTTTGCCCTGGTGAGGACACATCTGGAGTGCTGTTTCCAGTTCTGGGCTCCCCAGTTCTAAAGAAGACAGCGGTCTCTTTGAAAAATTTCAGCAGAGGACGACAAAGGATGATAAAGGGCCTGGAGCATATCCCATGTGAGGAAAGGCTGAAAGATCTAGGACCCTTCAGTCTTGGAGAAGGCTGAGAAGCAATCTCATCACTGTTCATAGACTCAAATGCATGGGAGTCAAGTCTGTGGGACTGGACTCTTTTCAGTGGTGAGCAACAGTAGAAGCAAGGAGCAAAAACTGGAACACAGGAAATTCCGTATTAAGGCAAGGAATACCTTCTTTACTGTCAGAGTGACAGAGCAGTGGAACAGGCTGCCCAGAGAGGTTGTGGAGTCTCCTTCTCTGGAGATGTTCAAGACCTGCCTGGATTTCTACCTGTGCAACCTGCTGGACTCAATTTCCAGAAGTCCCTTCCAGCCCCTACAATTCTGTGATATATTCCAAAACAATTTTGTAACAATCTCAGTGAAATAGTAGCTCTGAATTTCTTTGGATCTACAATTTTGAACTGTCAGACAACAAGCATAAATGCATTGCAGTTGGCACCTAAAGACAAGACAATTCATTTGAATTTTGGCTTGAAAATAATGAAACTCCTGAAACTGAAAAACCTCTTGCAACAGTACTGTCTAGGGTAGCAGCTCTGTTGAAAGGCTATAGAGCTTCACACAAACAGAAAGCTAAGCATCAATTGCATATCATGACTGTAAATAAGCCTAAAACATACTGACCTGCATAAAAAGGAGTGCAGACAGCAGACTGAGGCACAAAATTTTTCACTTTATTTGATTCAGCACTCATTAGACCATGTCTTGAATTCCCAGTATAGGAAAGATAATGGTAAACTGAAGTGTGTCAAGTAGGTGGCCACCAAGACAGTCAGAGAAGATGGTTGGGTGCCTTTTCTCTTTAAGGGCAGGTTAAGTAGCACAGGTCTTTCTTTTACTAAATTTCTAAGTAAAGATCTGATGAATGGCTTAATTCTGATAAATAGTAGACAAAATAATCCATCCCACTAACTTACTTTCTTTGGACTTCTGACTAAAGATGTTCCTTCTGAAAATGTAGTTGTTAAATAAAGATTGATCTAAATACATCCATTTCCTGGTGCTATTGTAGGTAGAAGACAAGTAATTCCCTAAACTTTGGCCATTCTATGATTCTGTCTGTGCACTCCTTGCAGTCAAAACAGTTTTCTTTTTCTCTAATTGGAAAAGAGATAAGCTTCTTCCTGATGACATGGCATTTGAGAAAGCATTCATAAGAGTCAAAATATTTCCTAATGTTAGCAACTCTAGATTCAGCTACAAGATTAGTAGCTGAATGCTTCTGAAACTTTTGAAATTAGTTCTAAGTTACTCAATAAAATAATGTGTTATAAATTTAAATCACCAAATTTCCATGCCTTTGGAAAACTGATTTTCAATGAGTCAAGGTATTCATATATCTGATCATAACATTTCTGTTAGATTTGATGAACCTTTACATATTTAAAAATTAATAATCCCGTTAAAAGAGCATTCTGATGTAGGAATTGTCTGCAGTAAATCAATGCAGTTACTGTTACGATGCAGTTACTGTTATGATTACACATATGCTTTTGCAATGAAATGCATTTTCTTTTTAAAGTCTGCAAATTGTGGAGATATAAGATGGTAACTTATTTTTTTTCTTTGTCAGCTGAACCAGTTGATGTGCTAAAAGTATTAGAATTTCATAATTCACCAGAAGGAGTATCAAGAACAGCAGGATTTTGCACTAACAGAAGAGATTCAAAAGGCTCAGATGTTGCCTACAGAGTTTCAAAAACTGCACAGCTCAGTGCCCCAACAAAGCAATTGTACCCAGGTAAGATTATCAGAAAGCTATTACTTTGTTAAATTATCTTACTGCCTGTCCATTTACGGTATCTAAAAATGCAGCATGTAGTCCATTGTCAGTACCACAAAATAATTCTGTTATCCCTAGAAGTGTGACTGCACACAAATGACAGGATGTGCTCTTAATCCATGGAATGAAGATGTTTTTATTGGTTTCAGTGATAAAGCTTTTCAAATTCTGCATCACCAGTAGAACAAGTCTGTAAGCCATGTTACTCAGTTTTTCCATGATTTTATCTGAAGGAAAGCTTATTTGGTGGCTTTGGCATGCTTCCTCTAGATTCAGTAGAGCATTTAAAAGCAATTCTTTTTATGCTGGTAGAAATGAGTTGTGATTGGCCATTGCAATAAGTTATTTAAGAGTATCTGAGTATTTGGAGGACTAAACAAGGCTAGTTGTGGACAGCAAGTAATGTGATTCCATCTTCTCTCAAATTTCTCTAAAACGAAATAATCACATTTTGGAAGAAAATAATTGTACGTTGAAGAAAGGCTTTTACTCCATTAGTTTGCTTTCACTCTTCATTTGACCCAAACATATTGAGGAAAATGATTATAAGGATATTAAAAGAAATCCTGAAACCTTTAATTTTCCTACTTTGATACATCACATACAGTTTGATTAAGTGCCTCTATAAACACAGTTGTGAGCAAAGAAAATACCTTTTATCTCTTTTGAAGGTTCAGTCATATAGACATCAGCAAAGATAAAATGGTCAAATATTTATTTTTTTCTAGCAATAATGCATTCCTACAGTAATATGGGAAACAACTACAAACAGTTCAAGCATATCTTGCATGTTCGTTTTAATTATCAATTCACTTTTTTTTTTTTTTTTTGGTAGAAAATCAAAGTAAAATTCACTAGAAAGATAGAATTTGTTAATTTTTAAAACATTTCAACAAAGTTACATGTAGTTAACAGAGCTCACCACTTAAAAATACTATTCACTGAATGGCACTTGACAATTTACAATGCCTTACTGATATCGGTATGATTGTGTGTAGTTGTTATTTCAAGTAAGTAAGGGTGTCAGAATGGAGATTAGTCTTTCTTTAAAAGGTGCAAAATGATCCATTATACTGAAAAATTGCAGAAGCTGCACTGTGTAATTGTCATCCTTATGAGCTTTACAATGTGTATCCTTGAAGCCAAGTGCTGTGAGAAAAAAACTTTAAATGTTCATTTAAATACAACTGGACAGATTAAACTGACTTTGACTCATTGATGTTTAAAGGAGTTTAGAACAGCACAGGCACTTTGTGCTGAATGAAAACCTGAGTCTCAGACAGCTTGGGTTGTCTTGCACTTGCTCATGAATGATATCGTAGCATGAAGAGGTGATCTGGCAGCTTCACTAATAACTGTTCACTTGATTCTTACTTGAATGCCAGAACAAATATTTACCTCATGTTGTTGGCTGACTTGTAAATTTCTATAGCCTTTGACAGCCTTAACTTAAGTATTCCTCTTCTTATTGCTTTCAGTTTATGCATTACAACTTGGATGAGTTTGCTTGATTTCAATGGCTTGTTGCAACATTTGTGTGTGCAAGAAGTAAATAAAAAGCACAGATCACTGATAATGTGAAAAGAAACTACCACAAAACTTTGCTTAATACAAGAAAATGTCATGCTACCTTCTACTTCAGTAAAGAGCCTAGAAACAATTTTTAGGAAGTGATTATGACAATTGCTTCCTTTTAAGTCCTGCAAGACAGACATCCTCTCCCCACCACAAGAAATCCTTCATTTTCAAAGAATATTCTTATAGATATTTGGATGTGTCTGTCCCTTTTTCTTAGCATGAAATTTCTTCGTTTCTTTCTTAATGATAGTGAAAAGACAACATGTGAAAACCAAGGTTGAGTTGTGAGATGCCATTTTAGCTAAACAAAATGAGTTGTAATCCATCCTATGCTTACTTCCACCTAATTCCTATAACTCATCAGAGAGTATAGGTTAGCTTCTAGCTTCTAGGGAACTAATGATAAAAGCTGAGAGCATCAATAAATTCATCATTTAAAAATAGAGCTAATAATATTCACCAACCAGAGAACAACAGACACTGATTTCACTAATTGGAAGGCATTCTACAATTGTAAAAGTAACTGTTGAGAATTTTGTCGTACTGATTATTTGTCAGTTATTCAATATCTTTTACAAAAGAGTATATAAATGACAGGAATGTACATCCAGAAATACCCAAAGATTTTTTTTAGCAATTTTCCTCCAATTTTTTTTGTATTATTTTTTGTATTGTCCAAATAGAACATGAATAACCAAGAAATTTAGTAGTTTAGAAGGCTTTGATATCTGTTCCAGTTGAATGTCCAAAACCTATATATGCATAAACTTTAACATTCATTTTCTGTTAGAAAGTTATTTATTTTTTGAATTTTAAGATGAACAGTGCAGGAATATTACTTATATTCACACAATGTATGTGCAAAATCTGGAAATATTATGTCACTGCAGTGATAACGGGAACTACTGAACAAAGTAAGAGTCATCTTTAGTTATCTTTCTGATAAAACTCATAAGTTCTTTTGATAGGATATAACCCGAATGAAGAGCACATGCCCAGAATAGATGTACACATCACCTGCCTTAAGCATTTTCTCATCAGTTTTTAAAATTATTTTTAATGATTTAAAAAGTTAAGTTGTACATGTTAAGAATTAAAGCAAGACCACAGTTACAAAAGAGAGCAAACATTTTCTTATGGTAGTTTTCTCTATATTCATTTTGGAGAATAAACAAATAAAAAAACAGATTATATATAGGATCCTCTTAGAAAAAAAATTAAACGACCAAAGGGTAGTTACAGAATTTGTAACAGTATACTTTGTTCTCTTTGCAGATGGAGATTTTCCAGAAGATTTTTCAATATTGATGACAGTAAAACCTAAAAAGGGCATTCAGTCCTTCCTTCTGTCTGTCTACAATGAACAAGGAATTCAACAAATAGGTGTTGAAGTTGGAAGATCCCCTGTCTTCCTCTTTGAAGACCAAAATGGAAAGCCTGCCCCAGAAGACTATCCTCTTTTCAGAACAGTCAACATTGCTGATGGCAAGTAAGTGCAAAATTTTAAGGTGGAAAAAAAAAATAAAATCACAGAACATCATATAATGGTCTTTCCAAATAGGTACTGCAAGTAATTAACTAATTATGAACAATTTCCATATAGTTGAACTGCTGTGGTACAAAATCAGAGGAGCTTTGAAACAGAACACAACTCCAGCCTGAAATGGAGTACAGAGCCACCAATAAAACCAAACTTCTCTATTTCTATGAATTATGAGGAATTCATAGTGAGGAATTAGTGAGTGAGGAAATAGCCATGGAAGGTAAAAGTAAACTAAAGAAGACTCTTGCCGTTTTTTCAGAAGACTGAAATAATAGTCTCACTTTAAGGGTCATCTACTCCATTTGAAGGTGATATGAAAACTGAAAGTAAATTGACATGAGAATGCATACTTTTTCCTATCCTGAGCTAAAACAATGGATGAATAAGATCTTGTGATATGCCTGTGTATAAGGAAATTAGGGAAAAGTCAGATGGATAATTAATTTGAAATGTTGCAAGGATTCACACTTCATCGTTATTAAAGGGAATTAATTTCAAACACTTAATGCATTCTAACTACAGGTGTTAATGCTTTATACTCTAACTTCCCTTTGAAGACAAGCAGTTGTTTCCAGGAATGCCATTCTAGTGCTTTTTGCATTTGTTATTGTTTCTTTTGAAGACATATATCCTTTCAGAGAATTAATACTTATTGTGCCACAGTTCAAGAAAAGCTGCCACAAGCATCAGAAATGCACAAGATGGAATATGATTACATCTTTTTGTTTAATAAACAGATTGGTAGAGAAAAGGTGACAAGTAAATTCAATTACAATGATATGTTAGTAAATTAATACAAAGATAAAGGAAATATTTTTGAAAAGTAATTACCAATTATTATGGCCTGAGTTGCCACACAATGAAATTTTACCATGAAACCTGAACATGGATCTCAGAATTTCACCTAAAATCTTTAGAATCTAATAAAAAGAAAAATCAAAATGAGAATAGTTTGGTACAATTTTCTGCAGTGGGCATATAAAACTTCTAAGCCAACTGGAGTCAGTCACATAGTGAGCTATTTTTTCCATTCATTCAGCTTTTGCATGCTTTCAAAAATGGACCAAAATTTTCATTCTGATTCAGCTCTTTTAGGAAGGATCTAGGGCAGCCGCCTTCATCTCAAAATGAAATATATTGAAGAAGTGTAAACAGTGTAATATGCCTGAGGATTCGTGGACAGTTTGCTTTTATAATGATAATATTTAACTGTGATCCAGAGCAAACATGAGTGAGCTCTGGCTCACTGATACTGTCAGATTCCAGATACCAGTCAGATTCCAATAGCCTTGAGGTGTCTCCCTTTGTATACAGCAGCTCATTGTCTAAGTTGTCTCACTGAAACAGACAGCCTCAACACTTTTTGCATCAAAAATGCTTTTTTTTTTTTTTTTTCCACATTAAATTATAAAGTGCCTTACTCTTAGGTATTTAAATAGTCATAGCAGGGAGACTGGCTAATTAATATGCTCTGCCATTCGAATGTCATAAAGAACATAGTACAATTGGGCAAATTCTTAAAAATGTACCTATATGTCTTTTAAATACGTGTCAATATTCTGAACTGCTTCACTTTTTTGGTGAAGCTTTATGTAGAGGAAGCTATTTTTGCAGGAATATTGGCAATCATTTCCAGTAGTTGTAGCTGGAAAAACTACTATGTTGGAACAGAAAGGCAAAAGAATGTTATAAAATTTTTGGGATTGATCATCAAGAACAGATAGTAAAACATAGTAGCTAAGAGCTACTCTGAACGAGCCTTTTGCATGAGTCATTTAAGTAATTTAGAAAATCAAATTAGCCTACTCTGATAAAATGTAAACAGTGCACTTCTAATTTAAGTTCACTGGGCAAAAGCTTCAGAGAATTTCATCTAACATAGGATCATGACCTAATATGGGCTCTGGATCAGATTCCTTTGTACAAAAGAACCTAAGTTACACAGTGGATAGACAAAACACAATACATTTGCACATATGTGAAGGAAATAGACATTTAACATTTTAGGTACAACATTTTATCAGTGCACTACGTGTAGTAAGCTGCTTTGATATAAATACATTGACATACTCTTCAAAACAGGAGTTAGAGTAGAATTATGTTTTAATAGGTGGCATCGAGTAGCCATTAGTGTGGAGAAGAAAAGTGTTACAATGATTGTTGACTGCAACAAAAAAACGACAAAACCACTGGAGAGAAGTGACAAACCAATTGTGGACACGAATGGCATCACTGTCTTTGGAACCAGGATTCTGGATGAAGAAGTATTTGAGGTAAAAAAAATCAATATTCAATTCCATTTGTTTTCTAATCTACTTTTAAGAAAATTGAGCTATTTAGTTTTGAGAAAAGGATTTAATTCAGATTAGAATGATTTTTATATGGGAAAAGTTGATAAAATGTTGAAACTCATTTATGAGCATGTTAGAATAGGTTGAGATGAAAAACAAGAGAAACAGAAGTGTCTCTATTGTTAGAAGTTACAGTGCATTTCTCTGTTCTTCAGCTGAAATGGTTTCTGGAAAGGGCTTGCTTTTATTGTATTCCTGCCTACTATTGAGATACCTGAAATATTTGTGAGAATTTCTGGCAAAGCTGAGTATTCTGATAAAATTAGATGATATTATTTCAGTTCTGCCTCTCCTAAGCAGTTACTGATATTTGTGCAGGTTAACAGTGTTTGAGAGATGGGTGGAAAGACCTGGAAAGTTTTCTACATAACGTGGATCTCTTACATTGCTTATCCCACTTATTAATCTTTCCAGTAACTGGAACATACTTTGGCAATAAGGACGTATATGTTTCCATCATTTACTGGCCAAGAAATACATATAGGAAGGGTAAAATGCCTCTAAGGAAGTATGTGGCTGCCAATCATGAGGCCTTTTCAGGTAGAATTCTTATGTCAACGATTATTTTTGTGGGCTAATAATGCAGCTTCTCTAAGTCTGCACTGTAGAGTTTCTTTTATAATGCACTTATGCAACTGTGAAAACTGTCAAGTGCAAATTAAAACTGAACAATAAGAAAATACAGATCAGTAGTTAACTTTGTTCATGTACTGAACATCTGTGCTGCTTAAACAGCCAGAGAATAAGTCCTAGCTTTAAGTAGCATGCATGCTTAAGAAGTTGCATATATGATGCAAAAGAAAATGTTAATTTTAAGTGTAACATTGTGACATTGTTTCCTTCAGACATACTTTATATGACAAAACATTGAGCATTCTGATTTGGAGAATTTCTGGGCTGACTTAGTGGGTCAATTGTTATGGTACACATCTTGTATTTACAGCCTAATTTATCTGGAGTCACTAGTAAAGTTTGCACATCACTTTCCTTTTAAAGTTGAAGAAATTCCAAAAGTAACTACTACATTTTTTCTTGAATTGAAACTTATGTGTATAGTCAACTTGCAACAATCTGTGGCAGTGACTTAAATACAAATACTTTTCTCCAAGGGATTTTTTGTCTGAGATTGTATGTGATCAAGAGTAATAAAGGAAGCTAGTGATCCTCTAAAATTTTTACTTATCATCTTCCACACTGACTTGAAAAATCCATCCATTCCATTTAAGACCCACTAAGAAATAAACCGGCTTTGGACTCGCACCATAAATAGTGCCGTGTACAGTAATTCTGGTTTACCAGCTGAATCTCAGTATTCAACGCTGAGAACAGCAACATGCCTGCCATTTGCAACATCACTGTAGATTTCCATTCTCCTTCCTAGTTAGGTTTGCTTATATACTTGATTGCACCCATTTTCTCAGATAAACCAGTTACATTCTTGCTGTCCTTGTAGATGCTGGAGGTTAAGATTTGGTCTGAAGTTTCTTACTTACTTACTGCTTAAAATAGCAGTTTACAGTTATTTCTTTTGTGATATTTTACTGCAGAGACAGAATTAGTATATTTATACAAACGTTCACAGTTATTTGAATCTTTAGCTAGAAAAGTATGCATTGAAAGTACGCACTTGAAACATCCCTCAACATAAAAACAAAATGCTGTGTCATATACAGTTTTACTGATACGTGTTCTTCAACTGTTGGCAAAGCAGAATATAACCTAGTTCTTTCTGAGCTCACCATGTTTTTCTGCTTCCTACACAAATAGTACTCCTTTGTTTCATCAACATGACTTTATCCACCCCTCTAAGTTTCTGAAGTTTGGAGATCTCTTCTGCAATCTGTTTCCTTCTTGAGTCTCCTAGTTGTGTCATAAATGCTCTATTTAGCTCATTCATAATAACAATAGCAGCACAGGATGATGTCTGGTGGTTCCGTGGACCTGCTTGTTGGTATTTCTGTGTTGTGAACCCTGCTGTATCTCAAGGCCAGATCAGACACTGAATAAACATGAAAAAAGCTACGTCTCATCATACTTGCAGGAAATTATGAAATTAGTTTATTCAGCAGTGACATTAGATTTAAGTGTTTAAGACTTATAACTGCATAGGACAGACATTCCGCATGGCATTTGATGCCTATATTAGCTTAAGTGCAGCAACTACATAAAAAAGAAATAAGCATTCAGTCACCCGTTGGAATTCGTAGCTCAGAATGTCAGGTTTACACTAAAACAGAGAGACTGTTTTATCTTGAGTAATAATGTTTTGGGTTTTTGTTTTTTATGTTTTTTTTTTGTTTGTTTGTTTTTTCTTTTTTTTTTTTGTCATACCAAGGATTTGATCACAGGAACTGTGTAATACCCTTCGGTCTCTTAAAACTGAATGGAAATTCAAAATGTTTACACAATGGACCTGTAAATAAATAATGTAATCTTAGACTTCAGTGACCTACTAGTATAAGATGCAAGGAAGGGTTTCTTCTGTTCCTGAACCCCATTCATACAGTATTGTACAACTGCAGGAAAAAGTAGTTACATCATTAAGCGAATTAGCTCTCTTTGTAAGCACTTCAGTGTAGTCAGAATCAGTGCTGTAACCAATTACATACATCATACGTTCCTGTTTCCTTAGAGAGTATATCTAAATTGCTTTCAATCCTTGAATACGTGCATGAGTCAGAAGCTAATATCACCTAATATTACCATTAACTTGATTGTATTTTCTAATTTGATTGCATTTTTGGGAAAAATAATTACATCTTCCAGGGGAGGCTGGAAGAAATTGATCAGATGTTGGTACATGGCACCTAGTTAAAAATTATTAAGTTATTTTACTATGTCCATTGAAGTATGTTTATGGCTTAAATAGTTGATAAAAAGCAGGAATCTTTTTATTCTTTGCCAGCTTAAAGGATTTGTCACTCCTCATTTAGCACTATTGGTGCGAACAATACAACATGTGTTTTATAATAAGTTACTAACTAACACAGTCATTATGCAGATGTTTCCCTAAAGGGACTTTCTCCTTCAAAACTCCCCAGGTGTCAGACTGATACAAAGAATATTTTAGGTATCATACTGTAAATGAGTATAACAAGCTAAAACCTGATGTATATAAAACTCTTATTTAAAAGTCATGAAAATTTTAACTACACACAGTCTACAGGACTAAATACTTGCTCTATTCCTTAATAAAGGGTGTTGATTTTGATGCTAGGCATTCACCTGATTTCTTAGAAAAAGCACGTTTATATACATCTGTACAGCAAAAGAGTCCTTTCACAAACTGAGCAAGCATTTGAAGGCACAGTGATAGTACCTTGACAAAGTGATTGAACTTACAGGCCCTTTCAGATAAGCAACTATCCTTTGCATGTTTCTAAGAATGGCAAGTCCAAGTACACAAGAGAAGACCATTCATCAGTGTACAGTAGGTAGCAGTGGAAGGATGAATAGTTTTAACTAGCTGACCAAACTTGCTGTACAGCTCAAGTAGAGTGGAGAAGCTAGCCCTGAGTAAAATAAAAAAAAAAAGAGAGTCAGTGTCTCCTGTTTTACACTGGCCTGCTGGGCTGCACTTCCAGCTAGTGTAGACATAGCCAAAGTGATTCTCATGTTGCAATTATTAAAAGTGATGCAAGTAACCAACTAAATGCTTAATGTCAGTCAGACAGAACAGTAATTTTCAACATAAGTGGATCAAAAAATGCAATCACTTCCAGGCAGAATTATTTAGAAGCAACCTTCCAGCTATCAACACCAGAGAACTGGCCAACTTTCTATACTGGGCCAAAAAGCAAAGCAGTAGCAAAAAAGCAGAGCAACAGGTTTTTCCATTTCAGGGGCATTTAATAATAATAGTAAAAAAAAGTGTTTTCTCCAAAAACTTATTTTTTAGCTCATTTGTTTTCGCTTGTTTATTCGTCTTTTTCCTTCTCTGAAGAAATGGTGACTTAGTGATTTTTCTTAATAGTTTTTCCAATCTTAAACACATGAGCAAGAAAAGCAATTTTGTCTTCCTTATTTCTGAAAGCAGATCTGAGGGAGTTCAAATTCCTTTTCAAGATGTTCCCAACAAGCAAAGAAATTGTCATTTAACTGAATTGTTTGTAATTAGCTTTAACGTTAAAAAGATGGGTTCAAAAAGTGAACAGCTGTAAATAAGGTTTTAAAAATGAAGGACAACCTAAAAGATTAGCAGATCTTTCCTCCAGAAGATAGGATGTCCTTTCCAAATCTTCAGACACATTTTTCCTTTTTCTTGTTGAGAGAGTATATCTGTATAGCATTAAGCAATGGTCACATACTGTGTGTGTGTGTGTGTGTGTGTGTGTGTGTGTGTGTGTGTGTGTGTGTGTGTGTTACATACACGTGCTTTATATACAGGCATAACAATTTCTCAGCCAAAAGTTGCGGTAGCCTTTGATCTGTGAATATCTATGTTTTGAAGGTTAAAAATTACGAACTAACATATAAACCCTTCCCTTAACTTAGCTGAATATATATTACTGTAACTATAGGCTTTCTAAGAATCAGGAAGACACTGATTTCTATGGAAACTTTGGCCAGTAAAGAATTCTTCTTTCACAGTGTATTGCTTTTACAGTGCTGCAGCCTGGCAGACTCTCAATGTCTTTCTCTAGATATATCATGAAATGGGCCTGGATTATGGAATATTATATAAAAGGCACCTGGAATTCTTCAATCTTTCAAATCTTTGGAAGATTAAATGAATTCTGCAGCAGGTTTCCTAACTTCAGTAGCAATAATATCCAGGTTGTCTAGACTTCTGTTCTTTTTAGTCTGTAGTTGAACTGTCACTTAACTAATTAAAGGAATTTGTCATATACACACAGGTTAGGGTTTTTATTCACTTACTGAATAGTTCACCCTGGAATTCCTTGGTTTTAGCCATTATATGAAAAAGAAACATATTGATGATGTTCTCTTCAGCCTATCACTGGTTTTGTTATATACTTATCTCCGTTTACCTAGTCATATTTAAAAGTTAATTATCTATATAAACATGTTTTCCTCAGAATATTACTCTGAAGTATATGGCTTTGTTAATAAGTGAGGAGTCTTTCTAATATTTTTATATCTAAATTAGACATTGAAGTAATTCCTTCATTACATACTTGTCATAATGAAATAATCCTAGAAAGCCCATTATTTTACAGTATGAAACTGCAGCTTGAGTTCTCAGCTCAGGTGCAGTCACACTGTTATGTAGAGCGCTACTCGTACAACCACAAAGTGGACGAGCTTTTAAAAATTATGAAAAAAGTTTTCAATCATTTGCGAAGTTTACCCCTGTAGACCCAGCAGGGAAGGTCCTGTAGAGCCTCCTAAGGGGCACGTACTTGATATTCCTTGGAAAAAGTTTACTTTCACTCTGCAGAGTTATTTTAAGCTTCTTGAGAAAGAGATATGACCGACATCTGTCCGTAAAACTGAGCTGTCTGAGGTTCTTTTAGAACTGTAAAAATGTAGACTGCAAAAATTTTAATACTGGGGGAGAAAAAAAACACTAGATTTAGCTTTACTTTTTTCATATAGCATGATTCCCTTTACAGTATTGTTAAAAAGACAAACGTATAATTTATTTATTTATTTTAAACAAAGCTGGTTGGATTGGAGATTTTTTTTAAACAAAAGATAGTTGGCAGATTACCTTATGGCTGTACTTCTGTAATGTACCATGTTTAGAAAGCACAAGTAATATCACTTAGTTTAAAGAAAAAAGAATTTGCCTCAATGTTTCAATACAACATAATATTTAAGATTTTTTGATAAGATTTTGACATAATTAAGATAATATGGAGCCATAAGCACTTTTTGCTTATAATGATATATAATATTTGTTCCTTATATCTGAGGCCCTCAATGATTTACATTGAGAAAAACCAGACACGGTAACTAATTCAGTGTTTTCCTTATTCTGCTATTTCTGTAGAAACTAGCAGAAGTTCTGATAAGTTAGAATCAAATACAGAGATTACAATCATGAAACTAACTAAAGCAGAAATTACAGCAAGAGAAATTTAGCCCTTCAAACTGGGAAGAGAACTTGGCAGTCTATTGCTTTCCTACAGACTGTGTCTCCATTTCATTTTGTATTAGACAATTTGGTATTTTTTTGTGTTTTCAAGTCTGAAGAAGCTATGGATTATATTACTACTCAGTGAGGTGTGCCTTTTCAACCACATCTAGAAACACAAATACACAAACCTTATTCTGCAGTATCAGTGTAGAGCGCCTGAGATTCACAGAGGAATTTTCAGCAACTGAATTAATCACACGCTTCCTATTCTAAGCTAAGCTGTTTCTCGTCATAGAAAAACAAATCTGAATAAGTGTCCCACTGTTCCAGTAGGCAGACATTCAACTAATTTGAATGTATTCTATCTCTGTAGCTCTTTAGTCTTGTTCTTCACAATTACTTTGGCATGCTATAAAGACACTCTAAAAAAGCAAACATTTCCTCACATCTAATTAACTCCTTTTAACAGTCTTGGAGAATTTTGCAGAGTAGCTTGTTTGATACAGTCCCCTTTAGAGTAATGCCACAGAAGTAATCCTTCTGTATCATGTTTGCATGCTAGGCATAACTGATGGGCAAGTTATTTTATGATTCTCTGGCAGCTTATTTCATATAACCATGAGGCTGATTCAAAAGCCTGTGATTTTAGTTATGTGCACATTCCCAAAGCAGGGGAGCTGAAACATTCATAGACTTTAATTATTTATTTTCCATATCTTAATGGACTACTCAATTAGGCACTGGGTTGTACTGTTTTTATTCTTAATTTATTCTTTATTCTTTCACTTAAGTATTTATTATCCAAATAAAATGTCTTCAAATTAACCCATTTTGGTTACAAAAGGTGCTTGTATACTTACTATATTACTATTATTATGCTTAAATATTTTGCTAAACCTTCTCCTGTATCTATGAGCAATTACAGCAGAGATCTCAGCTTTTTCATGTCCATTATGCAACTATCTGATAAACAGTGCATAAGATACATTAACTATTTTCTAGGATTAAAAATATATTATGTTTTAAGGCAGCACATACTGAGAGCTAAATAGGCTAGCAGCACTTTTCTGGACAAACTGAATTACACACATCGTTACAAGTGGTAACACGGAAACATTGCTGTGTGTAATTTTCTGATACCCCACCACAAGTTGCCTACTTCCGCCTTCTACTACCATCTGCTTATCACTGACATCAAAATATGGTGGAAATTCAGATAGCACCTCAATTCCCATTGTGCATAGTAAGTGCAGGTTCAGTATCTTACACTCACGCAAGTTATTCTCAAAAGAATCAGTAACTTTACTGTGTTTGGGAACCATAGAATCACTCAGGTTGTAAAAAACCTGAAAGATCATTGAGTTCATCCAAGACGTAACAATACTACCCTAACTGTAACAACCTTCCACTAAATCATGACCCTGAGTACCACATCCAAATGGTTTTGAAACACATCCAGGGATGGTGACTCAACCACCTCCCTGAGGAGCCTGTTCCAGTGCTCAACAACCCTTTCCATAATTTTTTTCCTGATATCCAACCTAAACTTCCCCTGGTGCAACTTGAGGCCATTTCCCCTTGTCCTGTCACCAGTGAAAAGAAACCAACCCGCTCTCGCTGTAAGCACTGTTCAGATATTGGAAGAGAGTAATAAGATCTCCCCCTCAGCCTCCTCTTCCCCAGACAAAACAGCCCCAGTTCCCTCAGCCTCTCACCGTAGGGTCTATTCTCCAAGCCCTACACAGGCCTTGTTGTCCTTTTTCTTTGGACCTTCTCCAGCACCTCAATGTCCTTTCTGTACTGAGGTGAAATTAGCTTCCTCTGCTTATTTCAATATACTTCACTTGGATTTGTTAAAACTTAGTGAAAAATACAAAGGAATTTGAAAGTCTTGTCTCACTATATTATGTTACATCTAACTGATAAGTATTTTTTCTTTTTATAAATTAGATCGTAATAGATTGTTTCTGATGATAGAATTTTGATTTACTCAACCGAGCTCATTGCAGTGGATTTTTTTTTTCAGTACACACATGCTGTCAGCTTGTGTGTCATTACATGACACGTGTTAGAAGCTGGGGAGATTTCCTTTTCTGGGAAGGCCCATGATGAGGGAGTGTAGGAAACTGATTGAGCGGCCCTGCCCAGCAAAGGTTGCCATTACAGTTTTGTGGGAAAGGAAATGGAACTAATCTATAGAGACAGCTACCTTTTGTGCACTTTTTTTTTCTTCATACACTTTTCAGAGTACTGTTAGGTTCTTTAAGGATGCTCAGGTGTAATTTATTCTCTTATGCTTTTTCCCATTTCTGTTTTCCCTCTCTTACAATCATAATTCAAGTGAGACTTCCTTTCATCCTGCAAGTTTTTATATAGGAATAACATTATGCCTACATGCATATATATTTAGATATCTCAGTGTTAAGTTACAGGTTAACAATCAGTATTGTTATTAACTCATATTTCCATTTATATATATTTTCATTTAAAGTTGTTGGACTTATGCAGGTAGATCATTAAGTGCCCCAAATTCATGAGTCTAGGCCTTAGAGTATAGCCAGATTAAATATCTGTGGTTTCTGCACAAACAACTATAACATTCCATCTTGGAGTCAAAATTTCAAAAGGTTGAATTGAAGGACACACTTTAAGACTGAAATAATTCTGTGAAAAATTCTCAAAGAGAAAGTGTGTGGAATTGTCAAAAATTGGTGTGACTACATCATGACTAAGTCACAATAGTGAAATCTGCAGTAATTTGTGGAATTGTGTGCTGAGATGTTTCAGTCAATCTGAAATGAAAGTTCTTTGTTAACTAGAGAAAGAACATTGTCAACGCATCACATAAATACTGAAAGAAGCTATTGAATTAGCAAAGGCAAGAAAATGAAGGCAAAATAATTTATAAGAAAAACAGTATTTTTGTATGAGACGTTGAAGGAAAAAGAGGAAAATTAACATTTGAGATGCAAAATGGAAAATAAATTAGTTTCTCTGTAAACCTATCACACATGAATGGCCAGTAGCATTTTGCGTATATTGTGCAAGAGTTCTGAGAGCCTCCTTCTATATGAATCCAGGACAAGTGGACAGGCAGGGCTGAGAAGTACAGTTAGTGGATTGGGAACAGCTTTTAGCAATTAGGGACATCTAAGCCAAGTGGTAACAGCATGCTGAGTGCTTCTTGCAAACACACATCCAACAAGAACAAGTGCCAAAATTCCATGGCATTCAAGATCAGCACAAAGCAAGCTTCCAACAGAATGCTAGCCATCTTCCCCCAGTTGGGTTCTCTAAGCTCATTGTAATAAAAAGACAGCAGTTTTAAGAGCAGTTCTTACACTACTTACATGGCTGGCACACCATGTACTCTTTATTGATCTATATGGACAACTGAGAAAGCCATGTATGAGCACATATGAGGAAGACAATACTCTGAACTCAGCAGAGGACAGGAGCTGATAGCAACTTACTCTAATTCTTGTTCAAAGATTTATCTCTTTTGTCTTTCAGTTGCTAATTTTTTCTAACTTATTCCACTGCTTCTCTTAGCTTTAATTTGGCTACTGAAAGAAGGGCAGAGCACTTTAGAAACACCCTGTGGTAGAGAAAAGGAATGCATAAGAAGGCCGACACTGACTGTACAAAACTGTTCAAAGTACCCAGTTGTATCCCTGAAGGAGTTACATATATAATCAACTGGATAATTTCTCTGGAAGTACAGCAGGGTATGTAGGTCAGTGTCCAAATAAGGAAGCATCAGATGAGGAAAAAAAAAAAGGGACAGTTCAAAACCACTGATTGAAGCAGACTACTGCACTATAGCATTTCTAGAAGCTTAAAAAAGTACATTCCAGCTCTAAATTCATCTGAGATACAAGTAAGTCTGTAAAGAAGTTGACACTATTGTAACAATCAGATTTGTAATATATAGCTGCTATATGCTAAGCAATTAAATATTTCATATTTCATGTTAAATATGTTGGTAAATTATTATAGAATTAGGAAAAGGAGAGGATTTTGAGTATTTCAGTTAGTGGTTTGTTTGCTAGTTTCTTAATTTCTCTTTTGGAAAAGAAGGAGGATTCGGAACTATTCTATACTATCTGAAACTATTCCCCAAGTTTTATTATTTGTTGAAGGCTACTATTCTGAAATGCTTAAAGCAATTTTGGAAACATTGAGGTGATTGCAAATTTTCTTAGTTCCTAGTTCACCACTTACAATAATTTCTCTGCATGAAACAACTATGCATGCAGAGGTATACAGACAAAGTTATTCCTTTACCCTCTCACTGGTAAAACCAAAAGTAATGTTAGAAATACATAAAAGGATAAAAAAAAACCCTTCCTTCTGTGGAAATTCAGTGGGCAGTTGAAGTTAATGGGCTTTGACCTAGAACATGTGCCAATTTTCAACAACCTTATTTTTATGACAGCATGAGAAGCTCCTGAATGAGGAAACTCATAATAGAAATGTTTGGAATTTACTAAACACTGCAACATAACTACTGTTATGTTGAGAAATACACTGAATATCAGCCAGCTTTCTGTAGAAAATGATAAACATACATGATGACTGTAGGGGATCTCAAAGAGATTTTTATTATCCAGAATAGTATGTCTCTTTAGTGCAATGTTGTTTTTATACGTGATATATAAAGTTTGTTTCCATATATTCTATACTGTGTATTCACATAGTGTTTGTCTATTTGTTTTTTATTCCAAGAAGTGTTCCTCTTGTGCAACCCATTTTATTGTTTTCCTTCTTGTCAAGAGTTCAGATGTGATGCAAACTCTCACAATTATACTGTCGATCACTTGCATGCTGAGCTGCATGCTGGTAGTAGGAAGTGCCCTGAATTAAATCTTAGGAATTTAGACTGGTTCCCAGTGAAAAAGTAAACAACAGCATGAAAATGACAAAGCAGGAGTTATACCTTCCCACCCTCTCCTTTCAAAGGCAGACAGTGTGTTCAGCCAGAATTTCACACCTAACCATTTGTCTTGTGAAAAATAGTTAAGATGCCATTTGGAAGCAGAAATGAAGTAGATATGTTATATTTACATATGTGATAACATGCAATATCTAATATATATACTCTATGCCTTGTTCTGTTTTTTAAATGAGAGCTTTTGATGAGTGTTAAATAATGGAAACAAATGTTGCCTAACCTACATATGCTTTCCTACAGGGTGAGATCCAGCAGTTGTTGATCATAGCTGACCCTAGAGCTGCATATGACTATTGCGAGCATTATAGTCCAGACTGCGATTCCCCAGTGCCTAATGCTGCTCAGGCTCAAGATCCTCAGGTTGATGAGGTGAGTAATCAGTCATGTATGAAAAGATTTATTGCACATTAGTGGTTGTGCTGAATACAAGTTACCCAGGGAGCATTTAATTACAGCTAAATGGCGTACTTTGTTCTAGACATGAGGAAGAAAGGTTGCAGGAGTGCATTAGTTTTTTCTATGCAATCATTTATGTCAAGTATTTGAAGGCAGCTATCACACTGGTATGTGAATAGCCAACATTCTCAATAGCATTAAACTAATTATTTAAAATGAGATAGCAATTTGTGCTCAGTTGTATCTGTTTTTTCCTCCTACGTACATTTATGATTTCAGTGATGCTGAGTACCTTCAAATGTCACATTTAAAAAGAGATGGGAGATCTGAGTAAGTTGGAGTCAAGAAATTCTTCTGCTAGAAATGTCATATTCTAATAAGATGTGGCCACAAAATTATTTTAGCCAGATCCACTGGTAGCAGCTAATAACATCAACAGGAATAAAATTGATGTTGGCATTTTCCTCAGAAATATGAAAATCATTCAGAAACCATTTGCCACTGTAGACAGTTCTCACAACTGTATGTTAATCAATTCACTAATAGCAAGACAGCCTCTCAGATTAGACCTCTGAGAGTCAGCAGCTGTATGCATTGTCATACATATTCCAAATACTTGTAATAGAATTGTTCTCATACTTTCACTATGAGGTGGAAATCTTTTGTAAAAGGTGGTTTTTATGTCTTAATTGAACTTGGCTCTGGACAGTTAGTATGCTCTCAGTTAACTATGTGTGACCTGAGTGACTATTCTTGCCAACTGCTCAAGAAACCAGCATTTAAAAGTTATTGAATTGTTCTCAGATACATGCTTTGAGCTAATTTTGGGACAGAAATTTTCCTTAATGAACAATAACTTTATTTACTGTTACTATTTATTGTGTCTGATTGAAAATTATGTTATGAAGTACACAGATCCATGGGTTCAAGAACTTGGTTTAAAGGGGCTCTGTAAGGATAGGCAGTAATAGACATAGCTGCTTTAAACTCATTTTGGATCAACTAAGAAACACAGTGGTTATAATCCAGTAATAAAGAAGGAAACACTTACCCCCTACCTAAGGATCAGAACTCGCTGAACACTCCAAAAGAGACAAGCAGAGATGCTTCCCTTACAGCTGCCAGCCCTTAAAAGAGGTTTGGGAGGGGTAGACCATTCCAGTCACACAGGTGATTTGCTTCCACCTGTGCTCCCTGGTCTGGCTGCACCCCTTCACCAGGTGCTGAGTGACTGGTTCAGGCCCTGACCTAACAGCTCTTATACAGGATCCCACATCCATTGCATCTGATATCCAGTTGAAGATGTGTGAAGTTAATTACAAGCTCATATTACATTACGTCACATTACATGTAGGGGCATGACAGTTACATGGCAGTACATAAAGTCTGTTCTGTTAATGAGCCCCTCGTAAAACTGTCTGTCTGTGTGTTTAGTTATACAGATCTCCATGCACTATGTTCCAGACCAGATCAGGCTAAAATCATTTTGTTGATATTTTATGGAAAGAAAACCAAAGCTAGCATTTTTTATTTTTTTTAATGTCATCATTTAATTTCAAATAATATTACATTTCTTCTGCAGAACTTCCCTGGTACTTGCTTATGTATGGCTTGGGACTATTTTTTTTTTAATTTTATTTTCTTTGTAAAGACTTGAAAGGTTTGAATAAGCTAAGGCTTTTCTATTTTTGAATAAAACTGAAAGGAGTCAATCTAATAAACTGATCTTTGGGAGAAAAGGTTGTTAAAATCCCTTAGTCAACAGAGTCAACAGGGGAGCAACGTATCTAAATGCTTACAACATATTAACTAAAATGAAAACACTTGTCTCCCAGCTGACATCAACTCTTGAGCAGAAATTAACATGTCTTGGATTACAAATACCTGTTTGTTTTGGCCACCACTGACAGTAATTATTGTCCCTATTCATCAGTGTAATGCATGCAGACAAGGCTTACAGTTGTGATCAGCTTTCAGATTCAGGGTATATTCTTCGAATAAATTAGGAGTGAATAATTGGGCATTGACTACAGGAGAATTATTAGACTGTATTTTAGAGTTTCTAAAGAATGTAGGCAGTAAATAAAATATCCCTGGGCCTACTTTCTCTCCATAATGGATGATCAGCTAAATTTCCTGCTGCCAAGTATTATTCCTATAGTCTATCAAAATTGTTTAACGTCAGTTGAGAAAGACATTTATTCAACGATCAAAAGAAAAATAAGGTTTCATAATTATAATAAGGCTATGTGTGTTCACGTATATAGTTCTATGTTCATCATATAAAGTGCCCAGTTACATACTTCACATCTATTGAAAACATTTGATGAGCACCAAACAGAGAAAAGGAACCATAACATCAAACAATTGACAATGTTCTCCTTTTGAGTAATACATCATATATGTAGCATTTTGAGTAAGATATCATTTATAACAAGCACATCCAGCATGCAGGCTACACGTAACCCTGGACAGCTAGTAACATGGACCCACAAGACCATACACTTTTAACATTACGTTATTTAAGCAATATTCTTTGGTGAGTCAATTGTGTGTAGCTTGAGCACGGACAAAGGAATGCTGTGGAGAGGAGGGCAGTGTAGCGTTAAATCCTTCTCTCGTATCTACCACACACAGTCAAATTGAAACTCGTGTATTTTGCCATGCAGTGGCACAGTGATTACTAGTAACAATATTTCAACATACTAAACATGTGTATGCGTCTGTGAAGACAGGCATTTTCTTTTTATTGAGCACATATACAAGTTTTCTTATTTAACACAAGCCCTAGTTTAATAATTATTTCATGAAGTAATTTAGTATGTTTACACATTTGCTGTGGAAGAAATATCCAGAATACTTATGCTATGCTGACCAATTTTGTAATTTTCAACATTTCAAAAAAGCTCAATAAAAGCATAAAATTATTAAAAACATTACAATCTAATTTTGCAATATGTATTTAATAGCTTTTCTGCTTTTCTGACCATGTATATGGAATCTGAGAACAGGTTTCAAGATTTCTGAAAAAATCAATTTTTACATATTTGCAATGTCATTTTCAGTCACAATACGTTCAACTTGTTAAATTTAATGTATAGAGTTGGAATCAGACATTCAACTCAAGGAAAAAAACTGATAACCTCTCTTTACTAGACTTTTATACGACATATTTCACCAGAGCAAAAACATACACAGTGGTTAAATACCCTACCAGCTCTTTGTTTTCTTGGTCTTTTTTTTTGTTGTTGTTTAATAAAAAATATATTTTTTTAAGTTGTTACTTGATGTATAATCAACTATATCATATATTTTATATGGTGCCCAAGACAGTTCCACTTCACTAGTGTAGCTCAGGCAAGCCAAAACTTGGACACCGAAGTCCAGCTTCATCAGACTTAAGAATCATTCAGTCTGGCATTTGCAAATGTGAAAGTACTAGGGTGTTTTATTCTTTATTATCATTTATTCGCACTTTGAAGATATGCTTTAATTGAAGCATGCATTAACTGTACTTGTTTGTGGTGGCAAATACCTATGAATCTCCATAACGTGTTAAGTACAGAGTGATGACCTCAGTTGTTGTCACTACGTCAAAGCAGTAGTGTCTAAAAGTTACTTGAAAAATCTGCTTCTGGAGGAAAAAGAGTATCTGATTGTAGATAATTGTTTATAATCAAGCACAGCATTGTATAATTAGATATTAAGAATTGAATAAGCAGATGAAATGATAATTTAAAAATATCAGGGATGCTCTTTCCTTGTGAAGTTATGTGCCTATGTTTTTCTTATAAATATTTTGTGAATAGCCTGGCTTCTGTCTTGTTTTCACAACACTTTCTACTATAAATGGAAATACAGTTAAATTCAGCTTCCTTTCAATCACATACATTTGGCCAGCTCACAGAAATTAGATTAGGGAAAGATGAAGTCAGCCTTCATCTTCATTAATTTTGGGAATTGTATTTTGTGGAGTGTTGGCAAATCTAGTTTTCAACAGCTCCAGCTATCAGAATTTCAGATTTTCTCTTGGAAGATTTTTCTGCAACTCAGTAAATCACACTGTCTCACTTGTTCTTGAAAAATGGCTCCCCAAAGGAACTTTGCTTCGTTTATTTTGGATCTATCCCAAACTAATGGATTATTTGAAGAAATGAAATGTTTGTCTTTTATGAAATGAGCTTGTTAAATCAAAGATGCAAATGACTCCTGAACACACTCAAATTGCAGTATTCAGGCATCCTTTCGGAGGATGTTTATTTAGTATTCTTTATTTCAGGTGTTCCACTGATCAGAACCTATATTCTTCAGAAAACCATGTTTACTTTCAATCATCTTTAAAACTACATTTTGCTACCTTGGTCATTGTTAAAAATAAAGATCTTCCTAGCACTCTTTCTTTGTATAGATACATAATGTAGAGCCTTAAGGCAGACAGAAGCTGCCTTTGGAAGTTGAAGATTTTGTTCTTATCTCCTTTTATCTGCTTGCCCATATCACTATTATAAATAATGTAAATATTCGGAGGTCTTTTAAATATTTTTGTTTCCTTCTGTCCTAAGATTGACATCTACTGCCATTTATTTCTTTTTATTATTGCATCAGAATTTGAAACTACTGTTATGCTTGAAATCCCTTGTTTCATTGCATTTTGTAAAAAGTTAGAGTCTAAAGTGTTTCATAGTAATCTTTGACTCTTTAAGTAGATAGATGATTTCATATAATGCTGATGCAATAAACAATGGGCTTGACAGTTCTTTGCTTTAGCATATGAATTGCTGGTTCTTCATAATTTTGAAAGAAAGTAAAAAATGTTAAAATTTACATCTGCCAGAACAGGAGACAATTTTGGAATAGTTTTTGTACGGATAGCAGAACAGACCGTTTTCAGAGTAAGGCTCTAAGAATATTTATGTCATTCCACAGTTGAAATGGGCCTTGTGTGCTGCTGATCTGCTTCTAAAATTCATCTGATGAAGAAAACAGTTCATCTCTTTAATTGGAATAGCATGGTGATCTGGTAGTGCAATATAATCACTCTGGTAAAGAAAGCATGAGGTCATAGTGGAAAGTCTCATCAAGAAACAGCAGGCTTTATTCTTCCTTTCAATTGTAAGAAAGTAGTCATATGCAATATTCATTACAAGAACGTCTGTTCTGTAACTATTGGTGGTCTTAGAACAGGAGAAAGAAAAACAATAGAAAATTACATTACATTTGAAATGTGTTACCTGATCCCTGTTAGCTGAAATCCCTCCTCATGTTTTAGCTATTGTCCAATTTGAGGTCCTAAGCAAGTTAAAATGCCATGCAGTCAATGTTTTAGATATGTGGAAAAGTTTATAAAGTTATACATGTTTGCTTTTACTGTGAGCACATAGTCAATCTATAACCATCCCCATAAGCAGCAGTATAAAGGGACTGGTAAGCTAGCATAGACAGAGCTCAACTTGAGTAGAATTAAAGCAATCAATCAAAGTATACTTCTACTTGGCTATGCCTGTACTCATAGGAAGATCATCAGAATCTTCTACAACCTGAATGTCTCTTTAAATCCTCTTCCAATTTCTTCATTCTCTGCCTGCATTACTGGCCAATAAGACCATCCTTTGATACATAGCAACAAAGCTATACTGTCTTCCATGACAAAATTCATCTTTGTCATACTTGCTTTCATTGCCTGCTTTGACTTTTTTGCTAAACTTGGCTAAAATTTAGAAAGTTGCAGAGGGTACTTTTCCAATTCATTAAGTAGTTTTGAAATTCCAAATGCTTTCTTCTACGTTAATTAACAGAACAACGACTACAGATTTCTGAGAGTTTCCCATATCTCTCCATAATGTCCCTCCAATACCGTGCCTTTAAAAAAAAAAAAAGAGAGAAAGAGAAAGAAATGTCTGTGGAAACCTTCTCTTCCTTGGCAGTACTCAGATTCCAGCCTGGAAACTGGCATTCCTCATTTATCATCTATTCCTGTTCATTTTGCCTGTATATCTGCATATAATAGCAATCAAAATTCAACCAAAGTTGAATTTTCATTAATAGAAGTGAGTAAAGTACAGTCCTGCAAAGTAGAATATATATATATTTTTTTTGTTGTCTTACCTGATGAAACAGATCTTTTCATGTTGTCATGGATATGTATGAAAGTTTTCTAGTTCTCATTCATAAGTATCTGGCTTTCCAAACTATACTGCTGGCAGATCACAGCATAAATATCAGGCTTTTTTTTTTTCTTTCCAGTCAACATCAGCATTTAGTCTTGCAATTTTATTACCTGCATAGATAGCACAATTCATCACAGACACTTAGCCTATCTTTTATGTATTTTTTATACTTCCTTTATGTTGTTGGTTATGGTCTAGAAACTTTTCACCTTGTTTTGTTTTCTGGATGTCAGTGGCATAGCTCATTAGAAACAAGTTGTATTCAGATGCATTTCCAAAATTTCACAAGTCAGAAAACATGTTTTTATACATTTATACACCTGTAAAAATGTATAATCACTGCCCATGAGGCCTTTGGATAATGCCATACATAAGTCAAAATGTTTCATTGACATTACTGCTCTTAGGATGGAATCTTAATTTACTGAATAGAGAACAATCACATATTACTTAAGTTTTAAGATTTAACTGCTGGTTAAACTGGGATTATTTAGTCTGAAGAGAAGGCTCAAGTTTGACGTTATTGCTCTCTGCAGTTACCTGAAGGAAGTTTGTGGTGAGATGGGAGATGGCCTCTTCTCCCATGTAACTAGCAACAGAACTAGACAGAATGGACTCAAGTTGTGCCAGGGAAGATTCAGGTTGGACATTAGGAAATAATTCTCCAAGAGGGTGGTCAGGCACTGGAACAGGCTGCCCAGAGAGATGATAGAGTCACCATCTCTGGAGGTGTTAAGAATTGCTTAGATGTTGTACTGAGGGACATGGTTTAGTTGGAAATATTGGTGATAGATGGATGGTTGGACTGGAAGATCTTGGAGGTCTTTTCCAACCTTGGTGATTCTATGATTCTATGACTTATAAGTGTTCAAGGTCTTTCAGTGTTGTTCCCATACGTCCTGAGGAATAAACTTTTCCGTGTTTTATGTTCAGTAAAATGTATTCAACGGAAGTGCAGGAATTGCATCAAAAGCCTCTGTAAATAGTTAAGGTAAACAGTTAAGCCGGACATTAGGTCACATAGTCAAATATATTTTAAAATATGGACATTTTTTTAAATCCCATTTATAATTTTTTTCTAAAATGTCTCTTTCTTATGCTGATGTTATTTATTACTTCCATGAATTCTTGGAGTCATTTAGATGTGCAATCCTCTCAGCAATCTGAAGAAACAAATACATATTGTCTTCATTCTTCAGGCAATGATGCTGGGTTATAGTGGGAAATAAGAGATTTCACAAGTCATTAGTTCCCATTATGCACATCAGAATGTTTCTAATATTCTAAACATGGAAAAGGATCAAATTGGTGGGATTCTGGCCCCAAATCCACCTCCTTTTGGCTGCCTGGAGACGTGAAAACAATTAGTAGCAGACATGAGATAGCTTTAATTTACAGGACCAGTCAGTCCCTGTATCTTCAAGCATGATGGAGGTAGTAAGTAAAAATACCTTCTCAGCTGTGATGAGTAGCACTTGTTATGCCTAATCTAGACCTTCAGGGCAGAGCTGAGATTGTAGTTCAGAAGTTGCTGACTCCCTAGCTAGTGTCATAAAATTACATAACCTAATTGTAAGCACATTTTCACTTGTAAAATTTTTGTGGGCCAAATCTCTGCCTGATACTTTTATTATAGATACAGAGCTATGGAGTAATTTATAGCAACTGAGAATCTTAAATGAAATTATATCAGTAACTTAATTGCTCAGATAGTGTGTATCATGGAGCAGTCCTGGTCTTGGGAACTAAATCTCTCCAAACACAAGGATAGCCATGGTTATTTGTGAGTTGTAGGCTCTTCCCTGAATCTGAAATTACTTATGCTATTCACATCAGATATTGGCATCTCTTCAGCTCTCCTGGTTGCCTGAAAACATATATAAAAGAGTATGGGTAAAAGAGGCATTATTTGTACTTAAAATATTAAATAAATATATTATTTTGCAAACATCAGTTGTTGCTCCCAGTAATCCGAATTATAGCTGAGTCTTTCTATTCAGTCCAATAAAAGATTTTTTTTTCCTGACACTGCTACTTCTTTTTATTATTATTATTACTTCTACTATTTTTGCATTGTGCTTTGAGAAGAATAAGGAACTGTGTTTTTCCCCCCAATTATATTTAATTGTTCATGCTAACTTAATCACCTTAAGTTTTAGTCCTAGAAAAAGGTTAAGATGCTCTCCAGTATTGCAAATATAATTTGCTTCCACTAACATGGGAATGCCTCATATTTTTCATTTGCTATGTAGTACACACCAGAAGATTTTATCGAATATGACTATGAGTATGGGGATGCAGATTATAAAGAAACTGAGTCTGTAACAGAGGGACCCCCACTGTTTGAAGAGACAATAGCACAAACAGAGGTAACAGAATCTGATCTGTTTGTTGTGTGGTGTCCAGCTGTCCCCTACCATGTGGTTTGTCAATTTGTGTCATCTGTATGTAAACTTAATGTTTTCCTTTTATTCATTTCTTTTCTCTTCAGCTTTAACACTGACTTTTACTTAGCTATGGAAGGGCCCACAACTGACAGCATTCATCTCACATTCATATACACTTTCATTCATTCATTCTTTTCATTTTATTTATGTTTTCCCATTCCATCTTTCATAACATTTGCAGAAAAAGAAAGCCATGGTCAAAAAGAAGAAGAGGACAGTGGCCACTAGCTCAAAGGACAAATCCCAAAAGGCCACAACAAAAAAATCTGAAAAATATGCATCCAAGAAGAAGAAAAGTTATCAAGCAGCAACAAAAGACAAACTAGGGGTAAAGGTAGCAAAGAAAAAATCAAGATCTTTCCCAGGCCAAGACTGGAAGATCTCTGATAATGAGAAAAAAATAGACCTAACCCCACCAGATGAATATCTGGCTTATAACATAACCTGAATAAAAGTGATATCTCTTGATTTTTCCTACAGGATTTTTTTAATAATGTACTTTCTCTTTAATACTAGGCAAACATTGTCGATGAATTTCAAGAATATAGCATAGTGGAAAATGACTACGGGCCCCAGACAGAAGCTCCCTCCAGAACTACTGAAGCCAATGAGGTAATGAGAACGCTTGAGAAAATTATAGGCAAATATACTTACCTGTCAGGTGTCAATAAAGCAAAACAACACACTGTTAAAGGAAGAATATCAGTTTGTGAAGATATATGTATCTGTAATAATGATTAATAAGATTTTACGGTTTCTCAGCCAATATCAGAACCTAATATTTTCGTGGGCAAAGCTCCCCTTGGTTCCAAGATTTGCTGAACTCATGCGAAGTTTATGATTTTGAAAATCATTCATTGATTCATTCTGTGGGAATGCAGGGTTGGGTTGTTGCATTCAGTGTGGATATGAATGGAGCTATGTCTAGTATAAATTAGGTTAAATAGCAGACACAGTCCTCCTGCTGTAATTGGAAGTGCACTTTCTAATTTTTTGTGCCGCTCTTAAGATGCAGCATAAAGCAAGCCTAACTAAAGAAAAGAACGAATGCAAGCATTGCTATGTATTGAGGTTGAGTCAGAAAACAAAGCCTTCTTTTAATAGTTCTTCAGCCAACAAAACTTAATTATTTCTCACTGAGATTCTATTCAAATGAAACTTTGTGTTTTGAATGATCAAAAAGATAAAATGATTATTTCAACTTAGTATAAACTCTGTTTTCAGAAATCCACAATGACAAGCCTAAACATTATTTTTTTAACATTACTACACCTAAAAGGCAGTGTTGATTAATATGTCTGCATATTAATTAATGCTAGCTTTAGAAAAAAGATGACTGATTAGAGAAAATGTCATTTTTCTTTTACATATTGTTTGCAAATGAAAATATGTTGCTTATAAGATGTACAAAACTGACCCCTGAAATCCCATGGTATTTTATCTTTATGTTGTGGATAGTTTTTGTTCAACACTTTCTTTGATTTAAAGAGCAAAATGAAAGAGAGAGAGAATCCCTATTTGTTTTCCTGGTTTCCTCTTATGTATCTTGGTGAACATGAATTAAGAGATACTTTACTTATTGTAGTATAAAATGTTCTTGTATTAAGTCTCATGTTTACCTCTCATATGTTAATAGATAGAGGAATATAGATTTATTCTGCTTCTTGGGCAAGAACAGGCTAATTGTACAATAGTACAATTGTAATGAGATAGATCCAAAGCGCAAAATTATGTCCTTAATGAGAACAGTTCTGCTTAAGAGCGTAATCTGACTAAGAATTGGCTCAGAGCTCTAGCGTTTACTGTACTATATGGGGAAACTCATAGTCCTGCAGCTAATGGAATTAGAAAACTGTCAAATTAGAATCTGGCCTTTATTTTAATTGCACTATATTTTAATGACTCTGGATGTTGATTAACTTCTTAATATATATTTTTAAGATCATGGTAGTTCATCTCTGGAATAACCATCTCATATTAGCAATATCTTAACTTTGATTCACTTCAAAACTATCCTTTCAAGAGATTTTTGTAACAGAATAAAGCAATTCTTTTTCCACAAATAGTTTTGTACATCTCAGATATAGCATCCTTATATGCATGCCTATAAGTTGATTGCTTGGTTTGACACTTTGCATAATCGAAGTTGGAAGCTACAAGCAATGTTGAACTTTGAGAAATGTTAAAATTAATCTGAGTTTTGCAGGTGGGACTTGACTCAGCGAAAAATATGTTTAAAATGACATGACAGACACATCTCTAGATTTGGAACGATAAATTAACTGCAAATCATGAAAAGAGAAACATTTAGCTTGGAATTGAGATTTGTAGATGCAAGATAGCGAAGGTGGCTGGGCTTAGCAAAAGTGATGCTTGCACTGTCTACACACTGTTATTGTACACAAGCCTGAACTTTTTCACTGATTGTTACAATACATGTGTTAGCTCTGAATTTATTTGCTGTTTACTAGTGTGTATGTGTACATTCATGAATACCTATGTGTGAAACCAAGCAGAGAAACTTAGCTATATTTGGCAGTAATGTAACATTAAGCAAGCATTACACATAACGTACTGGGTATATTGAATTCAGAGGTTTTGGAAATTAAAAGAAAATAAAGTATGAAAGCATTATTTCTTTGTACTATGTATACAAAGATCTTTTAATTACTCTGAAAGACTGGAGTTCCATTCCTTCAGACTCTAATTAAAAGACAATGTGCTGTAGTTCTACTGTTCCTTCTTCTTTTTGGCAAGTCATCATTGTGGTTGAGCATATGCCTATATTGCTTTACTAACATTAACTCACATATTCCTCCTATTCCCAAATCTTTGCTACTGGTATGAATAGCAAAACCCTGTTGAAGAAGTATTTGCTGAAGAATACATAACTGGAGAGGATTATGATAAAAAAACTGAGGAAACTGAATATGGAAGCAGAGGAGTAGACCTCAGTGAATCTGATCTTCTGGTAGATGGAGATTTAGGCGAATATGATTTTTATGAATATAAAGAATATGAAGAGAAACCGACTGATTCTACTAATGAGGAGTTTGGTCCAGGTGTTCCTGCAGAGACTGATATCACAGAAACAAGCGTAAGTTGTTTGAAGGCATAATGCAGATTAATTTAACTTAGCAATGCTTTTATAGTTACATATTCTCATAACTCTGAAAAGCCCAATACAGACCTCATTGTACATATAAGGTGTATTCACACTTTTTATAGTCTGTGGATCAAACTTGTCCACTTGTTTTAGTAACCCTGAGGTTGTTTGGTTTTTTTATTATATGCAGGTTATTTTGTCACTTCTGAGGAAGGGAGTAAGGGAGGGATTGAAGTTGGGAGGGAAATAGAAGAGAGAAGAGATTTGGAATGTCAAGAATAAATGATAAAAATGAACACGGATTTTTAAATCACTCTAAACTAGAGCTAAAGCTGGAAAGAATGTAAGTTTTAAAACAGGTGCAAGAACTAAAAAATATCAGCATTGTTACATGATTACATTAACAAGTTGAATTGTGCGCAAGTCCTTAGTATAATATGGCCTCTACTACTTTCCAAGGATAAAAACAAATGAGTCAAAAGCTAGAGTTCTGAACTCATTTATGAAAATAAGTTCAATATGAAAATTAGTCAACAGTGACATTTTTATGACCTTGCAGGAGTGATTTAAAAGCTCAGTATGTCTAAAGGAAGATAGGATGACATGGTGGGTCCTGTGAATCATGCTCTTTTTTTTAGAGTTTTTTAGAGTTCTGTGTTTTAGAGTTCTGCGTTTCCCTCTGACTTAAACATAGGTTTAAAGGAAGGCTTTAATTTTCCCTTGGTTGTGCCAGGATCCTCATTTACCAGTTTACCAGACTGTAGAATCTGCATAGAAAACTAACATGACTGAGACGAGAAGCAGGACTTAGTTCCAACTTGAAGAATTTTCTTAGCTCAGTATTTATTCTGTCCTCACAAACTTGAAATTTCAGTTTACAAAGAATTCAAGAAATAAAAGCAAATGCTGTGAGATTGCTTTTCTCTGCCAATCTTGAAATCCATGCTTCTGTATTTCATTTATCACTCCTTTCTAAACTCAGTTGAGGTCATTGTATTTTTTTAATGATCTTTATCTTGCAATGAGATACAAGCTTACTTTTCTCCTTCTAGTACAGATGGGAACACTGTGTTAGAATGACACAGAAAAGGTCAGATTATCTGCAAAGGAAAGAGCCCATAAGGCACCATTTGCATTAAGCAAATGGCTGTGTAGACTCTATTCCCTGGTATAAATTTCACCTTAAAATGCCTTGCTCCAAAACTAAAGGATTCAGGAAGCTTGAATTGGAAACTGGCCTGTAGCCTGTGCCAGCTTTATTAATGCTTTCACCTGCTGAATTAGAGTATCATATAATTTTCTTTTGACATCTGGATGTATTTAAAGCAAATTAAGTTCTAACTTTGTTCAAAAAGGCAAAGTGAAAAGTACTGAGTACCTGGAAACTTTCAAGAAAGGGGCAATTACAATATGTGCTCCGTGTCCTTTTTTTACAGTGTGTGAATATAATCAAGCATAATTATCTGATCATTTAGTACTTGAGTTATATTGTACAGTGTGCAGAACTATCGTACAGTGAAATTTGTAATTTCATAAATCAGTATGAAATGCACAAGCAATGGATATATACCTCTGGTTTTCCTTTCCAAAATAACTCATATTAAAATACTGTAGCATTATCTTCAGAGTCATTTGATATGTTCAAATCCCCAGCTTCTTTAGTGTAAACATGGAACCATTTTACAGAAAGCAAAAAATTCTCATTTGACAAGCATGGGATTTAATTTCTAGTTTGCAGTTGATATATTGCCAATCGAGAGAGGTAGTTCTGAAGAAAAACATAAATTTCATAGATTGAATAAAAATATTTCTTCCTTCACTGTTTGAATTCTGCCATTAGCATGTGTTACGGACCTGTTGTTTTAGGTCATGCTGTTCTCAGTCTTGAACCTAAAAGTTTCCACAGAGCTGACAGTAAAATAATTTTGCAGTTATGCTAGTTTGTTTTGTTAGTGCCATAATTGGCTATACATTAAACACTATTTAATGTTTGCAGTGCCATTTAATTTTTCTCCCACTTAAGCCATGTAATCACAGATTCAGACTAACTTTCGTTCATTAGATGACTAAAGAATGGAATGAAATACTTGAAGAGTACTGTCCATATAGGGACGGGGAATCTCTAATTGCTTACCTCAGAAGACCGTGAAAATAGTTGCTAATTGCCGAGAATAATTTCATTCAAATATGGAAAGAAACAACTCTGTGACATGCACACAGAAATCTTAAATTCCAAAGTCCTAATGCTAACCATGGTATGCAAACTATTGAATCCCATTGGAACACTAATTTTATTTCTACAAATTGATGATATCCAGTGATTTTCAAATGTTTGTGCAATTTTTGCATTAAACATTTTTGATTGATGTGTGTACCTGTGATATATTTTTCATAGCACAGTACAGTTCCAGCTTTAGCTTTCAGTTACCAGTTGTTGCAGTTCTTTATTGTGCCAGCTCCTTAGGCCTTCTACTTATATTCATTCTGGGGGCTGTTTTTACTGGTCAGGTGACTCAACATGGGGCTTATGGAGAAAAAGGACAAAAGGGAGAACCAGCTGTGATTGAACCTGTAAGTACAGACGTGGGTGAGTTTTTCTTTAGCACTATATAACTTGCACACTGTTGATAAATCGTTTTCAAACTACGTCATTCATGATACAATGACAGTAACCTTATCCATGATCTCTGAAACAATCACCTGCAGTGTGGACTGTGTAAAGGTGGCAAAAGACAGTAGCCTGTTCAGCCTTCTCCTTCTGTTTCACAAGAGACTAACCACATACCACTTAAAACAAGGAGAATCTTCTTGTCTAGGAAAAAACAGAGCATAGATCTGCTCTTCAGGGCAATTAGTGTAACTGCTGCCTGGACAAACGTGCAGCGATATCTTTCAACCTCCAGCTCAGGTAACACTGTAAGTACAGGTTTCAGCATGGGCTGGGAAGTCCACCTAAGAGCCTAAATAAATGCTTGGATGTTTAACCCATGCTTGTGCAATCAAACTGCTGAAGGTATAATTAAATACTTGTTTCAAAGGTCATAACTTGGTCATAATTACAGTAAAGGAGCACAAGCCTACATATTTCTTCTCATCTTTAAGTAGTGTGGTAATTTGGCTTTTGTAGCAGGATGTTATACTACTGGGCGATGGTTATAAAATAAAATATACCTGGATTTTAAAAAGATTGTATGAAAATGTTCTATTTTTTTAATATGTGCCAGGAGTTTAGTGCTGGTGTGGTTCATTCTTTAGGAATTTTCAAGGACTGCTTTCAAATATCTATGTGACTCAAGTAGAATTTAAAGTTTGGTCTGTTTTCTCTTTCATAGCAAATGAAGAACAGAATATTAAGGGGAAGAAATATCTAAAGTTGAAGCATGATGAAATACTATTATGTGTCATCATTACATAAACCTCAGACTCTGGATTCCGTGATCGAAGAACTCCTTTTGATTCTATATTGCTATCATAGGATTAGCATTTGTTTCAGTTGCCATTCACCAGAGATAGAGGAATACAGTAATGAATAAGCTGTATGCTAAGGCTGACTTGTCAGTCATAATCCGTGAAGAAGCTCACTATGCATTATCTCATAAAATGCATAGGTTTTTAGAGTTTGCAAGAGATAGTTCAATTCCATAATACTGGAGAGGTACCCATTGCCCCTCTCCAACATTTTTGGAGTTCACTACAGCTAGCTTCCTCTCTTGCCCAGTCTTCCTTCCTGTGGAAAGCCAGGTGTAGGCGGAGGTCATCTGTTCCTGGGTCTTAGTGTGACCTGGAAATCAGACTGGCATCTACACTCTGAAAACTTATTATGAGGTGCTATAGGAGCCTGAGTCTAAAAATAACTGGAGTTATTCACAATGACAATAACAATATATTAAAAATAAAATGTTATTGTGAAACTAGCCCTACAAGATCCCTGTAGCCTAAAAGTCTTTCTAATTTTTAAGTAAAAGAACAATTCAGATTCTAATTCTAGTAAATGACGTATGAAGATCTCAACGTAATCCCTAAAAAAGAAATCAAAATAGGTTTAAAACATCTTACAGCAGCTGAATTTAAAGTGCATTGCTTTTGTTTATTTTTTTTTTTTTTAGTTAAAAACTTGTAGGACAAAAAAGACATCCCACAAACTTTTTCAACAAAATTCTATATTATTATACTATGCGGACAGAATATCCTAAGAAAAGTTTGTCATAAAACTAAGAAATATTAGTTTTAATAGTTCAGCTAGAAAAATTGTTATATCTTTGTCCAAGATGTGACCAGTTAGTATCTTTTTTCCTCTCCACAACAGGGTATGCTCATTGAAGGACCGCCAGGACCAAGAGGACCTGCTGTATGTAGATTAATTACGATTTCTTTTTATTGCCATTGTGTTTCGATATTCCTGAGTTAAAACAAAATTAATCTTGTCACAGTTCACAGGGGATGTATTGAAGTTAGTATTTTAAGAAGGAAGTAAATAAGGGTCATTTCCAGCATTTTCAGTGAGAGCATGCTGCAAGTTGAGTGCATGTGAAAATCAAATACTTACAAGTATTAACTAGAAATCTTCATAAGAAAAAAAAAAAAAAAGTTATGCACTAATATATGCAATTTTCTCAAAATAAGTATTCAATGTAACTTTCAAAAAAAAAATTCAAAAGCATTCTGCGAGTCATCATTCAACATAATAATTTGTCATTCATTTTCCATAGGGTCTTACAGGTCCCCCAGGTTTACAAGGCCCTGTTGGTCCTCCAGGTGACCCTGGTGAAAGGGTAAGTCAACATACAGATTATCCTGGTATTCGTGGTATGTCTTGCATTAATTATACAAGAGCAAGTGTGTTAGATCCTGATCTGAAAAACAGCTTAAGAAAATTCAAGGGAACTGATTAACTCAGCTGAGTACATCAACTGAAAAACTGGATAAATATTTAATTAATGGTAGAAATATCTTCTATATGAAAGTGGAAAAGAATAAAGTTCCAGTTTGCCTGTATGTCTGTGTACATTTTAATGTAAATAATTTTAAAATAGAAAAAAGCAGTAGGTTAAAATATCTTGTTTGCATCTTGAAAAAATCAATATGAACTCAGCCATAAAATATAGAGAAGCAGAGAAAAACAAGGTCATTATTATACAGAATTTGTGAATTAAAAGTGCTAAGAAGATGCATTTGCCTCAATAAATAGATAATAGCAACAACAACATTTCACCTCGATAATAAACCAGCATACACTCTTATTTCACATTAACTGTATTTTGATTAGTAGATTAGTAGATTAACTGTATTTTGGAATCTGATTTATTTTGGAATCTAAACTGATAAAATTGGAATTTTAACACATTAAAATGGAATAAATCCATATAATACTCAGGTTTTAACCTAACTGCTCACTACGTTGCTTATAAGAAAATTCTTGAATAAACACATCAAGTTCCTGCCATGGAGTAGACTTCATTTCTTGTATTAAAAAAGATGCATTATACAAAGAGATAAATGTAGGAATTAGTTACCAAACCCACTGGAACAATGTAGATGTTTGCAACTAGATTCTGCTTTCAGATTCAATCCCAGTGAAGTAATGTGCCTGACTTCAATATATGTGTAGGCACATATGGTTATTTTCTTATAAAACAATCAGTGTACACGAATAAAGGCTGTAGCTCTTTCTATAACTATTCTGACTAGTTTTCATCTTAGGTTAAAAAGCTAGAAAAGTAACATTGCCTCTCCAGGAAAGGAACACAGTTTAAATAAAAAATGTCTGTGGTTCTTCAGCTGTTGTAATAAATATTCTGTCATCCTAATCCTAATATTGGGTATAAGATAATTGTGAAATGAATGAACATACCCTTCTGTAGAAGGCCACTTATGCACAAGTCTCACCTGTATTCACTGCATGAATTAATTTCACTCACATAAATGCTGCCATGGGAGAAAAAAGTGAAAAAAGAACCCTCAAATTCACTTGGTAACACAAAGACTCATAATCATATGGCATAAAGTTGCTACAGGTCAAAGTGAAGGTTCTTTGAGTGCCTTGTGGATGCATTTAACAGTTTTTTAACTTTAACTCTGAAACGCCCAGATATATAATGCTTCTTTCTAATTATGACAACATCATGTTATTCAATACTTTTTAATTGGCAATAATTTTCTATTTACAGCCTACCTACAGTATGCCATTAATAGGGATTTGTTCTATGATGTTCCAGACTTTTTTGGAGAAAGAGCTAAAAATAACAGATTATTGATCTTAATTCCCTGAGAGGAAAAAAGACCACATTTTTTAGTATCATCTTTCCCATTGTTTTCTTCAACTCTTGAGTGCGAAAAGGAATCACTTAAGTCAGTTTGATGTTTGTTGATCTGTCATTGCAACCCTGCAGAGTCATTCTTGTGAATGTATACTTTTTTTCTCAAACATGCAGTATGCAAATGAGCACTCATAACACAGGTCCTTCATGTCCTTGACAGCTTCATTTAGTAAAACTGCAGCCTGCAAACTGCTGGGACAAAAGATGCAATTCGATAATCAGTTGTCACAACAGAGGTGTAAATCAGCATAGCACTGCCTGTTGGCAACCATATGAATTGTGTACACACTGGTATATTTTTTCAACTGCAGATTATACAAAAAATGTAGCTCTTTTTAAATGGGCACAGAAGAAGGAATTCATGAAAATGCATTCCAAGTCATAACTGTAGGACTTATGTAGCCATTCAAAATTAAACATACTCAAAATTTTTTAAAGAAAATCAGCAGTGTTAGTTTTCTATGTATCAGATAAAATAAACACTAGAACACCTCAAGTCAGCCTAACCTATGAAATCTAGGTTCTTCTCACATCATTTTCAAACAATTTGTGTGATAATTAGAGAGAGTATCTTTCTTCCTTATTGCTGAATGTTTTCCCCAAGCCTGCTTCTTTAGCTACCACAATAACATTCCCAGAGTGCCTCATTATGAATACAAGCTTAAGGGATTCAAACGGTTTTCCATAAATAACTGTCCTTTTACTCTCATCCCTTTTTCTGTCATCCCTGTATTCTCCCAGGGTCCACCTGGTCGTCCTGGTCTCCCTGGTGCTGATGGTTTAGCAGGTCCCCCAGGTACCATGTTAATGCTACCGGTAAGTTGCGTTGTGGTTCAGACTCCAAAAAGATAGTGTTTCAATAAATGTAAAGGTACTTACTTTTTCATCTGATTTTGTCTTTGGAATGAGATGATACAGTTTCTCATATGGTTTAATCATTTGGAGGTCTTTGTTTATTTGTTTGTTTTTCTTTTCAGACAATAGGCATTAGCTGCTGCATGGCTGCCTGATTAGAACCTACATGACTGTATTGCATTTGCTAAAATGGTTCTTACTTTTTCAACGGTAGCTGTTATCTGATACATATTTCCCAAACAAGGAATTTGCTGTTCCACAAAGGCCAACGTGTGCTTTCCAATCTCCTTCACTTGGAGAGTTTTAAACATTCTTTGCCTAAAATTGTACTTCACTGTCCTCTTTGAAAAGTCAGAGCATCCTTTGAATAGAAATAGCTGCACATAGCCAGCTCTTCTCCCACTGGAATTTAAGCAAAACACCATCTGTTTTAGCAGGTGGAGGGACAAGCTCAGAGCCCTCAAAAGTGTCTTGCAGCTTTTTAGTATGAGATGCATTGTGCATGGAAGTTATTATTCCAGAGTGTGTATAGTTGAAAGATTTGATGAGTAATAACATACCAGAGTAATAATAAAGCAATTGTGAAAGAAAGGGCAATATTTTCTGTGAGATTATCTTTGTAAAAAGGGTCAGAGCTGTAGTTACATCAGTTCTGTTCCAAGAGGCAAGACTCCATCAGTATCAATGAGGAAAGGATGATTTAAATTTTATTTTTTATTTAAGAAACAATCAAGGAAAGATTATCAAAGAAAGGTAGTGTTTTTTATCTCATGCTTGCGCTAGTGTTTTGTTATCACAGCTGGCTGTATAACGCAAATATTTAGTGCCCAATAATTAATTGGTGAAAAAATGCCACTTGTGTATTATTCCCAAATCATTCTTCCAACTGTAATTGCCGTGCCAGAAGAGGTTGATTCACCACTTTGTTCCATTAAAAGTAGTAAGTGTGGACTAATACTATACCTATCAGTCAATTTTTAAAATATCACAAGCCTTTGTTTAAGACATTAATCACTCTGAGCTCAAGTAGTTTTCCAAGTTCAAAGAGAGGTTTCTCAGGAAGAATTTCTTAATTGGCTTCAGTTGTTCTGAATTCTGTCCTAGTAGTTTAACCAACATCCAGACTTCTTTACCATTTTCATTTACCATCTTATTTTCAGGACATCATATTGTTTCTGAGTCTGTGGCTCAAGTTAATCTTTGCTAACTATTTGAAATACACTACTATTCTACTGATTTTCTAAACATTCAGTGGAGAAAGTGGTATCCTCCAGGTCTAGTTCCAGCTGCAACGAGGTGATATAGTTTTTTCTAAAAATCAGGTGCTGTTTAAATAGTTAATCATACAAAATGAGGATAGATGTTTTGAAGTCTAAAATGTCACTTTTATTTTTAGCAGATTTCCAAGTTAATGAGCATTTCTTGGGAGTTTTATTACTCTAGACAGTGTTGCTCTCATCTCTTTTATAGTCATAATTCTCATTCCTAATTGCTTATTCTCCCTCAGCCACTTACAAGCTCCACTGAGAGCTGCTATCCTTTTATTACAGATGACCTGCTGACCAGCTCGAGACCCAAAGTGTAAAGGAGTAAATCTGGCAGTAGCTACACTAACTTTTCTCAGAGATACATTCTGAGTCCTAAAGGGCATGTAGAGAGGCCTTTGTGAGGCTCTTCGCTATCATGTGTGGGGCTTGAATTCATAAAAATAGGTTCACTCTTTCAATGGATGCAAGATAACTAATTGCTTGGAACAATATTTTGAAAGTAGTGTTGATTCTGCATTATGCAGATGCCTACAGAGCCATCTGGCTTCCTTTCAAATGGCAGCAAGCTCGATAGTTCTCTTCCTTTCTCATATGAGAAGAGTCAGGTACTTATTTGCAGGGGCTTAAAGCAAGTAAGTTTTCCATAACTTTTCCAAAGAAAGTCTTTCATTCTGATCTTATTATGATTGCAGAAGAAAAACTTCAGTTGCCATGCCAACTCTGGGCATAGGTAAACCATACAAACAGACTGCTGTGAACAGTGGAAGATTCACTGCCCTGACATCCACTGTGCTCATGTCATACCTTTGGAAAACCATGCTACTTGTTGCAACTCAGTGTCCCTCCAAAACTGCAAAGCTTCTAGCTTCATGAAACCAGCAGTTTCATGAACAATAACAGATCATGAGTGCAGAGTATTCGTTAGCTTATTTTGAAATTGTCAGAAATTACACAAAACTGTTTCCTCTTAGATACCAAATGTCTTTTTCACATTGAATTCTGCCTTAAGTTAAATTTAATTTTTATGTATATATCTAAAAATGCACTAAAAGTTAATTAACTTTGATACGTTTTAATTTTTAAGAAATACATTAAAGAATATATTTTCACTTAAGCAATTAGATTTGTTCTTCAGATCTAAAATCTTACTCTTAATACATATACTGGATCCAGTGGCTCAACTCCCCAGTTCAGCAATCTACTGAAGTTAATGGAATGAACTAAATACTGAGACTCAGTGTCTTCAGAGTGGTTTACATGGTTGCAGTGAATAATAAGTGTGGTTTTCATTTTATAAATTCTGAATTCCATTTCTTGTTTTGATACCTGTAGTTCCGCTTTGGTGGAGATGGTGAGAAGGGTCCAACGATTTCAGCTCAGGAAGCTCAAGCACAAGCTATTCTTCAGCAAGCAAGGGTGAGCTCAAGGAGCCTGCAAATAGAACTTCCACAAGAGTATAATTCCAAATGAATTTCCATTTTATGACATTCAGAGTGTGAAGTAAACAGCTGTAAGCATCATTTCATGACAGTAGACATCGTTATGACAGAATACACTCACTACTGAGTGAATGATGGGGTCTGTTTGCTGATGTATTGACATTGTCTTAAAACAAAATCTGTATGCTGGGCTGGCAGCTTTTTCTTGGCACCTGATGCCTTGTTCTGTTTGTTTTCTCAGATTGCAATGAGAGGTCCACCTGGTCCCATGGGACTCACTGGAAGACCAGGTCCTGTGGTATGTAAGCAAAACAGAGACATGAATCTAAGAGCACTCCAATAAAAGTTCATTGATCTCACTCTGGCACTGCCTGCACCTCTGTACATGTTCTTATTTTATTTGAAAAGAAAGTGCTATAATAAGGTCACAGTTTTTATTGTTATTTGAAGATTACAATGCAGCCTGAACACTAAATGAGTTTTTAATGTAGATTTTGGAATGTTTGAACACTGGTGGACTTAGGCTACAAAGCAGTCTTACATAAATAACTACATATGCCTCTATAGTCAGTAATCTCTGTGACAATATTTACAAAGTTTCTGGTAGCAAATATGAAACACTACAGAAGAATATACTAAAGTAAGACTGTGCAGAATGGCTGTGACTATTTAAGCTGAATCTGGAAATTCTTAAGATACATTATGTAGGCAATCAAAAATAACATTGATTACTAAAATAATTGTTGCATTTTTTTTACTTAAGACCTGAATTTGGCCTGTACTGCTAATACTGAATGATCTGGGAAATGACCCTGTGGGATATTTTGAAAGCTTGTATGTATTAAGAAGTCTATACACAGAACACAAACAACAGTTTTTCTAAGGACATGTAAAACAGCTTTTTGGTTACAAACAGACTTGCTACTGTAATGCCTACAGAGACTTTAAAAGGGCAATCAATGTCCAATGAAAGTGCAAAAACAGATAGGAAGTTGAGCAAGCCAAAATCACCTGGTTTATCTGCCAATTGCAATTTCCTCTCTTAGAAGATGGATATTTCAGATACGGTAGTCTACTAAATGGTGTTATTTAGCATTTAAGATATTTTAAAAGCTATTATAGAGTATCTGTAATATGAAGTAAAATAAATGCTGTAGCCAAAATCATAAGCATTTTAGAAAAAATCTCTTTTCTGAGTTCTCCCAGGTGACTATATTTATTCTCTGACATGGAGTGAAATTCTCTTTTAAAGATTGTATAGCATCCGTTTTTGAAAGAGTTTTTTTATTTGGAAACTTAATTTGTCTATTTTGGTGGCACAGCTAGGTTGAAAAATATTTGACCTCCATTAATTTGATCTATGTCTGCTGCAATTTTTACTTCTATTGTCTATTGTGGGGGGCTGCTGAAGGAATGTTTTAAGGATAATACAGAATACTTTCAATCTTGTTCTTACCTGATCCTAACAGCTCAACATTCCCTTCAATGACTTTTGAAAGCTATGTAGAACTAAAACTTCTCTAAATTGTGTTCTGGATTGGTTCAGCAGTGCTTTACCTCAACTTCAAATGGAGCCAAAATTCCTGTTTCAGTTTATTCTGTGCTCCAAATCTCATTAACCTAGCTCTGTCTGTCTAGATGAAATATACTGGTTACAGACAAATCATAGCTAAATATCTTATCAAAATCTCACTCAGTCCCCAGAAACTAAAATTAGTCGGCTTTGGTTATGTTTTTAAGCAGATGAATGCAAGAGTAATTATTTTCTAGAGTAATTCATCCAAAATGGAATGTTGCAAACAATTGCAGAAATTTGCCACAGTCTTCTGATTGATCGCAGTTAGATATATGGCAAAGTCAGACAGATTGAGTTCATTTAAATAACTAATACACTATTTCCAGCAGTGATTTAGATCAGGAGACCTGCAGGATAACATTAAGTCTGTACAGACAGAATAGTTATAGAACTGCTATAAGCAAGGAATTAGTTTGTAAATAAAATGTTTTATTGACAGCGAGTTATATGCCTTTAGTTATATTTTATACCAGGTACGTTTTCAAAGTCATCATGTATTTTTGTATACAAAATTTAATTAAGCAACATTAATAGATGTTTTTCTACTAAGCCACTAGGAGGCTCTAGAAATCCAACTCTTTCATCTGGCCTACAGTTGCAGAAGCACCTGCAGATTCTTGATGTGTTTGTGTGTTCAGATTATTTAAATTAATGAAATAATAGGATCTCTTCATCTTAATATGAACTGTACTGTGCTAATTTAGTAGCCAGTGAGACACAGACAAGCACATAATTCATTAAAAATCTTAAACACAGGTTTCTTGTAGCCCCAGTCTGGCTTCAACTGAGTATGGAGTTCACATACTTGATTAGCGTAGAATGCAAAATAAATTTCTGCTTACTGATGTTAATTAAAAGCAGAGTTTACAACAGTTGCCATCTATCACTACTGTTCTTTCCGCTGCAATTACCAGAGATATGATTTTCTATTTGCTTAGAATTTGATTCAGTACTTGGAATGTTGGTGGGCCTTTTTCCATTCCACGATGCTAGATCCAGCATTAAGCTAAGCCTTGAGACAACTTGTTACTTTGAATGGTCACCATGGTAAACATGGGAGGAGGATCAGTCTTCCAAGGTCTGAAAGATTCTTTTTGTCTTGAATACCTTAATTTGGTTATGAACTGCTACAGAGGTCAGAAATGCAAAAAAAAACTTTTACCCATCGTACTTAAATATGTACCTTCCCTGAGACTGTATTCTATGTCAGCATGTCCAGAGACTCAGAGAGAAAACTGTGAAGACTACTAATTTTGCCTCAGATTCCACATAGCCTAGGTGAAGATTTATTTTAGGTCTTTTCCTGGGTAAAACTGAAGATCTGTATCATTTAATCACAACAAAAATAAAAGTGCACTTTTTCATGGGAGATGCAGAAATATTTTGATTAAAATATCACTGTAGGTTATGGTAAGATTGCATCAGTTAGTGATCTTTGAATTGAACTCTGTTTTCTTCTGTGAAACACAGAAATGGATAAAGGTGAGAAGAGGTGGATTTAATTTCTGTTGGCTTCCTTGAGGCTGGTGAACTTTTGTTTGAATGCAATCTGTGCTCATATTTAGCTTTCAAGTATTATTATAGCACAAAGTGTCACTTCTGATTTCATTCAAATTTGCAAGAATTTTTCTTTAGTAGGAGAAAGATTTTTGACCAGTAGTCTCAAGGTCTATACAATGTGCACTGGGTTATACCTTCAGATTCAAAGGGTGAATTCACACTACATAATAAACAGGAGATTGGTTTTTTTCTCCATGTCAATATATAGGAATAGAAAAATAACCTAGCAACTTAAAGTTCTGTATTCAAATAATATTTTGCTTTTTTTCTTCAAGGGAGGACCTGGAGCAGCAGGTGCTAAGGGAGAAAGTGGTGAACCAGGTCCTCAGGTACAATAATATTGCTTGTTATGTTTGAACTTGTTTACTCTCACAAAAAATGCATTTATATCTCTTCAAAGAAAATGGTTAATGATGTGCTTTCCACATGCAGTTGAGGAAAAATAGCTTTTACAATACAGTCTTAATAAAATGTGTTAGCTTGATTTTTCATTTTGAATGTGAAAGCCCATCTGCCTTTACAAAAGAAAGAACAGTTATAACTTCTGGAATGTCACTTTTATCTCTGTTCAGTAATTAAATGTCAATCTGCATGTATATAGTCTTGGGCTGTAATCTCATCGGGTCTCATAAGCTGAGAGGTTCTATTTACTAAATAAACAGGAATATTTTCAAGAACTCAATGACATAGCAAGAAGGGGTCTTTAGGAATCAGCGCATACTTTTATTCTCATTTTACTATTATATCAGCTCCTGTGGTGATGTAAAAGAGTACAGAAATATTTTAGTTTAAACCTTAAAATAATATGGGATTCATAAAAATATCATGGTATGTGTCTCTGGAACAATAATTTTGCCATATTCCAAGTGGTATCATGGCTCAGCTACATTATTAAGTACCTGTCTTATAACTGAACATGGATATTTGCAGAAGAAAAAGAAAGTAATTGAACAATTGTGAACAACTGGCCAGTCTTCTCGTTTGCATACTTACATTGTTAGCATTGTTTCTCTTCCTACTCAATATTTTTGGATGCTAGTCCTTAATCACTGTTATTTCTATGCAAGGAAGACACATTTGGATGGGTGATAAGAATACTTTCACAGAAACATACACCCACTCAACCTACAGTGATAGTTACATGTCTGAACAGTGCAATCAGGTTTTTCAGTCTGAAGTAATTTGGTTCTCCTCTAGTTAAAGCTCCGCTCTGTAAAGTTAAGACAGCATGTGATCTATTTACGAGCACAACTCCTGCTTGCATATGAATTAGAAATCTGAAATAAGCACTCTTCAGTTTTCATCAAATAATTATTATGTGCCTAAAATAATTTCGGTATGACAGGAACAAGAATTTTCAAATTACAGGCTTGGGATCTTCAAAGTCATCAAAAGAACATAACAAGCTTTTAAGTAAAGCTAAGTAAAGCTAAGTAAATTGTGCCATGTGTAGTGTCATGAAAACTAGTGTTAAAACAGAGTTAAGCCAGATTGGATGATTGTGTTCTATTAATATAAATCAGCATTTAAAAAGTATAATCTATCATCTCCTGGGGAAAAAAAAAAAGTCACCTCTCAGTATAAAAAGCCAACCCTGTTCCTGAGTTGAGATATTTAACTAGGTTTTTGCTGTACTCTTTAAACTCAGGGTCCTCGTGGTGTTCAAGGTGCCCCTGGTCCAAGTGGAAAAGCTGGCAAACGGGTAGGTGGCATACATATCAATCCTGCTCTGGGTAAATAGATGCTATTTAGATGTTTAAATATTACTATTTTCACTGCATTTTCAACTGTTTTCCCTTTTGCATTTTTGCAGGGACGGCCTGGAGCTGATGGTGCCAGAGGAATGCCAGGAGAACCTGGTGCAAAGGTAAATAATGAGACCTTGGAATGGTCTGGATGGATTTTAAGCAAGCTCCACAGTTTCCAGCCAGGCCAAACCAAAATTCTCCTCTCATGTGAAAATACTGAGGTTTCAGATAGCTGGGTCAAATGCAAAAGCTGAGAATGAATCATGTATTTGAAATATGCTAATTAATGGTAATGGTTAGTAGCCTGACCTTGAAATAACTAAATTCTTTGGGCATGATTATATCCCTCTTAGTTTTTATTTACAGAGTATCAGCAGTAATGAAATTAATCTTGTAACTACAAAGGGCAGCTAGAATTGAGCTTTTCAATTCAGTTTAGACTTCTTTTTATAAACACCATACCTACAGTGCAGTAAAGAAGCTGGTGTGGCATATTTTCTAGCTGTAATACATAGAGAAAACTTTGAGAGTTTTATTGTTGTACTCCCCCCTTCCATATATTTCATTCAATAAGAAAGTGGAACATTACTCAAAATTAACACAGAAAGAAGGTGCAATTTACTCAGAGTAATATAGACTGTAAGCAGTAATTTACGGAAACTGTGATTTCTTCTCTCCAAGGGTGACAGAGGATTTGATGGTCTTCCTGGCCTCCCTGGTGACAAAGGTAACAGGGTAAGAAAAACATGCATATTTATACAACAACGATACAATCACAGAAATAATGTGCTATTCATTAAGAATAGCACGAACAACTGTGAGGAAAGCTGAAACAGAATGTCAGCATTTCACACTACAGAATAATATCTGTCTTGTCAGGTAATGTGTTCCTCAAAATATTTTAGTAGTATCAATCAACCAGACTACAGTTCACACATATTATTGGTTTAAATATATTTTTAGAATTCAGATCATATCTTCAGGCTTTGCTCTAGGCTTTTGGGTAGATTTTTTTGCTGTTGTTTTTGATGATGAAATTTGTCTGCAGGATTTAAATTGATTGTTAAGGGAAACAGTAGCACAGTAAATTAGCATTACATTTCTGTATCAGGAGTATGAAAATTTTTAACCTGCAAGAATCTTGCTCAAAAAATGCATTTGAAACTGCAAACTGAACTTTTTAGTGTGGCTCATTCCAACAACTTCAGATTCATGACAGATCAAAGTCATATCAGATAATTTGGGAAAATTTGAAATAATACTTAAAACAACTAATATACTAGCTCCTGTTCTCATACCAATTGAGAGGATGAGATTGCATCTTTCACAGCCGAGGCTTTCTGCTTTAAATTATACCCCTAAGACAGATAGTAATAACATGTTCTACTGAGTGTAAAGCCTGGTAAATGCATAAAAAAACAGTGGGTAGGAATTTCAGAACTAAATATTCCCATGTGTGCTGATGACCAAGGAATGATGATAGCTCTCACCCTTCAAGGCGTTAGTATGGTTGCTGCCCTTCTTGGAAAATGTCACCAGTGTTGACTACTGGTCTGTGACTTAGTACTTTGTAATAACCTCTAAGGATACTCTCTCGAGTTCTTTCAGCAATAGAAAAAGAATTTTTATTGTCATGCAAATATCTTGATCCTTTTCTGTCACTCCTTCTTATTAATATGTAAGGTAATCAGCACTTCACAGAATTGAAATTTGGCTTCATCAGCATCTGACCAGCAGAGGGGGCTAGACATTAAGTTCTTGTTACGACTCTGAAGGCTAAGCAGAAATTGGTTCAGAGCCAGGGTACGTGTCTTGTCTGCTTTCCAACCTTTAATGGTAGAATCGTCAGTCCATAGGACATTCTGTATCATAAAGAATTTTTTTTTCCAAATATTTTATTTGTCCCATATTTCCTAAATAAATGAGAACTGAAATTGAATAAGTTTGTATTGAAATTTATGACGTGTTAATGAAAACAAATGTTTCTATTTGTCATTTTTTTCATCTCACTATTTAAAAATCACTGCATTCTCATGTTTGTTTGGCAGTCTTATTTAAAATTACTAACTATATTCCCTCTGAAATCAGCTCAGTTCAAAGCCAGACCAGATAGCGAGACCTCTTTGGATTCATAACTACTTGACAGCACGTAATATAAATATTCAGTTCTCTTTGGCTTAAAATAAACAGAAAAATATGACAAGAGAAATGCTTTTTTTCTATTGTGTTTGTGTTTCAGCATAGAAATAAGCAAGAGACTATCTACTAGAAGTAAAGGTCTGAGGAAAAAGAAATTCTGGCTTTGGCAGAACACTGGAAGAAAAGAATCAGAGCACTGAACAACTGAGAGTGCTGATAGGGTAGTTGTGTTCTGACGTATGACAATACAGGACACTGAATGCAAGCTTCTAATCTCTTTTTGAGTGCCATGCTATTGCAAGACAAGAAAGGTAGCTCTCCATAGGCTAAGCTCTTTAAACATCTGAAGGTTTAAGTCAGTTTTTGCCTAGATATTAATTAGAAGTTAAAACACAGATTATGCATCTCGTGAGTCATCTTTCAGTAGCATCTTTTAGCATGCAGAAAACCACATACTGTACCAGAAAATCATGTAGAATAGTTTCAAAACTTATCAAAATGTCAAAACTGCTGTAGTTATTAATCTTCTGTCTCTGAAAGTGCAGTTCATAGAATTTCATTCTTTTCAGTAACGACTCCAACTTTTAGAGAAAAGAAATTGAATAAAATCCTAATACTTTTAATACAAGAACACTCTGGGAGAAGAGACCAAGCTACCTAAAATCCCCTAGGAAAGTTAAATTTTGAAAGCATGAAATGGAGCCACTGAAGAGTGATTCCATATATCTCTGCAATAATCCTCTGCAGTGGTCATGCTCCTTGGAGGCAATGATTGAATTAAGGAAAACAGGATGAATACTTGGTTGTTGTCCAATGCCATAAGGAAGTCACAGTCTAAAAACCTGCTGCCTATAAAGAGGTTGGTCAGTGGTGTTAGAGCTATGCTGCACACTAGTTCTCTTTAGAAGAGAAAGAAAAATAAATCCTAGAAGTGTGTAGTCCAGAATGTACTGAGCTTCGCATACTGAGACTTGAAAAGCCCCAGCCTCAGGGGAAGTGTGGAAGTCTGGCTGCATTCCAAAACCTCTGACAAATCAGTCCTACTGCTCTGAATGACTGGTGCCAGGGTGGGTGGCTGGCTCTGAAAGGCAGTCAGTGAACTTCACTGCGTAGATTCCAGGGCCTTACAACTGGTGTGTTAACTCCTGATGCATGCACACCTTCCTTATTTTCCTAGCAGAAATACATTGTGTAAGGGAGGAGATGAAGAAAATGTGTGTACATATAATTAAGACTGACTTTTGGAGCAGCAACTTCTGTATGTTCTGGGGCGATGTTAGAGAACAAAATTTTACGAACAGATATTTCATTGTTTCAGTAATGGTCATTTGTTTTTGTAATAAAGTAATGAAAGACTTTACTGAGTACTGTAACAGATTAATATCATTATGTTAACACATTTTAATACATCACACTGCAGCTAATATATTTATTTTCATTTCCTTTCCCATTCTTTGTTGTTTTCAGACACAGATGTTATTTTAATAACTTTTCTTGTTCTACAGGGAGACCGTGGCCCACAGGGACCTCCTGGCTTACCTGGTGAAGATGGATCAAGAGTAAGCTGCTATTTACTTCAGATTCACAGTAAAACTGGGAGTGAATCCATGTAATGGAAACACAGTCATAATATCTGCTCTTTTTTCTTTTCTAAAACTTGTATTTCCTTTGTACAAAAACAGGGAGAAGATGGGGAAGTTGGACCAAGAGGTCTCCCAGGTGAAGCTGTAAGCAATGCTTTCTTTGTTTCTGACCAGTACACTGTTTTACAAACAAATGTAATTTGTTTCTTTCTATTGTAATGTGATTTCTTTCTATTGAATTGTTTTGGGTTCCAGATATAAAAATTTGTGCACATGTATGTATATTTAGAGAATACTGATATTACCTGAAAAGTAAGCAAATGATCTGTTTTCTTGGAGCTGAAACATCACTCACAAAATCAGAATTAAATCAGATGCATATCCAGATAAGTATTCACAACTCCAATAGTCACACAGCCTATTTCTTATCCATTTGAGCTAGTTTAAAATATGTCACTGCAGACATGAGAACATATCCAAACCCCTGTTGTTTTGAAAATATTTTCCAAACATTTATTTATTCAAAAATAAGCCTTTTTTTTTTTCCTACTACTGTTCTTCAGTGTATATTTTTATGCTAGTTTCCAATACAGAAGTTCCACTGTTGTCAGTTAGAATTCTGCAGGTGTTGTCACTGCAGAGCAGAGTTCTGCATTGCAGGCAAGAAATCAAGCCTCAGAAAGGGGATTTTTTACCCTAAATGTATGATATACTGCTGTCTACTTGCTAAGTGACAAGAAAATACTACAGTCAGAATATTAGTGGCTTGTATCTTTATCATACATGAGGAAACTGGAGACGCTGTCCTGCCTACTTTAGCAAGTGTGATATGAATGATATGAGTGATGACACAAATCATGAAAATTATTTTTCATTTCCATAGGGTATAGCCAAAAGTTTATGCTACAGAGCAAATCTTGCTCATTTGATCTAGAATAGCCCTTGGTCTTTATGGATTTTTTTGTTTAGGGGAAAGAAAAACAAGCCTCACTGTGTCTATCAGAATACCTTGCATTAATTCTAATAAAATGATTAGTAATTGTTAATAATTTATTTGATCTTTACTAAAAATAAAAGCACTGTTTGTTACTGTAAATAGTAGTAGAAATTATGATAGACCATTGTGTTTACTAAAAATAGGAGTACAAATGTATACTACTGTTCATGTCAGATCTTCACACCAAAACAGTGATGAATCCTCAGTGAAAGATACTGTACCAGCTTTCTGTACCTTTGTCTGAAATGACAGCACAACTAACTGTATCAAAGTTTGTCCTTTTCTGATTTTCTGTTCAAACCTATGATAGGCTTCAGGAGAATGTATTATTGGTGATTTTCTTTCCTTCTTTTCCTCCTTCCATTTTTTCCTTCTCCCCTAGCTCCCATGAAGGCATTTACTTATCATTCTGCTCCTTCTGACATTCCTCACCCAGTCCTGCTTCTTGTTCAGAAATAATCAGGCAGGTGTTAATAAGAATTTCTTGTCTTTCAGGGTCCACGGGGACTACTGGGTCCCAGAGGTACACCTGGTCCCCCTGGACAACCTGTACGTATGAACTGTTTTGTATTTGTCATTTCTAGAAGAAAAAATGAAAGTCCATTGAAAGCTGCTTGTGTTTCTGTTGTTTGTTGCAGGGCATTGCAGGTATTGATGGACCTTCAGGCCCAAAGGGAAACATGGTGAGTAAGTTGGAAATGAAAAAGGGAGTGAATTCTAAAAACCTTTTCAACATTCCCTTGTCCCTGCCACTGCGCCATCCCTTCCATTTAATTGAACTTTTCTGTCCTCACATTCAGATGCCTCATGTCTTACACTGAAAAGAAAACTTTCTATTTCTTAGCCTTCAACCATATGCAATAAAACTTAACCATGCTTTCTTCTCAACTTCTTTAGTGCTATGGGCTCTAGTGCTCAGGTCCTATATGTGCTCTGTTTTTTTTAAAAAAAGTTTATCATATGGATTGAGAGTTGGTGGTAGTAAAATTCTGAGAGGGAGGAACAAAGATGAGGAACAAAAATGACTTTTTCTTCCTTCTAGTCCAGACAACGAAGATCTATAATGCAGAAAAGCAAACCTAATGCCCTGTTTCTCTTTTTAATTTTTTTGTATGGTAGGGTCCTCAAGGGGAGCCAGGACCCCCTGGTCAGCAAGGAATCCCAGGCCCACAAGTAAGTGTAAAATAATTCAAAAAAAAAAAAAAAAAAAGCAAGTTGCACTGAATGTTTGATAAATGTGAAATTGGCACAAGGCTATTTTTTCACATGCAAAATTGACAAAGCTTTTAGGATTTCATAAATGTGCTACAAGCGTACCTATGGCAGTGGGAGCAAAGTTTTCAAATGTTAGAAGGATTTTTCATTCAGGAGAAAAATGACTCATTCAGTGTTCCTGGAATGCAGCAGAAATGGCCACACCTGGAGGAGGGTTCTGAATAGGATCTTGTTACAGACTTACTGCCAGAATAGCAGCTTGTGCAAAAGGCACACACAAAATTCCTGATCTAACTGGTAAGGGGAAAAAGAAAAAGCCACATATATTTGCCAGTGTGTTTAAACAAATTAACGAGGAACCTTTAGTACGGTGAATGTATGTGTATTGTTCTCCCTGATTTTTCACGCTTGTTTCTTTTTAACAGGGCCTTCCTGGTCCACAAGGTCCTATTGGACCTCCTGGTGAAAAAGTAAGTTACAGCTCTATTCTGGTATTTCACAGTCAGTTCTGTGCAACAACCTTGCTTAAGATCTTTGCTATGTTTAAAAGCATACTAACCTGAGATCTAAAAATTTGTAAACCTTCCTAAAATCCTCAAGTAAATGGATAACTATCACAGGTCTGACTTTACTTCAGAAGCATAATTTCCTATCTTTTCTTTGGATTATTTTTTCTGCTGTTAGATACAGAACCCCATCTACACCAATAAATAGTATATACTTTTATGTTAATTTCACAGCTTACTTGATTTTATTACTCTTTTTTATTACAAAGTTTTTTATCTATTCACAGCAGATTCTGCTCTCATTTTACAAGGATTACATTCTGACACAATTCTGGTATTATGAGCTTAACTGTAGTATCTCTTCATGGTGTTTTTTTTCTGGTCTATCTGTCTGTGAATGTTCTTGTAGTCTGATACAGGCCTTCTGTCAGCTTCAAAAATGTCACATTTTACATGCTTTCTATCTACCTGTGTGCCTAAGAAGGATTATTATACAGAATGGACTATATCCAAAATAAATGCATTCCAGCCTTTAACAAAGACATAGCAAGCCTTTTCAGCTATGAGAGCTACAATTCTGTAAGCGCTATTCTTTGCTCCCTGAGCTTGCTGGTTTCTTTCATACGTTAAATGATTTTACTCCTGAAATGCTAAATATTGTTTAATTTTCTATAACTGGAAAAGTCTTCTTCGTATTGTGTTTTGTTTGTGCATATTCATAGGTTAATACCCATTTTTTTTATCCTTAACTCTTACAATTGAATGTACTGGGTATAGTTTTTTTTTATGTGTTTAAGGATTTTTTTGTTGTTGTTGTTGTTCTTTTTCTTTTTTTTTTAATTTTTCTTTTCTCCCCTTTTTCTCATAGCTACTGTAAATCTAGGGTTGGTTTGCCTTCTGTTTTAGAAGATTAAGATACTAAAGTGTTACATTAGTTTGTTGTCTGTATAAGTCCTGGTCCCAGTAAGGATGATTTTTTATCATCCAAGCAATTGATAGAATGTGTTTTGTCATTTTTAAGATGTGTCTCTGTTATTGTATTTAGGGACCTCAAGGCAAGCCTGGCCTTCCTGGTCTTCCAGGTTCTGATGGGCCTCCTGTAAGTAACCAAATATTTCATGCTTTGAGTATCTAAACAGTCTTACCAATTAATATATAATAATACCTGTGTCTCAAAAATAAAACATAGAGTGAAAGACATGCACTCCTCACTGGCAGTAGCTTTATAAAATACATCTAACCTCTGTTTACTTGTGTTGCTATAACTTTTAGAATTAACATTTTTGCTGCAGCTACTAAAAATCACTGTAGTCCCAGCTGGTGAAATCCATCAGAAACATCTGCAGGGTTGTGGAAGTAACCTGGCTGACACACGAAGGATCAGAATGTTTTACCATATCAATATAGCAAAGCAAATTATCAGTAAAAATGGTCACCAGTTGCTTTCTTAGACTGGCTCTTTCTCTACTTCCTAACCTACATACATATTGCATGCTTGGACTTCTTTCACTGACTACACTGGAGCATACGCATGTGCTTCTTTCATCAAAAGCATCATCTCTCTACACTGACAAGAGCCATTCAACAGTCAGTGTGAAGTCTCAAATCATCTCTCTGTTTCGTTTGTCATTTTCCCTTACAATTCATCCTATTATAGCTTAAATCTGTGTTTTTTGAACCTGATTTTCAACAGTTTTGCTACTACAGAATGAACAGCAGGCTTTCAGTGCATACATGATACTACCAATACATAATTGTATCTACAGCTTTCATAATCTCTCTTTTCCTGCCAAGGTACCATTTTAATGGAAAACGTTAGAAAAGCACACAAAAGTCCAGTTGGAAATCCATACCTTGAATCAATTTCTGAACATTAGATCTTTCTCCTTACCTTTCTCTGTATGCTGAACAATATTCACTTGCAGACTTCACCATTCTTTAAAAATCTGTGCATTGTTAAACCTTAAAAGCAGAGGAAAATGCTCTGAAGAATTAGTTTTTAGCACAGGTCTGTAGCTCCTTAAAGTGGCAAGTTGACCCTAGTGAGCAACTGGGCACTTCCTGCACGGTAGAATAGAAGAATCAGAACAACAAAAGTGAGAAAGCTTATTGGTCAATATGAAGACAGTTTAGTAAGTGAAGCAGAGCTGTGCACTCGAAATAAAATTAAGAATTTACTTACTGCTTCAAATACGTAGAAATAGTTTAGCTAACTGCTGGAAAGCAGAGCCTCAGTAAGCTTAGTAGTTATTTAGGAAGATAACCCAACCATGAATGCCCCCTCCTTCCTCCTGCCCTGAGCTTTTATTGCTGAGCATTACACCATATGGTATGGAATGTTCTTCTGGTCAATTCTGAACATTTGTCCCATCTGTGTTCCCTCCCAACTTCTTGCCCACCTCAAGCCTACTCACTGGGAGCAGAGTGATAAGAAGAGAAAATCTCCATGATGTGCAAGCAGTCCTCAGCAATAGTGAAATCACTGGTGTGTTATTAAAAGTGTTTTAGTCACAAATCCAAAACACAGCACCACACGGACAACTATGAAGAAAATTCCATCCTGGTGAGACCCAATATACCCACACAGAATTAACTCGCTCCTGCACAAGTAGCTTTATTCCAAGGAAATGCAAGGGAATTAGGTTAAACTAAACATGTTCTAATTGACATTACATCTTTACAACCACAGAATTGCATTGGTGATTGAAGAAAATGAGCAGTACCTTCCTTATAGCAGTGAGCTTTGTATATGATCCTGTGATACCTGTGTTAAAATCAGGTGATAGATCAAAGACATTTTTTCAGATTAGGCAAATTTTTCCTACGTTATTTCACTTCATTTTTATGTAAGGAGATGTCATGCTGTTTTGGAGGACATACATTGTTAAAAGTGGTATATTATTCTGGAATTAATGAAATCTACAAGAATACAAATGAGCTCTTTAACAGCAGCAGTTTTTGAGTCATTTAGTACTAAGGAGACCTTTGAGACTGGATGGGAATATGAAATTTTGTGGTCAAAAAGCATCTTCTAGAAGATTTTGATTAAACGCTTGGCATACGTATGCTTAAAAACCAAGTCATAAGGATACAATGTTAGTAAGACAAACTTTAAATAAAGATTAAATGTCACTTGGAAGCAGATATCAAATACTATTTATGTATGATATATGTTCTTTTAATGAGCTATGTATTTTAAAATTTTCCAAGATAGTAAATTGACTATAAGCAATGGGGATTTGTCATAAAAGACATATCAAACATGTTATGATATCGATGACACCAAAACATGAATGTTTTTTGTGAATCACTAGATGTTATTTAGGACCGTGTCTGGCAAAACTTGAGATTTACTACTCTCCTCAATAAAACCAATTACGTGTATAGAAAAGATTCTCAACTGACTTGGAATTTAAGTGATTAATAAATTTATTTTTATAATGAATCATTTGACAAATGGATTATTTTCTAAAGCAGATACATTTCTCTTAAAACAGGGTCATCCTGGCAAAGAGGGTCAGTCTGGAGAGAAAGGTGCATTGGTGAGTTTCAAAATTTCTCTATTTGTTTACATAATATTTGTATTAATATTAGTATTTGTCCAGAATGTTATCAGCTAGAGGCTTGTTGAATTTACCTTAGTTTCTCGTGAAAATTAAGTTTACATAGATTATTTGTTTTGAAAGTAAGTGTATGTGACTGGCTGCCAGTTCTTCCTTTTACTTGAAGTTGAAGTTTGAATTAGTTTGAATTTACTAATTAATTTCAGCCAGACTTGATAGAAAATGTTATTTCTTAGAGATTTTAAGGGCCTAAAGGTTTTATGAAAAGACACAGTTTGAAAGCAGAAAACCTTATTATTAAGGAAAGATTGTGCTGTGTGTCCATCTCCAACATCAGAGAATCAACAAAGCAGGTCAGCCTCAGACACATAGCTGTATGTTTCCAGGCTTCCTTACTTCCACAGCATAAAGAACCCTGTTTATTTAAACACCACCAGCAATTGCGAAGTATCCAAGTTAAACATAATTTAAATACTCAGCAAACAGTAAATAACAACATCCAAATACCAGTCAGTATTGATTAAGCACCATGAGACCTCTAATTTTCAGATCTGTAATCTCTTTATTAAGACATGTTTTTATAATTATCATTATTTTGATTTATACTTTTGACTTCTGTCATCATCATAATTACCATATAAATTTTTTTCCAGTAAGAAACCACTAGTGGCAAATTGTCATTAGTTTTGAAATATTTATTTTGGTTTTCTTTTGTTTTTCACATTCTGAAATTACCAGTTTCATATTATTTATAATGTGTATAGTTATTTCCTAAATATGCAAATAGAACTAAATTCATAAGTTTAGTAATACTTTAATTTCCCTTGAAATGCCATGACTTTTTTTTTTTATAGCAGGAAGGCTGAGAAGTCTATCAGTACAGAGTTATTTTGATGTCACACAAGACTGCTGCAGTATAGTGAGGGAATAAGGATTAGGTTAATGCTTGTTAACCAAATACTGCACAAAGGTTCTTTGCTTCAATCTATTTTAGGGGCCTCCAGGTCCTCAAGGTCCAATTGGCTATCCAGGTCCTCGGGGAGTAAAGGTAAGAATTAATTGCTAGATTTCTCCCCTCACACATTTTTTATTATATGCATGTAAGTAATTCTTAATATTCTTTCTTTAGGGAGCTGATGGTGTTCGTGGTCTCAAGGGATCCAAAGGTGAAAAGGTAAAACTATGACAGCTTTTAATTCCTTTCTCTTTTTCTGTGTTATTTCATTGCAGCTTCTTCTGTCTCCACTGTTGCAGGTTTTCTCTTGCAGCAGCAGTTTATTTTTGACTTACATACCAAGGACATACCAAGCCCAATTCATAAATCTGTGTCCTCTATGATTATTTACACTGGAACAATGCAGTTAGAAAATGTTCAGTTGTTAAAGTGAGTTTGGATCCTCTTGACACCAATTTAAGTCATCTCTAAATTGCTCTGTGGTAGATAATTTGACATCCTTTCTCTTATTAATATATATTATAGTAGGTGCTGAAAAGCTCATTCCATTCAAGAGATTTGTGGTAGCAGTAGTGTCATTCTATTGTTTTGATAATGCTGTAGGCTAGATTTTATGTTTGTTTGTTTGTTTTTTAATGTACCCAATCTTCCAAAAGCTTTCAAGGTTCCAGGCATTTTTTACCTAGTTTTTTGGCTTTGCCAGAGTTAGACAACCCTGATCAGATGCATGTATGTAAATATAAAGAAAGCTTTTACATCTACAGTAATTTTACTTCTTTGCGTACAGAAAATGCTCTTACTGTAACAAACATCTCTACTGACTTCTGACAGTCTGAAGTGGCTGAAGCTACAGCCAATGCTGGTTTAAATTCGAAATTTCCTTAGCACTCAGAATGAGAGAGACAACAGTCATTTATACTGCCTGTCCACACAGAAAAATTTACCCTGGTACCCTTGGCTACTGTGTATATATTTATACGTGTGTTTCTAAAGCAGAAGACTGCTTGTAAAGTAGAAGCCAAAAAGCCTCAATTTGAGCACTAGAAATCTGTCCTTCAGGCTCAGATGCCAAAAGAGTCTACGTATCTTCATGCTTTTCTGCATCACCGTTTATCTAGCTTTTATGCACTTTTTAGAGTTCCTCATTAAATCTAATCTGAAAAACAAGAGTATATTTAATACCCATGGAGACTGAGCAGCAACTTATTCTTGCGTCTTACTGAGTGATTAAAAATCCATCTATGAAAAAATAGATAAATCAGTTACATATATGAGTGTTTGATTTGTTTTCCCTCCAGTTTATAAGTTCCCTTTAAGTACTAGAAGGCCACAATGAGATCTCCTCACCTTCTATTCTCCAAACTTCATTAGGAAAGTTCTTCAGGCTTCTCTGAGGCTGCCCAGGGAGGCTGAGTATGTCCCTTTCCTAGAGGCATTTAAGACCAGGTTGCGCTTTGGGCATCCTGGTCTAGTGGGAGGTATGCCTGCCTATGACAGGAGGGCTGGAATTGGATGGTTTTTAAAGATCCCTTCCAACTTTTCTGTAATGTTGTAGCAGTTGCTGTATGATGCGTTAGATTAAGGCAGACTGAAGCAAAAACAAATAAGTCATGCTAGATTAAGTAGTGAACAACTCCACTGAATAATTCTGTAGGCTTCTGTTTTTATCCAAACTAACTCATACAGATGTAAATGAAACTTGTATGAGTACTGTCTTCTTATACTTCAGTAAGGAAACCTATTAAAATGCTTGCATTAAATTTTCTACTGTAACTTATTAGGCAGTAAATAATAATTCTCATTAGGAATAAAAATAACGTGTACCTGTTTTTGCTACTCTGTATATGAAATGTAATGTCCATTGTCTTTTCTATCTTCTTTCCATCATATCAGCCGATGAAAATACGCAAGACTGTGTTGCCAAACGTCCAGCTACTGTATAGAGAATACTTCTTCCTTTAGTGGAGACAAACATTCTTGTCTTCTTTTTTTAATTAGGATTCCATTATCAGCCAATTCTTTAATTCCTTTCATGACACTATTCAGACACAAGCTTAAAATAAAAAAAAAAATTAAATTAAACAAACTGGAGGTTCTGCTACTTAAAAAAAATATCACTGTACAATTTGCCACCAATATTTTACTTAGTTATTTTACTTAATTAAGTTGATGGAATTATTAAAAAGAGTGACAATAAAAAAATGTTTAGGACATACCAAATGATTTTGTAAGATAATTTGAAATAAAGCTGAGCAATTAGTTCATCTCTGTCTTTAATCATTTCTTAAAACAGCTGATATTATGCTATTAGGAATTTGCAAACTATAAAGTCATATAAAGCATGCTAATACACTTACTCTAAAACAGCAATAAATATATCAGAATTACCTTATGTCTGAAACAGATTATTTTAATCTTAAGTTATTGTATTTTCTTATTACATATGGAAAAACAAAACAAAACAAAACAAACAAACAACCACCACCAACAAAAAACCTCCAGTTTTCTTTCACTGGAAGTTTTCTTACATCTATTTTTGTCTTACTTAGGGTGAAGATGGTTTCCCAGGATTTAAGGGTGACATGGGCCTTAAGGGTGATCGGGTAAGCATTGGCTCATGGCCCATATAATTTTAAAATGTTTAAGTGCTATTATTTTGAGAGGATCGGTGAACAAATAAATTTACACTGAAAACAGTTAAAAACTTTTAGCTTAAGTTGTTTCTGTTCCCTGCACAAACACAGATTTGAGCAAGTCTAGATCTCATGAATCAGCAATGGCACAGTTAGAAAGAAGAAGCGAGTGTCAATCTTTGATATCCTTTTCATTGAACTTCCTAGGGAGTCTCCTTTTCAAGATACCAAGATGCAATACTGCCTGAAGAAGATAATTTATTCTGAACAAGGATATTTCCATTTCAACCTAATAGTAGCTTATATTATCTCTACCAAAATGTACTTTATCACAATAGATGCTTCTGTCAGAGGAAATGTTGCAGAGACAATTTAAAAAAAACTTATTACAAAAGGCTACTGGCCTGTATCTGTTATCTGTATACTTAAGTAACTGTGATAATGGTATCTATTTAACTTCTTGGATACAAAAATTATTCTAATACGGACCATGAGAGTGCTTTCACAAGAATATGTGTAGTAATTACTGGAATTCATTAAAATTCCTATGAAATTGGAAAGCAGTTTCAAAACACAGCTCTCTTCAGACAAGGACAGTGGCCTCTAACCCTTGCACAAGTACAGTTCAGTTTACATGTTTTTGTATTTATATAAGAACATGAGTGGTGGCATTTTCTTAATCTCCATTTATGTTTACTGAAAAATTATTTTCAAGTATTTGTTGGTAGCCTTGCTAATGTATGCACACAGTCAATTGCTGCTCATTTATATAACGTTGTATTTCAGGGAGAAGTTGGTCAACCTGGCCCAAGAGGAGAAGATGGTCCAGAAGGTCCAAAAGGTCGAGCAGGTCCATCTGGGGACCCAGGTGCTGCTGGTCCTGCTGGGGAAAAGGTCAGTAACTACCTCATAAAGTAGATGGAGCCTGTGATCTTCATCACTAAAAAGACACAGAAAAAGATCTGCAAGATCTTAGGCTACCTAACAGTAGTTTTTATAAAACACTACTAAAGCAGGTCACTGGAGTTCATATTTGATCATGTATTGGGAAATCAATACTTTGCAAGTTGCAAAACAACATTATAGCACTTAATTGGCAGACAAAGCAGAACAATCCTAAATTACATACATGTACATCAAGAAAAACACAATGCAGAGGAAATACTTGGGCACAAAGGAGAAAGAGGAGATGCAAGAGAACGACTTAATATTCATTGCCATATAATTATAAATTTTCATATGAAGATTGGTTTAAACAGAAAGTATATCCTGAACAGAAACCCAAAACAAGTTTGGTAAAAGTGAAACATAATGCTTAGAGGGAAGACTGAGTAAAGAATAGGGAAATGAAATATCGAGGAGAACAAGCAGAGAGATAAGCACAAATACTTGAGTAATGCTGGCCTCACCAAAATACACTTGCAATGGAAATAGAAGAGGAAAGGAGACTGAAGAAGGTACATGTATTTTACTGAAAGCATCTGTAAAGAGATTGTGGCATTTGGGAAACCTGGGAAAGAATGATTAAAATAAGCAAAAAAATGGGTCAGAATTATGTATATTGTGAGAAGATGCTGATGAAAATATTTCCATTTAGTATTTTTTTATTAACTGAGGTTTTATTGCTGGTTGTATCTTGAAAATAAATAGGACAGGAGGTAGAGTTTACAGTTCTTAGTTTCTCTGTCTTCAAAATAAGAACAGCTAGTACTTTTCCAACATTATATTTGACATACATTAATTATGTATGTATGTATCTATTTATCTATCCATCTATTTATCCAACTATCATTCTAGTAGTAAAGACTGAAGTCTTAAATGTGATACTAATTAAAAATTAACAGGGTTTTTAGGAGTTTTCAGGGAAGAACAGGATGTATTCTGCAAACTTGGAAAAAACTCTCTTTTCATTCAGTTACTTCTTTTTACAAATACGTCATTATAGATCAGCAAGAGGTTAAAATTACAATTTGAGTCTGGTGTTTACAAGTTCTTATAAAAGAATTTGTCCAAAAGCTTAGTTCAATCACTCAAAAAAAGAATAATTTTCGGCTTTCCCCAGCTATGGGGAACTATTTATGAATTAATCTTCACAGATTTGCAAGATATCTCAACAGCTGTTAGCAAGGTCATGAATCAAAAACATAAAAAAAAAGAAACACAAATACAAATATTTATTCCTTTCATTTCCCATTGAAAGTAAAACATCTTCTGTCAATATTCTGTGGATAATTTGCCAGAATACATTAGGCCAGGGAAAAATGATATGTGGTTGATCCTGTAATATTTATTTTAGAACAAAGACTGGAATAATATTTGTCAACTCTTAAATCTCATCACAATATTAGGGAAAAGCCTCTATGAGTAACTGTCAGTGTCCTGTTCCTTTCCTTTATTTTATGCAAAAGCACTGTTCTTCTGTAGTAATGAAAATAACAGGTAGCCTCTTCTCCGCATTCAGCTGATTGCATGATAAGAAAACTCCCATATTGTTAGGACTGCATTGGCTTAGTCAAGGAAATGCCAAGTAGTGTGTCAAAAAAAAAAAGCAATATATCAGAAAGGAGTTTAGAACCAAAAAGTATCCATGTCACACCTAGAACCTAGGTGGCTGGGCCTTACTCAGTCATAAAAGACAAAACTTTCACTGAATTTAGCAGAACTTGATGCAGTGTTTTAGAGTTCAATCATTGTAAGGCATGCTGCTTCTTTCAGAGTGGCTTATAACTGGTAGCATTATGTCTATTTTTATAAACTGAAGAAAGAATTCTTCTTTAATAATGTCTCAGCCAGACCTCTGTGCTGCCATGAATATGATAATGCACAACATCTTTATTCATGTGCTCTATTTTTTAAGAATAAGTAGATTTATTTTGGCAAATTCCCTTCCACATACACGTACTTCCTTCATCTTTTCCAGTACTACTGAATACCATATTATATAGCATAATCATATCTTTTCCATTTAAATCTTCTCCAAAATGTAACAGCCTGGAACATGATCAGTGTTTAGAACAGTCAAATTCTTCCCCAGAGTTTCCATCTCTTAAATGTTGAAACTGCTTTCCCCTGCCTTTGAAAGCAGCAAGCCATCACTTGTTTTCTAAATATCTGAAAAGATCAACTCCACGGGGTACAGTATTTCATTTCTAGAAATGGGTAAGGTCAGTGCTGATCAAACTGTTCATCCTGTTCTCTTTTCAGAACATAGCAAGGTGGCCATATTTGCTAATATATCTATTGCCTGCAAATAGTAGAGTATGATTTACCATAGTCATAAACAGATTACCTGTGATTAAAAAAGTTGATCATTCAAATGCCTATTTATGAAAAACTTATGGAAAACAAAGAAGCCATCATAGCAAAAATAATTTCTTCTTCTTTACAATCTCCTAATACCTTGATTTCTTAAAGAATATTAATACTTCCATGACCACATCCCACAACGAAGGGGTACTGGTTTTGTTGAACTCATTCACTAGAGTAAGATATTTATTTAGATTTGGGGAACTAAGCCCACTGATAATGAGTTGTTCAAATGAGAAAATTATTTCATTTATATTCCATAAAATGTCAACTCTCTAAGTTGTGGAAAAAACACTTTCCATAAAAGTTTGCTGAAATACTAAGGAAAATATTAAACTAAAATTAAGCACTGTCTTATTATTACAGGGCAAGCTTGGTGTACCTGGATTGCCAGGATATCCAGGAAGACAAGGTCCAAAGGTGAGCTGTATATAAACTGTAAATCCTACACTGTTTTTCACATTTTCTTTCTTGATAATCATTATCTGAAGTAAAGTCTTAGAAAATCTTGGATCTGTAAGGCTGGCTCTTCAAGGAACATTAAATTTCTTATTGAATATACTGCTTTCAAACTTTTGCCATTCTCTGAGTTATAATTTGTGTTAACTCCAGACTGGCATGCATTAAATTATATCAAAAAAGAAATGACTTATATGTTTGAAAGAGAATAAGCACTATAGTCAGATTAAGACGGATGCTGAAAGTGATGGTAATTTTCAGTGTGATGCAAGGATTCAATTTGTGTCATTACTGCCTCTTCTTATTAAGAAGAAGAGATAGAATAATAAAACATTATTCTACAGACATTTCCCAGTGTAGAGAAGGCAATGAGGGAGACATTGCATCTCCAGACCATCTTAAAGATGAGTCATCTGGGACAGCATCATAAGAAGAATCTCTTTCCCCTTCCTACATAACTGAACAATCAGTCTGCAGTAAAATCCTCAACTTTTTTCTAATTTGGGATCTATTTTCATCTTCCAACTTGAAACTATGCTTTTTTGGCAGAACAACAACTACCCGGCTGCCTAAGCAAAGCTTAGCTTGTTTTTTTTCTGACTCTGGCCTACATTTTGTCCTTTTCTGTCAAACGGATGAACTAACTGAAGAGTGCTTATTCACTGAACACTCTATGTTAACAAAAAAAATATCAGAACCATCTCAGGAAAGTATTTATGAAGACAATTCACCTTGACAAACATGTTTTTTTCCCTCCTACTTCTTAAATCAAATGTCTAAGATTTCAGTGTCTCTTTTTGTTCTTCTTTTGAACTGTCTTTTGAAAAGTCTGAGATCAAAGACGTTTTGCATTATTCAGTTCTAAGAACAAAAGTGATGTAACACTTCAAATAAAAACTGACTGATACTTTTTTCAGCAGACTTACTCAAGAATTGCATTACATTAAATTTTCATTTCATTGCATTAAAATGGAATATAGTTCTCAAGCTACATTCACTGTTTGCTCTTCTAATTTATCGCTTAAACTTCAAAAAAAGAAAAAAAAAAAGACAGCTAAAATGCATCAACTCACTGAAGAATTGTTTTGTAACTTAGTCACAGTCCAGTTAAAGTCAACATAAAGGATAGGGAGAGAGAGAAAAAAAGTAACTGTAGAAGAATATATTATATATTCTAATATATTAGAAGAATATATTAGTCTAAAAAGTCTTGTTCCAATATTGTTGAGGTTTATGTTACTCTTTTTGTTGTAATTTACTTGTTTTTCCTTGTACTGTTATAAATTGATAATTTTCACAATATGTTTTTACTTCTGCCGTTCCTTTTTTATTAGCTCAAATGCAAAAAGTATTTTATATATATTTATGCCCAAGTCATATCTATTAGTGTCCAGTCATTAAAGTTGTTTTTTTCCTCTCAGCCTTTTAATTACAAAGAATATACTTGAGCTTCACAGAACAAAATTTTTGCAATTTCATTCACTTTTAAAATGGTGAAGAACTGAGAGGAAGAGAGGGAGAGATGGAAGAAAACTGTACCAGTGATTTATCAGTCAGATTTTCATTAGTCACCATCATTGATGTATTGTTCCCGAATTCATTAATGCATAATTGTGCAACATAAGATGAATTAAAAGAAGAAGAAATGATTATTCACTGAAATTTCAAAGAGCAGAAAGAACTTCTATTTAAAGTTTTTGTTATATGCATTTTCTTTGCCACTAAAATACTAACTAGCTGTACAGATATCACAGGAATATCACAGTAAGGAGTTTGACCAGTAGTTTGAGTGACTGATGAAACCAAACACTGCTTTGATTTTTCATCTTCAGTAAAAGTATATTTTACCAAGTCTGTCAACTCTTCTGCCCTAACTGCCTTATGAAAAATTAACACCTTGGCAGCTAACAAGTCTCCTCTTCCTTTGGACCTGTATACTAGAAATCAAGAAGAAAATAGCTCTGTTCAGATTTGGTGGCAGTAAGCAGGAAAAAATCAGTGAAAAAGGAGAAGCAGGAATAGCTCCTGGGAGTAGTTGCCATGCATAGAACCAAGTCAGATAATCTACACATAAATTCTGCATCCTAGACAAGCGTATGGCCACAAGAACAAATTGCATCAGTTAAATGAAACTTTCCACTGGTCAGTTTACAGTGAATGACCAGAGGTCATATATTTTCAGCTCAATGGACTAACTGCTGTTGAGAAGTGGCAACACTTACAACTACGTTACATGCAGTTTTGTTGTAAAATAATTATTTTACTGTGAGAGACAAGGCCTTGTTTCACTTTGTTATGATACAATTGCAGTTATTTCTAGTGGACTGATAATGATCCTGGTGCAGATTTAATGAATAATACCTAAGGTGAAAAATAATGTTCATTCCATACATTGATTTTTTTAATACATTCTGGACTTAACATGGATGGTAAGTTAATTTACAGCTGTCTGTTAGTGCTGTCACACTTGCAAGTTTGACATGATGTAAAATGTGCATCATTTTGGAGTTATGCTTTATATATAAATTAAATGCTGGCTATACTACAGTTTTTTCAATTAATGTTTAATGATAATTGCGTTGATTTTTTATGTAGGGTTCAACTGGTTTCCCAGGATTTCCAGGTGCCAATGGAGAGAAAGGCGCAAGGGTAAGATAATTATGTCTTGCATGACAGTTACCTTTTGGTACTCTGTGCTATGGGAATTCACTGAAGCTGCTATCCAAGGAACTATAAAAACAGGCTTTTTACATTTGAGATGACCTTTGACAGTTATGTAAAACAGAACATACTCAGTCATTAGTTCTCATTCTTGAAAGTGTTAATCTAAGCATACAGGAGCTCAGATACTTTTCGTTGAATACGCTACCACAATTATAAGTTTGAAACGCAGGAAACATACTGCCTTTGCTGAGCATCTGATTTGACAGTACAGCTGAGTGATCTGGCAAGGACTGTGTTTTCCTGTGTCGCGTTCATTGACTTGCTATGATTCAGTTTACCCTCAAGGGAATTCAACTTCTATTTCATAAGTATTCAGATTTACCACAAGCTTCCTTATAGTCTGAGATTTGAAAATGTAAAATATAACAAACAAGATAATGAACATACACTACTACCAAAGAGATACAAAATTACAGATTTTGCTGCTTTGTGAGGGAAAATCCATTATTCGCCTTCTTCAAACTTAAAATGATATATGATATACAGGCAACTGTATTGCTGACTCTAAAGCTCAACAGAATAAAGCTGAATATGTTTCTAGAAGGCTGATGAAATTTGCAGAAGTGAGAGAACGGATAAAAATTTGTAAAGATGATCGACTTAAGTCAAACTAAAGTAATGTTTATTAATATTGTTCTTAATAGTCTATTTTAATTTGCAGCATGAAAAGGAGAAATTCATGATTTTAAGATGAAATAGAAGAAAAAACTAATTGCATTTACATTGCTTTTGTATTCTTTAGATTGTTCTTGTATTATTTTAGTTAGAATATGATGTTATGAACAGAGGAAAGAAGCAAAGCAATGTTCCTTTCATCCCTGTTGGTTTAAATGAGACATGACTACTAAATCAGGATATCAGATCAAAAACAAACCAGCAAACAAAAAAGTAAATAATAACACATCAAAGAGCAGATTTAAAATTATAAAAGTATAATTATGTTGATCAATTATCAAATCTTCGTAAAGCTATTAACACCACCGAACTGCACGTATACTTCAGTGTAAGGTTTTTCACCAATAATACAAGAATATGTGCTTTTTTTTTTTTTAATGTAAAGCAGGCATTATCATTAATTTTGCTTAAAGGTATACACTAGTATGTGATATGCTAGTAAGATAGTCATTGTCCCAATTATAAAGATTTATATTTATAAAGATATAAAGAAATTATAAAGTACCATTCAAGTTCCTTTTTCTACTGGAATATTGTCCAGAACTTTAATCTTCCTTTCATTAGAATACATACAAATTCTAACCTAACACTGAGCCTAAGGAAAGGAATCTACTGGTTATACATAGAAATATAATAAAGCAAAAAAAATAAGGGCTAGTATTACTATACTGTATATTATTCTGTATTAATTCTGTACTTTCTTCACAGGGATTACATGGCAAACCAGGCCCCAGAGGACAGCGAGGACCAACAGTATGTACTGTTGCTTTGCAACACAGAGGTTTTTCTGTATTAATTACCATAGCGTGAAAAATGATTTTGATTTGAATTTGTTACAGTATTCAACAATTACTAACTTTAGATGTTGTATGGAGGATCACAGTTTAGTAGGAAACATTGGTGATAAGTGGATGAATGGACTGGATGATCTTAGAGGTATTTTCCAACATTGGTGATTCTGTGATTCCGTCTTTTTTAATTTTAAATTTTATTTGACAGGGTCCAAGAGGTTCAAGAGGTCCAAGAGGCCCCACAGGCAAACCAGGTCCAAAGGTAATTGTCAGCCACATTATACAAATCAGCTGCAGGCTGTTTCTTTTAAAGAAAATGGAGGTTTCATCTTTGAACACACTGTTGTTCTTTTTCAGGGTACTTCAGGCAATGATGGTCCGCCTGGCCCTCCAGGTGAAAGGGTGCGTGAAAGTTATTTATATGCATGGTGTCTTTCCTGCTATATAAGAGTGTGGTTTGGTGGTGGGAGAATCAATTTATTTTTAGTTCTCCCTCTCATCTATTTGCCTTTCTTTGATCAGACTAACCAGAACAAACAAAATTTCAATTCTAACGATGTTGCTTTTCATAAATTTAGGAATGGGTAAGCTCAAGTTAGCTGAAAGCTTCTTCAAGCATAATTTTTATAAATAAGATGCAGAGAATTCATATACACTTTGCAATATATTCATGCAGTTACAATTGGACTTTGCAAGTCTCTGGTCTTAAGAATGCCCTTTTTACTGTAGCACACCACTTGTTTATGAGATTTACAAATCACTCAAGCCATCGCTAGTTTCTAGAAGATTCTTTGTTGAAACAGCTGATGTTTTTTTAGTTCTGATCAACTAACAATTTCCTTCAAACTACTTCCTGCATCCTTGAGAAATCCTTCTGTGCATGCTAACATAAAGTTTTCTTCTTACTACTCTTATCAGTGGAAAAAATATATATGCGATCAGTCCATTACACAACGGCAAATAGAAAAACAATATTAATAAATTAGATTTCTACCTGTGTGTATATTAAGCAAATGACAAAGTATTAAGTGGAACATTGGTGGCAAGAATAAGTAGCAAGTTTTAGTGAAACAAGAATGATGTCTGAAGGAAGAGACAGGGGTAGGAAGCTGAGATTCAAAGGAGGAATGAGTTAAGTAGTGGGCTAGATAAATCAGAATTAGGCATAGTCCAAAAAAGGAAGTCTATGTTGTCTAACACTGTGGAGGCAGGCTGAGGCAGGCTACCAGGAGCTGAAGAGCAGAGCCTAGTGATTAAGGGGCTTACTGATAACTCCAAGAGGTTATAAGGAAAAGGAACAGGAGAGGGACTGAAAACAGTGAGCAGGTCATCTTACATGAAGGCATCCCTGGAGATAAACTGATTCGAGCAAAAAGATGAAGTTATCACAGAGCCCCACATATGATATCACTTATGTAATTTAAGCGTGTGCTATCTGTTTGCTTTCCAATAGGGATGAATGTCAGCCAAGGACTAAAACTGTCATTTCTACTCAGCTGAGGCTATTCCAGGTACCAGACATGTAAATATTAAACAATCTGTTTTGTCTGGCTACTGCTAAAATGAAATTCAATGACAAAAAGAAAAGGTAATTTTGATAACATGATGTTAGTTTTCTAGTGCTATTTCTTACATAATCCATCATTATACCAACTTGAAATCTGCAAGACATTTTGTCAATAAAAAACAAAATGGAAATCTTCTTTCATTAAAAAGGCTCAAGATATGAGAGTCAAAATACAGTGGGAACTTATGAGGAAGAGAGCGTAGTAACATCACAAAGATTTCCTCCTTTGCTTTGCACTTAGTTAACTCGGATTTAATATTACTCTATAAGATTCACGTAAGGACAAATCTCCAGGTTGGGCACAAGTGACCTCTTCTTCAGCTACATTTGCATACTGCTTCATCTACTTCAGGAGGCTGTCATGCTCTGGCAGTCATGCTCTGTACTCTAATGAACTCAGAAGTAGCCACTACTTTATCAAATGAACTAAAAGGTAGCGTAATTTGGGTGATGTGGCTTCCTGCTTATGATCCTTTGCTTCAAACTTCAAAGCAACACTTCTAACATATTTTGACAGCTGACACTTTAAAAAGCCACATATTTTATACCAAGAGTAGGATAAGGGTTGCACTGTATGATTAGTATACACAGCTCAGCTGTGGAACAGTACAGAATAAATAAGGTATTTCAGGTAGCTAATCTTTGACAGCACATTAAAAACTAAGCAACAAAAAGTCTTCTAATAAGTCTTCTTCTGATGCAGTCCCTTTGAACATATCAGCAATGAATTTTAAGAGTTAGCCTCTGTATTGTTTGATAACAATTTTAGAAACAGTAAGCTAGCACTTTGTGTAAATATGTAGGTGCATAGATCTATGTTCACAGATCTTTGTGGACATACATGTATGTGCATATGTGTAATACACAGTATATCATACATAATACACACATATCATCATCTTTCACAAGATTTGTGAAACAATGCTGCAAGAAAATTTTTTCTCTTTCTATATATATGTATATACAAAACTATAGAAATAAAATTTTCATGCATCACATTTTTTTTAACCATCTCCACTACTCTTCATGAAATCATGAATGTTTTTCATTCTCCCTAGTAACTTGGAAAGTTTATTCTGTTTGAAAATTTGCATTGTTATCAAAGTTGCTTGAAATATTACCAAACTGCAGAAACTGCCAAAGATGAATATTCATCTATTCATCTATTCATCTATTCATCTATTCATCTATTCATCTATTCTGTTAATGCAGATCACCAAACTATGAATGAATTCCCATACTTTATGAAACACAGAAAACAGTGTTCCTTACTCATCGTTATTATCCACTATTTCAGGGATTTGATAGAAATACTTCAAAATTGTTTTTTTTTCTAATTGCATTCCTACAGAAATGGTCTTCTTTTCAGTCTGTTAGTGTGAATTGTTGTACCAATGTTTATAACAACGTAGATGAGGCTTGAGACTTACAAGGATATATTATCTACAGAGTTTATATATTTTATAATTGAAGCAAACTTTTCAGTCCATTATTGTGGCAGCTGAAGTAAAATTTTAACTGTTTGCTTCCTTATATACTAGGGACCACAAGGGCCTCAAGGACCTGTTGGATTTCCTGGACCAAAGGGACCCCCAGTGAGTATCTTTTAAATTAAGTAGGTACATTAACAAGAATATTATCTTTCATACAATGTTTCTGAAGGTAGTATTTTAAGACTTTTTTTTAAGAGATGGTTTATGTCTAGACTACAAACATACAAATTTCCTTGATGGTTATGGACTTTTAAGTCTATGACAAGAACTGACATATTCAAAGTGATAATTCAGACATCATCAGTGCAGCACACATGACATTCAGCACAATATGCCAACTGGAAATCCTCAAGTATCTTGATGCCAAAGTCTGGGTAGCTGACAAGCTGAATTTAAGCAAAATTCTAATACAGTAATATATATGTCCTTTTAACAGTTGATTCACTGAGAAAAAAATAAAGAGGAAGGAGACATTCAATAGAATCAGAAATGTGTAGAAATATTTGTACACGTAAGCTGCAGCCTAAACTAATCAAACTGCTTTTCTAGTGTGCTTTTGCACACTTGTATTAAGTACAAAAGTATCAAACCACCTGTTGTTTTTTTATGCATGTATTTCCTACTTTTACTGCCACTGCCAAAAACTGAAATTTGTAAAATACTCCCATAATCTGTAGTGTTTTTCTTAACTGAGTCATTAGTCAAAGAAAAATGGAAAAGAAATATTTCCAAAATCTCTGAATTTATTGAAATCCATTTTGAAAACTCATGTATTTGACATCCCAGCAGTCACTCTCCAAGGAACCGTTAATATGCATCAGGAAGGACACAAGGAAAATGTATCGTTAAAACAATAGCTAAAAACTGTGCAGCTAAAGACTAGTTTAAAATAAAAGACATCAGAGATTCCTGCAGCTAACTATACACTTATTTCAATATTAAGAATGGTGAAGAAATTACTTTTTTAATGTATTTTACAACTTCAGGGCCCACCTGGTAAAGATGGCTTGCCTGGACATCCAGGACAGCGGGGTGAGACTGTAAGTACATGAGCTTTACTGTGATGCTGTTGTAAACCTCTTGAAGTCAGAATAGTGTGACCAAAACTAAAAAAAATAGAAGCAACAGAGAAAAGGGAAGGAGGTTGGGACTGGGAGATAATATAATGGCAGTTATCTACTGGTACAGTAGGTTAGACATAAGAAATTTTTGTTTTGTTTCCATACTATGAAGGTGAGATTACTCCTTCCTCTGATCAGTCGGTAACATCAGAATGTGCTTAACTAGTCAACAGAAGTAGTAAAAATTAATACTCAAACACTCATATCTCAGAATTAGTGAAGTGAGACTGTGCCTTGAGGCATGATGAGAAATTTCTAAGAAATATGGGCCAAATGATACCTTTTTTTTTTTACACAGGTGGGGATGGTAAGAGAAAGATACAGGCTTTTAGGCAGAGACCCCTGGTTGTGATACAGCAGTAATTACACACAGAATCACAGAATCATAAGGGTGGAAGGAACCTCTGTAAATCATCTCATCTGATCCCCCTGCTAAAGCAGGTTCTCTAAAGTAGTTGCACAGGAAAGCGTCCAGATGGGTTTTCAATATCTCCAGAGAAGGGGAACCAGAACCTCTCTAGGCAGCTTGTTCCAGGACTCTCAAACCCTCAAAGCTTTTCCTTGTATTTATATGAAACTTCCTATGTTCTAGTTTGTGCCCCTTCTCCTGTCACTGGGCACCACCAAAAATAGCCTTGGCCCCATCAACTTGACTCCTGCCCATTAGATATTTATAAACATTTATAAGATCTCCTTTCAGTCTTCTCCAGACTGAACAGTTCCAGTTCTCTCAGCCTTTCCTCATTAGAGAAATGATCCAGACCCCTAGTAATCTCTGTGGTTCTCCACTGGACTCTCTCTACAAATTCCCTGTCTTTCTTGAACTGAGGAGCCCAGAACTGGACATTCTGTATGAGCTAGCTGATGGCATGTGAGGTTTGAGAAAGAGCAGCCACGAGCAGAGCCAAACAGGAGCACAATGCAGTAGTCATCTGTGTGAACCTCATATTCAAAGCACGTGCTGCAGAAAGTCTGCAGTGTACCCCAAACTGGGTCCTTCTAAGGCCCGTCCAATTTAATCCACCTTCTATGCCTTTCTTTAAAAAGCATTTTTTTAAAAAAATATTTATGTATCTGGGTTTATGATTCATGATGTACATATGTAAAAATGTATTTTCAGTTGTCATTCAGCTGCATCGCCTAATCAAGTTCACCTAGAGAGATCTGTAAACCTGAATGGAAATTTTACTACTGCACTAACTCATATCAGCTGGAACTAAGAGCTAAGAAAATTTAATCAGTCCTTCACTTGTAAGCATATTCTGGAAAACCAGAATATCTCATTTTTATTTTCTGAAGAGAAGAACTTATGACATGGAATTTCTCTTTCTCCTCTTCAGAACAGATAAGAATTTGGCTCTTCTATATATTTTCCCAGGTAACATAGTATTCTATGATTATTTCACAGGGATTTCAAGGAAAAACTGGCCCTCCTGGTCCTGGTGGGGTTGTTGGCCCTCAGGTACATCATTTAATTTCATACTTAACTTTATAAAGTTGATTTTTAATGGTTATATTATAACTAATGCAGAGGGCAGTTATATTTGTTGTATTAAAAGAAATATATCAATGATTATCTTTACTTTGGTGTCAAATTATTCATAACAAAGTTATACTTAGTACTTACCAATAGTTCCATGAAACATGAATGTTGAGATTATTTTTGTACTTCTATTTTTGTGTGTGTATTCTTGATGTCATCATGAAGCAGAAGTCAAGAATGTGAAGTGAGATTTCTAATGCAAAATAATTTATAAAGAACAATTGTATTATGTGACATTCTTGTCAGAGATCAAATCTCAATCACTTTTAGATTGTGGATTGTTTTACCAACAAAGTTCAATTTTATCTGATATTACATATTTGCAGAAAAATCAGACATTTGGATTGCCTGGGTTTTTTATAGATAATTCCTTTAGTGAAAGTTTTCTACTAGTGCATCTAGAGAGGTATCTTTCAACTCTCTCACCTTACAATTCATGTTATATAGAAAAACAGTACAGGCAGTGTTTCAAGACAAGCACAGTACATGAATTTCCCATACATATACTTTTGTAACCTCCTCCCATGTGTGGAAATGCACTGTGTTTTAAGCTTCATTGCCTAGGAGCAAGGTCAAGATTTCAATCTGTGGAAACTGTTCAGGCGTGTCTACAGGCAAAAGGCAATGCAATATTTATTTTATAGGACAAAAATATTTTGTAAGTCAGTTTTGCCTGGAGGGAAAGGTGAGGAATGTATGCTAACCATGCTCTCTCAGAACAGCTGGATATTGAGAATCTGCCCCCTCTAGACATTAAAAACCTTGAGATGACTGGGGTTTACCTTTGTGCTTAGGGTCCTACTGGTGAGACTGGCCCAATTGGTGAAAGAGGTCATCCAGGTCCTCCTGGCCCACCAGGTGAACAAGGCCTCCCAGGTGCTGCAGGAAAAGAAGGTGCTAAGGTATGATGGGGCTTTTGGAAGGGGCACATATGTTGATGACATACTTGTATGTCAAATTATCATGTAAAACATGCTGCATAAAATCATAATTGATACATTTCACATAGTAGAAATTCACTGACCAAATTTAGCTCTTGGCTTACTTTTCACCAGTGGGGCAAAAGAAAACTATCAATTGTCTAATTACTATATAATTCAGTCTTCCATTTTCAATGGACACTGTAACTTTTTAATGAATATTATTTTTCAATGGATTTTTCTGGCTATATTTTTCACCATTTATATTCTATAACTAATGCTATATTTTGGCAAAATTGTTATAAACTTAACCATATTTATAAACTATTTCATTGATAATATTAAAGATAAAAGAATTAGCAGATGAATAGCTGAGGACATAATCTTCTTTAAGACCTAGTATTTAATTTTCAGTACTCAGTTAATGACAAACAATCACATTTCAAACAATTCTGTTCAATCAAAATGTGATATATTTTAAGGGTGACCCAGGTCCTCAAGGTATTCCTGGGAAAGATGGACCAGCAGGACTTCGTGGTTTCCCTGGAGAAAGAGGCCTTCCAGGAGCACAGGTACAATATCAAGCACTACAAACATTTGACATGGTTTCTAAATAAATGAAAACAATAGATGAATCCTCTTCATTCATGCAACCTTCAGTTATGTCTAAAAATGAATGCAATAGGCGAAGACTCACCAAGTATCCATCATTAAGTACCACTGGCTATATAACCAGAAAGTAATCTATTCAGTTGTTTCTCTGGATTTTGGTGTTCTTCCTGTTGTATGTGTTGCAAAAATAACTAGAATTTTCCATTGTAAGAGGTAAATATTTTTTTCATCTTTTAGGGTCCCGCTGGTCTAAAAGGAGGGGAAGGCCCACAAGGTCCACCTGGCCCTATTGTAAGTAAACATAATAATTGTGTGGAAGTATAAACAATATCACATGTGCTTAAGAACTTTCTCAAAGTATGAGAAACATAAAAAACATCTAGATTTGGAAAAAATATGTGTAATTCTAAACTTCCCATTGAAATCCAAGGGAAAATAAATTATGCAAGAATGTAAGAATGACCTACTGAAAACACTGTGTTATGAATCTTCAAAGAAATTATGCATAATGCAATTATTAGGAATTTTAGAACATGATGGGAAACCATCCATTACTTTCCTGACTTGGGTTTTATCATAATTCTTGTGTGAACCATACCTAGAGAAACATTGAAACTCTTGCAAATTATGTTTGCTTGACAGCTATGTAAAGTTCATTAGAATTTAACTACTTGTTACACAGTAACACTCCTTCTCTACACTCTAGGCTCAACACAGGTGTAAATATATATTTGCCAACTTCTTGTGTTTTTTGTTTTTTTTTTTAACTCTGTGATTATGACAGAGAGAAAAACAGATATGCACTTATTCCTCAAAAGCAGTAAATTGTTATCCCTTAAGTAGTTTGAGCAGATTTTTTACTACACAGTACTGTGCTCATCGGTTGTTTACATTTAGATTTTTGTTTCCTATTTCAGCTTTCACTCTTTACATCTCTGCTGCCTATTTCACTGCAGCTTGTGGTAGGAATCCACTGAAAGGTATTTGAAGTAGAATACCTACTTCAACTTGCCTGTTCTCTGTTATTTTTATGACAGTGATGCACTGGATGCCCACACTACATTCATCTCCAAATAGAAATTTAGATTTTGAAAAATGTAGATTTTGACAACTATCTTGTCAATGCAGTTATCCATAAATGTAATTCATTTCTGTGCAAATGAAGTGAAAAAAATGTCATCTCAGCTATTCCTGGTGGTCAAAAAAGTAACAGAGGAGCTGAAAGTCTATGTTTTTCAGTAAAAAAAAGCTTTCATGTTTCCCTACACCTGATTCTGAGATTAGAAAGCATTAAACAGGCAGAAAAAAAAAAAAAAACCAACAACTTAGTATAAAAATTTGTGCTTCTGGATTATTTCTATATTATTGGACTCTAGATCTGCTACTGGAAAAGATCTACTGTAGAACACTAAGCTTTATTTCTTAATTTCTCAATTCCTGGTATGTGAATTCTTAAGACTAATTATTAAAGTAGGAATGGAATGGAAGATAACACAGAGGGTCAAGAAGGATTATCACTCCACTCCATATGAAGAAACTGAACGTTTAGAAGAAAAGTTGAAATAAATATCAGGAAAGCATAGACCAAACTATTCTCTAAAGGCCATGTCATGATTTTCTGTTAGGGATTGCCCCAAGGCTGGGCTAACTACTCAAGCAGTTGGTTAGCTTAGGTGCAATGAAACCAGACAGTGCAAGCATATTTGACATTTCAGCACACTCCCCTTTCACAGACAGGATATTCACACAGTAGATGTGCCAATACCATCACAGTTTCTCATAAATATGTGTCATGAAAGGCTGTGAGGGAAAAACATATAACCTGTTTCATAACAGTTGTCTATATTCTGATATACATATATTTGAATTTAAATTAAAATGCTCCGTTTTTCTGCTTACAGGATGTATGTGATACTGTTTTAGTTCTACTACCCATGTTTTGGTTCAAATCCTGGAACTTTCTCAGAACTTGTGAATTGTATTCCTTTTATGTGAAAATAAATTAATAGAGAAATTCCAGGAGCTATTCTAACAATACTAGCTAATTTGAGTTCAGTGTCAGAGATTGAGGTTTATTCCAAAAGATATTGAGTATGGTTATCAGGAGTACAGTACCAACTGCTTCACATCGCAAATTCATTCCTTTTGAGACTGCATTTCCAGCTAAGTTAAATATAGAAAGAGTCAAGGAGGAAGCTCATAACTTTTTGCATATTGTTTTTCCAATTTCTTTTTTTTTTTTTTTTTTTGAGAAGTAAATGTGGTTGGAATTGCAGGCAAAGGGAAAGGGTTTAAAGGGAAAATATTTTTTTCTGACCATTTTAAGTTCACTGTAGTAAAAACAGGCCAGTTGAGGTAGAAACAGCACCAAGTTGACCTGAAAGTATTTCATAAGTCCAAAGTGGTGGTTTGCTTTTTTCCTATTTCATCTGTAATTACTAACTTCTTATCCTGAAAGTGTTTTCTAGTGAATAAGAGGCACAGATGCCCCTAACTCCAAGTTTTAGTGTATCTACAAGCGCCATGATTAAACCACAATAATTTTGTTGTTTTTTTTTTCCTCAGCAGTTTATAGCAGACTGTGAAGATCAAATATTCCTAAAATATTTTTGCATCTGTTTTTAGCCAACAGACAGTACATGCAGAAGTGTAATTATAATGGATTCTTCTTCTGCCATTTGTAATAGGAGGAGGACTCATGCCATTGGGTGATCTTCCTCCAGTTCCCCCCAGTACCAATTGCTTCTAACTAGCATATATAGTCAGTTATATGGTCTGTCTGGCTGGTACATAGATCTGTGAGCATACCAAACAAATGATTGCTCCAAGTACTGTGTGTGCCAACTATTGTGCTTAGAAGGATCTGGACAAAAGAAAGAGGTGCATGAATGCACTCCAGAGCAAGTTTTTCTGTTTTGTTTTGCTGTTAATGGTTTATTTTTTAATGGCTCTTTTGTCTGCTGTCTTTGCCTTACGTTTGTTTTATTCCTTTCTCATACTATTGTGTGTAATGCTGATGGGAGAAGGCTCTTTCTAATGTCAAACAGTCATTTTTCAGTATCCCATTTAGGGATAGGATGCCCAAATTGAACTCAAAATATGCCACCTGTAGGCTACCCAATTATCAGCATTGAGCTACCTTCCTCTGTCTGTAGCATTTTTCATTTATGGAGATGTTCATTTGTTGAGCATTTTGTTAGCAATCAGTAAAAAATACTGCTACAACCACATAATGTATATAAAAGCTATAATTACATATCTCTTCTCAGAAAGTCAGACAAAACAAGGTCACTAATGAGTTTATAGTCTGTATAAGAGAAATACAAAGCCTTCCATTCTGTTCTGCAGATGGTTATGTTGTTTTTTTTTTTTTTGCTTGTTTGTTTTCCTGGTTGGTTTCTGTTTTTAAAGACAGAAAATGATATTAAAAAAAAAAAAAAAAGAGAAAAGAAAATGCAAAGCAGGTACTACTCACTGAATAGTACAGGTATCTTCTCTGCTGGTCAAAGATGTGAAATGTTGACCAAGGTCATGAAAAACACTGCTAAATCAGAATTCTCTTATAACATTTCTTTTTTTCTAGGGCTCACCAGGAGAACGTGGAGCAGCAGGCACTGCTGGTCCAATTGGTCTACCAGGTCGTCCTGGACCTCAGGGTCCTCCAGGCCCTGCAGGGGAGAAGGGTGCTCCTGTAAGTAACCACAGAGACACACAAAACTGTGACAACACAGAGTTTTCATTTCAGAGTGTTACTTTTTACCATATTAGTATTTGCCTATTAAATGTATGAAATTAATTAAATAGTAAAACATTTATTGCCATACCCTCTAACATCTAAGATGTGTTAAGCTTGTTATTATCCCAACAGTTAGTAAGTATTATGCTCAAATCAGTCTTTCATTAAAATTTATATACAGACACTCTGCATTAAAGCACAAGCATATTTGTCCTCAGATTCCATTACTACTTGGTATAAATTTCTGATATGTTTTCTAGCATTTATTGTTTCCTTCTGTTTTTTTTTAAATGTCTTGTTGTATTCATCCCTGATATATTATAATCATCTTATGCTGCTATTTTCATTTCTAATATTGTTTCTTTTGTAACAAAAAGTTTTTGTAACAAATATTTTAAATTGTCTTGTTTCTCTTATTGAATACATTGAGAGAATATTTCTGATAGTGTGAAACCACTTGCAGTAATCTTAAGACATACACATTCATTTATATTATCATACGCGAATGGATTTAATATGGCTTGGAGAAAAATCCAGATAATTTAAATTATTTATAAGTTCAGTTTTATAGACATTCAGGTAATATCATTTTCCTTAGTTTCCTGAATTCAGTTATTCACATCCCAAAATATGCTTTCCTGAAATGAAATTATGATTTTGAACTCTATGGACAGCAAAGAAAAAATAAAATAATCACCAACAAAAGAATTGGGAAAAAAAAAAAAAAAAAAAAGCACTGAAAAAAAACAAAAACCTAACATAATGCCAGCAATTGTTGAGAGCGAAGACTTTTGTTACTTGAAATTTGTCATGAAAGAAGTTATTTTTGAGATAAGGTTTTAGAGGACATGTATGTGTATTACAGTTGTAATCCTGCATGCACTTATAGGTCTGAGTTAGGACAAGATATCTTTAAGTTTTAATCTGGAATTAATTTACCCATTTAGTAATCCAGTTGCTACAGTGGCATGCATAAACATAATTTTTTTTAACAGACTCATAGTAAGAAGTATGATCTTTGTATTTTCCATGATGATTCTGAATATTAGTAAACTTATTCTTTAGAAGTTGTAAGAGACTGGAGGGAAGTGAGGAGCGCAGCATTGAATTCACTCCCGCTTCTAGCTTCCACTTGCATAGAAGACCTAGTGCTGTCTTAGAACACCTTTGGGTGCATTTGGGACTGTATTGCTGTATAGCTAATATAATTACCTGCACTGAAAGCTTAATTAAACTCCTTTGATAATGTGCATCACTTCCTTTTCTTCAAAACCAGGGTGAAAAAGGTCCTCAAGGTCCAGCTGGACGTGATGGAGTACAAGGTCCTGTAGGACTTCCTGGTCCTGCTGGTCCAAGTGGTTCTCCTGGAGAAGATGGTGACAAGGTGAATAGTAATTTAGAATCATTGGTAATAGGTTGAGAGTGTCAGAAAAATATGTTAGCAGCAGAGATATTCTGTTAACTTTTGGCAGAATTCAGGACACAGCATCTTTTAGGATCATTTGTATTAAATACGGCAGTGTTCTGTTAGTCAGCATTGTATAAAGGTAAAGACTTTGAGGTTTGTTTTTATAATGCATGAGTGTGATTTTCCCTACAGAGTGTATTTTCTGTGATTTAATTTAATTTTATTATTATTATTGTATAAGGTAAGGTTTTCTGACATGTTTTCCTAGCAAGTTGAATCATGCTGAAATTTTGAAATATTGTACACTGCACTGAGAAAAAAGTATTTGGTCACATACAGTTAAGCAAGTCTGTAAATCACAATACTTTTGTTACAAGTTCATACCAAGGGTGACAAGAGGAACACAATCTCCTTTGTTTAGACCTGAGTACCACTCTTACTTCAAAGCCAGGTCTTTGGGGCCTTTGCAGTAGAACAGTCAATAGCCAGATTAAAATGACACACTATTGATTGATGCAGAATTGCCTCCTTTAGGCCTTCATGGTTGAAATTGCAACATAAAACACAGAATAATCATATCAAACGGAACATTTAAAGGTACTGTGATATTGGAGTCAGCTAAGTGTGAAGGAGACCATTCTAAACAAGAACTTTAACTTCTAACTTTCAATTACAGGGTGAAATTGGTGAACCGGGTCAAAAAGGTAGTAAAGGTGACAAAGGAGAAAACGTGAGTAGCAAAGTCCTTTGCCCATTTCATTCTTCATAAATAAAAGGTGTTCGTGCATAAACTACTCATATAGTGTTGCTACCTTAGTGAATAGAAACAAAGAACTATTTCAAAAATGTTTCTTCAAAATAATATTGAGTTTTAACACTGTTATTAGAAATACTAAATAAAAATGCATTGTGTTTGTTAGGTTCCTAGAGCTTCCAGAATCATTAAAAAGTAAACGGATAAATTTAATTCCTAAGCATTCTCCCAGTATCATTTTAATTTGTTCACTTTGTACTGGGAGAGATCAAGAATATGAACACATTATCTTACTGTGTTTACATCAACTGTCTGGATTGTGTGAACACACCCAACTTTGTTTTTTCAGCCATAACAGTAAAGAATACAACAACTTAATAGAAAATCTACTAATACAGCTAATTTTTTAAAAAGAGTATCTAATTATTGGAGAGTGAACTTAACTTATTCAGTATTTCAGAACAGTAAAGACTCCACATGCCATGCCTTATACAAATTTTCAAGTATCAATAGGCACAGTAGTGAATTTGGGACTAATTAGGCTTTTAATAACTTAATTTGAGCTGGTTTTGGATTTCAAAATCACTGCTGCAGTTCAAGCACTTCCTCCTTCAAGCTTTTCCCACTTTAAAATTCAAAACGAATCAAATTAGGATTTTGTTTTGTTTCTTAGCCAAAAATTCAGTCTTCTATTTCACCGGTTTTCAGGTAGAAAAACTCAGAACACAACGTAGAATTATTCACAACTAAGCACATTTGCTATCTTGAAAACACTCTGCTTGTTATAACTATATATGCAGTATCATAAAAGTAGATTACTTATGAAATCCACAGCAAATTTATGGCTTCCATAAAATCAGATGATATTTTATGGGAAGATGTAAACAACTTCAAGCAATTTAGTTTTATTATATTTTTATAGAAAAAAATGTGGAGATAAAATGTCAAGAAAATGGCAAGGGTTTTCTACTTTTGTTCATTTCTAAAGATAAGGCTGTCTTTTTCAATTATTTATGTGAGAAAGAAAGACTTCTGCAGTTTTCAGTGCTGAGTATGTATTTTTCACAATCCCATTGCATTAGATCATATCACAAGTGCTATAATAAACTACTTGCAATGCCCTATTTACACAAGGAATGCAATATTATACATATGAATGCACTTCTATTATAAAACCCATTTATTCATAAAACCTACATCTAACCAAGCTGTTTGGAAAACCCTGCTTCTGAACTAAAATTACTCTTGCATAATCTAAGCTGTTTTAGTTTTGATTAACTTGGTAAAATTAATTTATCAAATGAAAGCATTTAAAATAATCATTTTCAAAATGACTGACTTCTCAGTTAACTGAAAATCAATTTTAGTTTATTTATTTTTGCAGTGGTAAACCAGCTGTGGAGTACAAAGTTATGTATTCTGTTCCTCTTTGTCCCCCTAAAGAGATCCATTACATTACAGGCTCTGCATAAATAGAAAAATATTATAAATAGAAAAATATTTAAAGGAGAGAGCAGAGGAAGCATATGAAACAGGTCATGGCCAAGTTCCACTTAAACTCTGCAAGCACTCACATGCATATCTTTCTGTTCTTACCATTGACTTTCTTCTTCATCAAGATGTTCATCAGAGAAATCAGAAAAAATATATGCTGGAGTTTTGTATTTCAGACCATTTCAGCTTGGCTAGTTATACTGAGCATTAGACTGTGACCACTGTTTCCATAGTGAATACTAATGTATTTGAACTCATTTTCACACACCTGCTTTACAAATAAGGTATCTGCAGTATAATCATTTGAGAATGTATCATGTACATTCTCAATCTCAAGGTGTAAGGCATTAGTAAATACTGTATGTTTTCCATGAAATACACTATCCACTGTTAGAGTCTGCTCATTTGAAGGCATGCATTTTACTCTGTTTGGAGTCCTATGTATTGAAACCTATTTGCCCTCAGTTGCACTCATTCAACCCTGACGATTTCAGAATTTATTTCAAACCTGCTTTCCTTTCAACATGCTGACAGATGTATATGGGGCAGAGGAAAGGCCTTTTTAGTCACCTCTGAAAGATTCTGAAGAGAAAGTAAGTACGCAGTTCTGAAATCACTGGACATTAGGGGTAGATTTTTACAGTATCTGCACACCCATAAAATCCTCAGTGGTTATTTGCTCATCACAGCAAGGACATTGACAAGGAAAAATTGCTCCCTTTTTCTTGTTTAAGATGAGCTTGAAATATCTTCAGTTCCCTTTCTGAAACTAATTAAAATTTAAGCTTGAAGTTTAACTGTACTACACCTAACAAAAAATATAGTATGTTTTCATATTCAATTAGGGATAACACAAATTTATTGTTAATGCAATAGAAAAGGGTATCTGTATGAACCAAATAATTTTTAATTAGTCAATATCAAAGTACTTTCAAACAGCACGTCACATCAAAATGAACATTTTAATGAGATTAAAAATAGGTAAGTTTTGTTCTGGGCCCTGTAAAAGGAAGGAAAAAGCAGAGGCATCCTGCAATGTGTAGAAGACAGGCATTCCAATACTGTTTTTAAATTCATACATGCTATTTCCCTTTCTCATGGCAATCCTTCCAATCTACAAGAGCATTCCTAAGAGTGCTTTAATTTAGATTTTTCACAATAGAGTCAAGAGAGCTTTGCTTCTCGTATTGACATCATACATGCCATTGTTCCATAGAGTAAAAGGAAAAAAAGGTCATTAGAAAAGAGAAGAAAAATATTGTTTAAAATTTCCAGCTACCTAGAAAATAAGATACACATAGAACCCAAAGAAAGAAATAATTTGCAAGACTTAAGTTCCTTTTCCCATAAAGGGTGCAATATTTTAACTGTAGCCTTAGCAAGGTATTCAAACAAATTCAAGCACACTTCTGCACTGAATTAGATTTTTCAAGCCAGAAACTGCAGAAAACTTCTTTGTCATCAGAAATGACAGGCTAGAATTCAACCCATGCAGAATGTAATGCTTTCTGAGCTCTTTTCTTCATAAGTCTAACCTGTCTAGTTGGTGAAAAAGCCAGATTCAACCTAGCATACCATTTTAACCATCATAAATTTGTGTCCTGAATTCCCAGATTTGGGGCTAAATTTCATCATTATATCAATCTGTTTAACAGAACATTAAAATATGGACAGTGTTACCTACAAAATTATTGTTCTGGAAGACTAACACATAAAATTAAGGAGTTCCTCTGAGATACGTTTTTTCCCATTCTCCTGAAAAGAGGAATAATATCAAAGAGAATGTGGCTCCTAGTGCTCAAAATGAACTTACAATGCAGGTATTAGATGTCAAAATAAACTTTGTGCTGTCACCATAAAATATTTACAATTTCATAAAACTAATCCAGTCAACAAGTATGTCATTTAAGGGTAAATTGTTAGGTGATTACTTAATTCTCATTAAAAGGCCTGATATTTTTTAATTAAAAAAAAAAAAAAAAAAAGTTTCCATCTTGCTTCATGTTTGCACAGGAGTTATTTTAAATTTTCTGAAACCATTACAAATGTAAGCACTTTCAATAAATGCCAGTTTAAGGTTTATTATGGACATGCAAATCTGAGTTTTAAGAGCTGAACAAACTGCTTATTTGTTATGAATGGAAAAGTCTTATGAATAATATTACATTCTCCATGGAGAAATGTAAAAACAATAGCATTTGATCATGCAAATATATTTGCTGTTTATCTCATTCCAGATGCCAGAGTACTCACTCTTCCTTTTCAATGCTTGTTGCAGGGTCCTCCAGGTCCACCAGGTCTCCAGGGTCCTGTTGGTGCTCCTGGCATAGCTGTAAGTAGCTTATTCAGAGCAAATCACAATGTTACTAAAAATCATTTGATGCTTCAGAGTTCTTTGAAGTACATGGTAATTTTTGCTACTTATACAGGAATAGATTTCAGATTACTAATAACAGTTGTGTCATTGTGCCCTTAAATTCAGTTGTTCATTATAAATGAGGCTGTACTGCTATTATTTATTAAAATTTCATTATTAAAAATGAAATATTATAAGCAGTGAACAGAGACCATCCCTTTCAGACAACTTGTCTGATATTTTTTTTTTAATCACTCAGTGTTCAAATCAGTTTGATATTAAATGCACTTAAAAGAGATGGTCTTTTTAAAATTCACCTAGTACAAAGTTGTGGGTTTATTTTCAAAAGTTACGAATTTTTTAGGAGTAAATATTGGTCAGACTGTGTGCTACTCATATATTACTAATATGCAGGTATTCAACAGCTAGAATGTTTACACAGTTTATGAAAGAGAATAGGTGTTCAGGGAAAATTAATGTGAGGCTTGTATTGTTTGATCTGCTTTAAACCAGGACACAGTCTGATGTTCCATTTGTTTAACAGATTTCATTCATCAGGTTGGTATATACATTTGTAATGACATTAGAACTAATTCTGAGCCCTCTTCCAGTTGTTTGTCCAGTGATAACACAAGAGCTTCTTCTGTTTTCAGACCTGTGATGTTTTTGTTTCTTGCTCTTTCCAAAAAGGGAGGTGATGGGGAGCCAGGTCCAAGAGGTCAGCAAGGAATGTTTGGGCAAAAAGGTGATGAAGGTCCTCGAGGTTTCCCTGGCCCTCCAGGCCCTATTGGCTTACAGGTAAATTCATGTACTGTTTTACCCTTTACTTATAAAGCGTCACTGAGAAATCAGGAGATTGTTTTATTCAGGAATGCAGTTCTCATAGCAACAATGAGCTGCTGGGATTAAGAGCTTTCACTTTCATGTATCTAATATTCCATGGTAAGTATATTGCACTTACTTCAATTAGATTATAGTAATAGTACTTAAAGTGGATATTACATAAAAATAATTTTGTTTTTAAAGGTAATAATGGTGAATTTTGAATACTTATTAACTGTGAATTTCCTTAATATATAAAATATTACTTTTAAGATTATGTTTCTTTAATAAAGGGCTTTCTAATAAAGCAAGCTGAAAATCAAGAAAATTTGAAAATCTATGTGCATATTTAAGCGATCTCATGATCATTTTATGGCAATTTTACTTAAATATTGAAATATAAAATGACAAACCACTACTTCTTGCCAAAAGGAACTGCCATGTCCAATGATGTATGAAATACCATATCATTAAATCAGTAAGAAATTTTCTGCATTAGAATAAGTGTTCAGTAAATGGCTTTTGAGAATTTTTGAAGACAGAAATATCAAGAAAATGTTTAATTACCTTTGAAGTTTCATAAATCCATCCTCTGCAAACTGTACAAATTGTGCTTTAAATTTAATATTTATATTAACATTAGCAAAATCAGGGTCTGAGATTATAACTTTTAAAACAAGCAAACGGACTACATAAAAACACAACTGTGTTGTTTAATAGTTGATTATTTAATAGTAAATAGGCTTTTACAATAACCATACTCACTGATATGTCAGCCAAGTTTTCACCATAGTAGATAATTGAAACTTACATTATTTTAGAAAAGGTACACCTCTGAATTTTGATGAGCCTTTCTACAGTTCAGATTGTGTCAAAGTAGGAGGACAGCTGACAAATATATATAGTGTTGATACGCTGATACTTCATAATTTTCATACAGTTCTGTAGCAAAGACAATAAATTACGTTTTCCAATCTGGTAGTAATAATTTGATACATTAAAAATAGCAGAACACTGGAGATGAAACTTGGAACCAGATCTTAATGTAATATCAATATTGTAATGTTATTGACTCCAGATTCAGGGTAATCTGCACGATACAGAAGCCAAAATTTTATCCTGCATTTAGAAATGCCAACTTAGGAGTGATATTGTTTCTAGGTGGGATAACATTATACTAGAATCAGTACTAGCATCATCTTCATTTTCCTTCTCTTGATGTTTGTTACTAGACAAACTTGGACACTTTCTTTGTAAGAAAGTTTGCATTAAAGCAGTGCAGTGCCTCTCAGCAGGATTCATTACCTCCACTGGACACCTTGCTAATGCAGTTTTACAGCTTCCAGTACTGAGGTAGTTTAGACATTTTTGCATGCCACTTCACTGTGCTGCCTCGATCATGTTTTGTTGACATATATATGTCATAAATCATATTGTCCAAACACACACATGGGGTTTGGATAATGATGGCAATGTTCCTGAATTCAGCCACCCTAGATAGCATTTGTGTATAAATAATAATTATTATTATTATTATTTTCTGTCTCACCTTGTTTAAACAGTTCAGGACTACATATGCATTTGCTGTAACATGAAAAGCTCCTTTTATGTATTGATTTATTTATTGTAATTAAATTTTGGTGTTTTGTTCCTTTCCTTGTCCTCTCTCCCCTCCACCTGCCCCTGCCCAAGTTTCACAAGTGGATCTGATTTCTATTTTTTCATATTGATTTATATCTCATTATTGCAGATACTCTACTAACAGTTGTTTGGTTTTTTTTTTCTTCCTTGATTTTTAGGGTTTGCCTGGCCCACCAGGTGAAAAAGGTGAAAATGGCGATGTGGGCCCAATGGTGAGTTTTCTTCCCCACTAGTCATTCTCACAATAAATATTATCCATGTATTACTGTCTTTTCTCAGAAACTCACCATTTGATAAGCTACTCCTGAATTCTTTACCTGACCATGAAACTTTTTTGTGTATTGTGAGCTATCTCTGGAATTTATTTTGCATTCCTGAATCCATCTCCTCATCTTTAAGATGAAGATTTATGTAAGAAAATATTTAGAAGTAGCTACGCGTGTCTGACAGGACAAGGTAAAAAGAGTCAGGAATGAAGAAGAATAAGGAGAGACTACTGCACTGGAGAATTCAGAGCTGCTATTCCGAAATAGCAACTCCAGGGCACTGTTACCATATCATCAAGGATCAGTTGCACTTTTTCCATGGGATTGTAATTGCAGGCTAATACTATTTTGCTATGTTTACATTGTTTCTCGGGGTGATCTTGAGTCTATATTTGTTGAAGTGCAGTGATGCCTCTGGGCTGGTCCTGACTGAGATGCAAGCTGTCTCCCTAACGCACATGCATCCAACAATTGCCAGCCTTTTTTATTGTTGTCCATCTGTAGTCACCATGGTGCAGTACCATCACATGGCTGTTAACAGACAGATAAGCTACTCTGGGGCCCTTGCACAGAAGAAAGTGTGTATAGGTAAACTGCAGGAAAAATGCAATTCAGGAAACCAGTCTTCATGAGTCCTAATCAGGTCATTTTCAACTCAGGTACCATATAGCTTGGATCCCTCCTGAACTCATGCATTGGAAGCAATTCAGCCCTGCTGTAGAACTCTGAAGACTAAAATTCCTCTAAAGGTTGAGGATATTGTTTCTAACTGGCAAACAACAACAAAGAACTATTTATCTTACCTTTTTTTTTAAATATACCAAATTGTCTTTTTGATACAGGGTCCACCTGGTCCTCCAGGTCCAAGAGGTCCACAAGGTCCTAATGGAGCTGATGTAAGAACTTTTCTTTCTCTTAACATTGCTTTTGAAATTCAGTAATAAGCAGTATATTGGGGATAACTGTATTTGGAATAACTATCATCTTGTGTCATCGCAGGGTCCTCAAGGTCCCCCAGGCTCAATCGGCTCTGTTGGAGGTGTTGGGGAAAAGGTGAGAATATTGAAAATATCATTTCTAAAAAGAGAAAACATTGAAACTGGAATATACATTTTGTTTCTTCTTTGTTGCTACACAGATATATTACAGTTCCCAAATAGCCCTCATTGACAATAATTATTAATAGTGATCAAGCTATCTAGTTATACTTCTAATAGCAGAATTACTGTTTGTTTCTTTTCTTTAATATTTTACATCACAAAAGTATGAAAGAGTCAAGAAAGAGTCGAGGAGAAGAGTAAGCCTTATCAGTGCTTAATAAGTAAGGCTGTAGTGATTTCCTCAGTTTCACAGTTTGATGTTTACAGTAACATGATTAGATTCAACAGTATATTTCATTTTATACAGCTTTACCTTAGAATACCATAAATCTTTCTATCTGGAATGTTAAGAATATAAGCTATTATCTAATGTATCAGTGGTAGACTAATGTGTCAGATGTGAAACAGAAATGAAATATCAATACATATTTATTTCTCATATAAATATATACAATTCCAATGAAGTCAAAGGCCAGAGAATGATTTATCATTGTTGAAAACTTGACTTACGACTGATACTCGTTAGTCAAAATTATTTTCATTGCTATTTTTAGTTCTTTATTCAGAAAATTTGCTAGCAGATATGTTTTTATTTTTTAAAAAAATTCTGTATCTTAACCTAAGAAAGTTGCAAAATAACTTTTTATTATTTTTCTTTGTTTTATTTTGTTATGTATTTGAATCACCAGAGTAAACTATTTTAAAATGCAGAGTAAACACAAAATTCAAAAGAGATTCTCTTGAAATTTCTACTTTCATATTTATTTTAACAATTTAGACAACAAATTTCAGTCCCATCCTGGGTGAAAACATAAAGCATTTCTTTGTAATGCTACAGATTAAATATAATTTTTTTTTCTTTAAATCTGGGTCAGGCATTTGGAAAGCAGATTTTGAAAGCTATATAAAGGGAAGGAAAAAAAAATGGAAACATATACAGTCTCCCATATAGGTAATTTGTTGAAAAACTATGCAGATTGATCCTGAGCATTTAAATATTTCCCACAGCATATCATATACATTCAATAAAATTCATGTCAATGAATCCTAGAAATGGCATTCCTGGAAATGCCAATATTGACAGTTGTCAATTCTGGAAAAAAATATGGTATTTCTTCCAAGTATTGGTAACATTTCAGAATGTGAAGCAAGTCTTACCTTTTCTTTCTGTCCATCAGATAATTAAATGCACAGGTACTTTCTCATCTTCCTCGTACACCATCACTGAAATTCTTTACTTCAGAAGTCTTAAATTCTGCTACCTTTCATTTATCTTCACACTGTTTGACACAGTGTACCAATACTGTAATTTTACATACCAATCTATCAGATCTATGAATTTAGAAAGAATGACATAAGTATCAAGTTAATAAAAATCATTTCATGATCCTTTTCTCAATTACTGTCCAGAAGCATGTGATTCTGCTTCATAGAAAGGTATTCTTTCTTTTCATAAGATAAGGTAATTGTCATTATTTTTCCAGGATCCTTTTTATGACTAATACTAAAAATTACGAAAATCTGCAGTTTGTTGTAGAAACTTCTAATTCTTCTGTGATAACAAAAGATATTTCACAGGATAATCTTCTGTATTATTCGTATCTACACTAAAATTGTCCAGCTTTTTCATTAAAATGACTATCGCCCAGTAGAAATGGCATTCTTATGTCTTCTATCTTTTTTACTAGTAATTGCATGAAAGAGAATAAATATTATGCCCTCCTGCTTGTCTGCATTAACAGTGTGTTGTCTCTAATTCCCAAGCTTGTGACATTGTTCTTCCAGCCTACCTTTAAAGAGTGCTTTACAACTTAAAGAGCTGCAGGATTTGTTATTCTCTCAGAAAGAGTACCAAAAATGTGCTTTATTGCAAGCACTGGTAGAGATGGGACATAAGTTGATCTAATGGAAAAAAAGTCTGTATATCAGTGAAATATAGGAAAAAAAAAAAAAAAAAAAAAGAGCAAAGAAAAATTATTCAGTGTCCACTGCAGTACTGAGAAAAAATGTTTATTGTGAGAACATTACATCCAGGGTTGAAACTTGCTACTTTAAAAACAATCTTGTGTAATATAGTGTTCTATTAAAGTCAGTAGGAATTTGGACGTAGGTTTCAATCACATCTTTAATTGTTATTGTTTCACAGTCAAATTATATTCCAGTCATTGTAATTACATTCCAGTCATTCTGTAAAGACACTGACTTGACAACTCCTTACTCCTCTCCTCCCTGCTATTCTTCCATGTGATTTAGAATCCCCACAAGCAGACCACTAAATTTAATTTGAGAACATGATAATTCAGACAGTGTATCACTGCTTGTCATTTTAATTTCCTCTTGCTTATTTCCTGTATTGTCTGTGTTCATACAGAGAAGCTTCCCAGTACATTATTTTGGAGATTTTATTTCTTCTAATTACTTCCCCCCTTCTTAAATTTTATCATGTGACTGATGTCTCTTCTTAGTTAGGACACCTTCCTTTTTAATTTGAGTTCCATTTAATGAGTTCTGCAAATTTAGAAATAATAAAAGAGTTGTTTTGTCAGGAGGATTTTGTTTTTATGAGTCATTCATATCACATGGTGTTCCCACAATAGGAGGACAGTTCAGGCTTCTAAACAAAACATACCTATTCTTCCTCTTCCCGCGTACTTTTTTTCCCAATGCTTTTCCTATTATGTCAGTATGCTTTGGCCTCCGCATCCCTTCCAGGAAAGAGCTATGCTGTAGATAACACTATGCAGTGTTGACAGTAGAATGTGGAAAAAATATTTTGGCATTCTGTGTCACTGTTGAGTAGCAAAATATATTTGCTCATTTTCGTATTTGAATGGATGAATTAGAAGGAGATATTTTGATATTTGACAAAATTACCAACAATTTTTGTCACATGTAGTGCAATGTATGTTTAACTATCTTGTTGGTTCCTCTGTTGTCCATACAAAATTCTAAATGTTCAGAAACAGTACAAATGTGCATGTAGCCTTGCATTATAAATGCCTGTATCCATATAATAGTCTAGAAGTCTTGTGACTTACACTCTTACACTCAACCAAAAGCAGTTAAAACCAGCTTTCACCCTAAGATTTATTTTCTTTTTTCAGCTTTTGCTTTAGAAAAACGAGAAATAGAAAAAATACCAGCTCATGTTGACCATTTGATATCAAAGGCCTTACGTGCTGATATTCTAAATCTCCAGTAAATTGCTCAAAACTTTCAAAACTGGGCCTTAGATGTGTAGGTCAGTTGAAAACAAAATTACTCTTTGAAAAAACATATGTATGCATATTGATTGTTTCTTTCCACTTAATTTCACTAAAAAATTGTAGATTAAGAGCTTGTAACAGACACAGAAAACAGAAAAAGTAACATTAGTGCTGTGCTTCTCTTTGACAAAACCTAATAAAAATAAGCTCAGACTTAGAGTGTTTAAGTTAATCTGTGATAACTGTGTTGGGTACTCTGTCTTCTTACAAACCTCTCCCACTTTCATTTGTACATACACACATATCTGTTCAGTCGTTAAGATAATTAAGATGGTTGTGACAATTTATGTAACCTGAATATCTATCCTTGCAACATCTTAGTTTTAATATTTTTGCATGACCTACTGACTCCTTCCTTCCTTCCTTCCTTCCTTCCTTCCTTCCTTCCTTCCTTCCTTCCTTCCTTCCTTCCTTCCTTCCTTCCTTCCTTCCTTCCTTCCTTCCTTCCTTCCTTCCTTCCTTCCTTCCTTCCTTCCTTCCTTCCTTCCTTCCTTCCTTCCTTCCTTCCTTCCTTCCTTCCTTCCTTCCTTCCTTCCTTCCTTCCTTCCTTCCTTCCTTCCTTCCTTCCTTCCTTCCTTCCTTCCTTCCTTCCTTCCTTCCTTCCTTCCTTCCTTCCTTCCTTCCCTACCCTCCAATTTGCTTGTAAGCCCTTCCAAAAAATATAACACATCTATAGAATTTCTTTCTTGATTAAATTTACCTCTCCACAGATCCCTAATACATAGAACAGTTGCACATGCATATACCTATGTGACAAAAGACTGAACATTTCTGTGAAATGACATGATGCTTTGTAGTTGAGAATTTCTGCTAAAGACACTGCTGCTGAAATTCTGTCAGAGGACAGCACTAACATTTAAATGATCTGGCCTGATGACAAAAAGAAATGAAAAAGAAATCCAGAGGTGGAATATATCTATTAGATCATAAAATCTATTTCCCAACTGAACGTGAAATATTTCCTAAGGAGGAAATGAAGTAGAATCTGAATTAATACTACCCTTATCAAAAAGGCAATGAAAGACAAAGTTTTTGATAATCATAAATATATATTCTGTAAATATATATCAGCTACAATCTTGTCTGTCAAAACATTGTTTAATTCCCTTGCCAGCTGTCTGTAACAGTTGCAACCTTTTATAATACTTAAAAGTTGTAACGTAAAAAACAGTATGTGAAAAAAGCAAGGACTGCATGTGGGAAGAGTCATATCTGCATTATAAAGCAGTATATGATTTTAAAGGATTAATGTCAGATTAAACTGTAACTGATCTCATCTTACACAAGTGCTCCTTCCACACGTGTCCTTTGAGGAGAACATCTTGACATTTCCTTGCCCTTCTACATTTGCTTTCTTCCACATTGCTGTTTATTATGGTTTTACTGTGCAGTGAGTTCACATGGGCTGCCTCCATCTGCCAATTTCAACATATGTGCTATAGCAGGGATCCCTGAGATCCTAGGAGCACTGTGTTCTCCACAGGTGTTGACAGACTGTGTAGGTCAGTAAGTCAGAAAAAGCCCATCTTTTCTCTCATTGCAAAATATCATAAAATGAAGATGAGTTTGTCAAAGGGTAAAGGAGTTGCTTTCAAATCAAATGTGAATCATAAATTTAAAAGTCTTTTGTCAGGAAGGCAGAAATGAACTTACTCTCTGAGAAGCGTAAAAGGGATTCATACTGGCAGGGATGCTTGTCAGGCAAGACCTGACACAATCAGTGCTCTTAAGTCTCTCAATTAGTCCTACAATGAACACCCTCTACTGAAGGGCTGTACTGAATTTAGTCTACACTGCAGACTCTGCTAGATAGAGTATCTCTACTACCTTGAATATCATCTTTATATATATTTATAGAGAAAGATTTATATATATATATTTCTGTATTTATATAGAGATATAAATAGATTTTGTATAGATTTTCTTCGTATTGTGTTCTTCTCAAAGCCATCTGATATATTAAATAATTTCCATCACCAGTAAATACATAACATATTCCTTTGTGACCAGTGATCAAAGTTTTACTAACTTTATGCTATTATGTTATTATTTTATGTTTTTCTTTATATAATGATTTATTTTAACAGTAGCTCTAGCAATAATGTTTCTGCTTTATTAAAATTAATTTCAAATCAGTATTATCATATTTGTAGGGATTTGCCTCTAGCAAAAAATACATATTATAGAGGAAATATATATATATATATATATATATATATATATACACACACATGCATACTTCTTTGACTTTTCTGTGCCTAGAAAGGAAAAAGACAAACAGGAAATTTGCAATATATGGGATAATAAAGAGGAATATCTTCCAAAGCCTGAAGGGAAAGTCAGTCTCCCTTCTCATCAGAAGCTTAGTTTGAAAAATTGTTTCTAAAATTTCAGATTCCACTTCTGCAGAAACACGTGTCCCAATTGCCTTTAGGTAGAGTCAATAAGAGACAACTCCTGTAAGCTGTTATCATGAATAAGCATGCAAAAAAAATATGTAATAACAGAAGCAAATTCATACAAATATCTAATGTCTACCTAATGACTCATCAGTTTATCCTCACACATGTATAGGGTGAACCTGGAGAAGCTGGTAACCCTGGACCTCCTGGAGAATCTGGAACATCTGTGAGTCTTTTGGTTTTGTCTTATTAGCCTGTATCACAATAAACAAAAACATAAGGTAGTGCTTACTTTAAGAAACATTTAATGAGATTACTTGTGTTTTTGTGTTTAAATTTTCAGTGAAGACCTTTCTTACAATATTGAAATGCAATTTGTTTCCTTAAACTATAGCCACATCTTATAGTAAGATGTGACAAAGTTGTGAAGACTTCCTTAAAAGAGCACTATCTTTGATATGCATATTTTTTCTCTATGGAAGCAATTCATTGATGCAAAATAGGTTCAGACTCACATCTGGTTGCAGATGTTTGCACTCAGACCTGAGATTAAGAGGTTTTCCAATCTGAGGCTGAGGGCCTAATATCCCTTTCACATACCAACATTTAATGAGGAATAACATTGCCCAGATCTGAAAAACAGTTTTGCCACTGTAATCTTTCTTTAGCCATTTAATTCTCAGACAATATTTTTTTGTTCATGTGTTTCCTACAGGGTCCAAAAGGTGAAAGGGGAGAAAAAGGTGAGGCTGGTCCACCTGGAGCAGCTGGACCACCAGGTGCTAAAGGACCTCCAGGTGATGATGGGCCTAAGGGTAACCCAGTAAGTAATCTTAATAATTTTAACACAAAGTACAGCATAACATTGCTGAAACTGTGCTACATATAGAACTACAGATTAACCTGTACACTGGAACTAAATTTATCATATTCTTAACAAAATATTTCTGATGACTGTTACCTGCTTCTCTGTGCATGACATCTTCCTTGTTTTTTTCCTGATTTACCTAGGGTCCGGTTGGTTTTCCTGGAGATCCTGGTCCCCCTGGAGAGCCCGGTCCAGCTGTAAGTATATTTGAAAAGCAGTTTAAGGTCCTGGATTTGGTCTGCATTCACTTGCAGTTACTGCCATCTCTTCTTGGTTTGGAAAGGAGGTCTTTCCTGTTAAATTGCTTCGGCTATTCGTATATTTCTTCAATCCTACAAAAAAAAAAAATAGAAATCTTTAAAAAGTTTTGAAAATGAGTGTCTGTAGGAAAATTCTCTTCAGAAAACTAGTGCTCTTGTATTCATCGTTGAAACAAAGTTACTGAATTTTTCTGAATTTGTATCTTTTGTTTATTTTCACATGATTTCTGTAGGGTCAAGATGGTGTTGGTGGAGAGAAGGGCGAAGATGGTGATCCTGGTCAACCTGTGAGTTGTTTTCTTTTGGCTACATTTTCTCCTGCTGAGAAAGTGCTTTTAGCTGAATCAGTGTTTTCTGTAGATTCATACTCTAACAAATGTTTTCTCAACAGATTCTTTTTATATTGTACTGAAAAATCTCTTTATTTCCTTGTAGAATTAGACTTACCTATATAATAGATACAACCAAAAGAAGGAGAAAATTTTTGTTTTAATGCTGAGATGCATTAAAATGAGAGCAGCTCTTAGTATACAAAAAGTAATGCTGAAGACAATTGTCTTCATTAGCTCACTTTATGAAGTGAATCTTAATCTTGGAGTTTCCACTGTATTTCATGTGAAGTCTAAGAGTTACATAATATTAATCAGTGCTCTTAGCATTCTGGAGATTCCTACATTGAAGCATCGTGAATTTAATTTTTTACTGCAAAAAGCTAGGTCTTCCTTTTTGGAAACTCTGTTTACAGCCCTGGAATTTCTGACTATCAGGAAAATATTTTATACAGTACAATGTGAAAGAAAAACGCTAGTAATTCAACATATGGTTAGAACTAATAAACCAGAGTTTAAATTGAAAAGTTCAGGATGAGCATCTGTATATCTAACTTCACAGTAAGTACTTTTAGAATGTTATGCTCATGAAGAAAAACTTATCAAACTGTTCAGTAGACCTGAAATATTTCAAAGGGTATCACAGCATACCTATGTGGGGGAGACAAATGGCTGTCAATGCAGAATATTTTCAATAGAAGGTGACTTACTGGGCAGCTAACTTACAGAAGCTAGTAAAAAATACAGGAAAAGTAACAATTTCAGCACCTGAGAAAGCAAGAAATACTCTTAATCGAGTTAGTCAGTAGACTGTACATTACCATTGTGCAGACACTTCCAGAGATGAAATGTTCTGTTTTAAGCAAGAAAAAAAGAGTAGTTGCATTTTGTACAAAATCTGTTGAAAACTGCAAAAGATGACTCTAAGAAAGGACTTGCTGATTAAGCAAGTATCACTTCCGTATGATAATTATTTTCTGTCCATTAAAAGAGATGTTGTAGATATTCACTGCATTTAAGAAAGAAAATGATTTTATATATTGTTACCTCTGAGCCTATTGCTTTCCACTGCAGGGTCCGCCTGGTCCTTCAGGAGAAGCTGGCCCACCTGGTCCACCTGGAAAGAGAGTAAGTCATTTCTCATTGCCTCTAGTACATCTCTCTTTCAAAGATATTATATTTTAGAGTATTTCAGCTGTTTTCCATCTTGTGATGCTTCATATATGAAGTTTTCTTTTAATAATGTGAGAAATAAAAAAATGCAAACAACAGAGAAAACTCTTTAACATGAGTCCTGTAAAGGACTTTCAGTTAAAAATAGATTTGTTAAAATATATAGCGTGTCCTGGAATACAAATCATGAGGAAAATAACTCTAAGCGTATGTTTGGTGTAGTTGTATGTATACAGCTTGAGATCAAAAAGTCAACTGCAGACCTGGAGATTTTAGAGTTGAGAGTACAGTTACCAGTGAAGTACTGACAATGGACAAATCTTGTGTTCATTAGTTTCGAACTAGCAACTGCAGGCAGCCTGAACTAGGAAAACAGCAGAAGAGTCCACGTCCACACTCAGCCCATGCAATGGATTAGCACATCTGGCCATTCTGGTTATTTTTTCTCATTTATTTCAGTAGAGTTAAAGCCAGTCCTCTCACAGTAACTCCTTATAAGAGCTCAGAAGAATTTCTATGATCAGCCTCAAGAACAAAAATATATAGGAATGAATATATTCAATGTCAGTAGTTATGATTTGTCTTCTTTTCTCTCTCAAGTGAATTCAGTATGTGATAGGGTAAAAAAAACCTGGAATTTTTGCTAGCCTACTAATCGGAGTGAGTGACAATGAGAGTAATAACACATCATCCATGGGTACATGACTGCTGGCAGGGATAAGAAAGGAAGTGACTGCTTTTGTGTCTTTAGCCTATGAAATAATTTAAATGCAACTTAGTGAAAATTGTTCTCATCCCTTTGACTTATAACATCAACAGTGAGACATTTCTGTAGCTTATGAAGAGATTTCATTATTTCTGAAATTTTTGAAGCTTTACAGGCTTTACAAATACAGATAATCAGAAACAGTAGATAATATACTTAAAGAATTGTAGTAGGTAGATGCACCACCCTTTAGGTCTGTTTCAGAGAGTGCTTGGATGCTGTTTTTATGCTTTAAAATAAAAGATGGGAGCATCATTGAATTTAAGCTGAGAGCTATTTAACAAAATGTGTTAGATTGCTCAGTGTAATGGGCTTAAGTGAACCGACATGCCTCATTGGTTTTATCTATTTTACACAGTAACCTGTTTGCTCTACAAACTCACAAAACATTTATAATACTATAAAGAAATTATGGTAGCATTAACAACCTTATCACTAGAACTGCTAATATTCAGTCAATCCATATTTCAATTAGTATGTTTGTTCTACATCAGATTAGAACTTCCTATTTTATTATATGGAAAGGCAGTATCTCACTCCTAATAAGTAGTATATATTACTATCTGTAGCTAGATAAAAATTAAAAATTCAAATATAATGTCACACATTTTAATACAAATCTAGTTTATGAATAGTGTGAAGAAAAAAATATTGTCATAAAATATCTAATTCCTGAATACTGAAGCAAATAGTTTATAGAGTCAGATTCTATATGACCTGAGTACCTGAATAATTTGGTCTTGTAGGGATTCTGTATTGTATTGAAGTTCTACTAGAGAAATACAGCAAAGGTCTTCAGGCTTTTTACTTTGCTGACAGAAAGAATGGAAAAAAATGTGCTTTGTTAGCTTTCATCAGTTGCATGGTAAAACCAGTTTCAACAAAAAGCCCCAGGAAGTGTCATTTCATCCAGATGCACCATTTCAGTAGTAAGATTGATATTATTGAAGGTGCAGTTCTGGAAATATTACTGCAAAGCAACATGCCACCTATTTTTTTGTATCTTTGTTTTTCTGTCTCCAAAATGACAAGCTGACAGAGATCAGGATTCAAACTTGTAAGTGTAGCTCTTCAAGTGCCTCAACTGTATGATCTCCTTATTTATTGCCATTCATTTTCATTCCCATCTTCCCATGTATTTTGGATCAGATTTGAACTCAGTTTCAATGGCCAATCTTTGAAAATTACGCTTATTGTCAGTTTCCAAAGTTATGAGCAGTCTGCATCAAATATTGCAGGTTCCAAAGAGGTTCCCCTAGCTTTCTCTCAGAATCAACTTCTAGCACAGGACTTAAAAGCTTTTCCCAATGTATCTATGAGAGTCTCAGCTATATAGTTACAGTGACATTCAACTATCAAGTGAAGGCCAATAAGAAACTATTTCTTCCAAGTTATTGATGTGAATAAGCAAATAATTGTTTTACTGTGATGCTCTAAAGGCTTTGACATAACAGCAGGAGCTTTGCTCCGAAACTGTGCAAGGGTGTAATGGACAAGCAGCGTGGTGAATTCTTTTAATAAAATTTTGGAGCTACATGTCAGAGAGCATGTTCCTTCATGTTTACCTCTGAAGAGATAAAATTCCCTAGCATGCTGCCGAGCACTCAGGTTAGGTCAAAAGAAAAGTTTAAAGTCTGTGGCTGACACAAAAATTGATCATTAGAGCATCCACAAATGTGTACTGTAATGAATACATTACTTTTTCAGACCTATCAATGGCTCCTCCTAAAAAATATTTCTATGACTGCTTTTCAGAAAATTCTATTACCATAAATGCTTTCAGTTTTATAAGGGACAGATCAGTGTATCTTCAGAACAAAGTTCCATATTCAGATGAAGAACTAGTTCAAGTATATATATTCAAATTCCAAAAACATAATCTAGAAGCAGCAAACCCTATGACAGTCATTGATAAAGTCCATTAGTGATTACAGATATTACTGAATTTTAACTAACTCATAATATTTTAAAGTTTATGACTTCTGAAATGATCACTACTGTACCAAATAAAAAAAAAAATACTTGCTGATAAGGCTGTATACATTGAAATAGCTATGGTACAAATAAACATAGCCCTTCAGTGTGTTAGGTCATTCAGCTGTGTTTTCTGCTGCTTGCATTAAAGTCAGTTAGGTGTCTAGATCACGTACATTTAAGGGTCTATATATTATGCTAAAAATGTTAGAATTTAAACAAGTCTCAGATACATTTTTGTTCTAAACTGGAGTATATAGAGCCTGCTTTCAATATAAGAACAGGTTTCAATTCTCCACAAGATAGCCAACTTCTACAATTTGAAAAGCAGAGTGTTATTTGGTTAATTCCTTTTATATACAATGTTGAATGATTTGAGAAAAAAAAAAAAGAAAAAAAAAAGTATTACTATGAAGATTTTATTCCATTTTGGTTATAATATTCCATGGTTTACTGTATTGGAAATCATGGTTTTAGTCAGATGGCCAGTAGATATAGACAACAGATTAAAATATTTTAATGAAAATCTTAAATATGGAAGAACAAACAAAATATCCAACAGTTTAATGTAAGAAAAATTGAGGACGTATTTCATACTGCATGAGTTCTTTTGTCTTTTCAGTTCTGCATAAGGCAACACATCCAAATTGTAGTGTAGCAATCTTAACAGTTACCATGGCAGCTAGACTGGTGAGCCATGCATTATAATAAATTACTGATATTGAGATCTTCTGTCAGTTAAAATTTATTAGACACTCCAAAAATTCAAGTGGAGGAAGGCAAGTTAAATAGCAATTAGCAGTCTTTCAGTGTAGAAACAACATCTGTGCCATGCCAGCCATTACACCCTGTTAGAAGGCACAGTTCATTGGGCTGCTTTACTCATAGTGCAGCACTGGCACTGTTTAGTAATGAATGTACCCTCTTATTTTAGCAGTCTTGATTCACTGTATTTTTAATTTAGTGATCACAGGATTTTTAGATCTGCTACTTCAAATGCAGCTGCATTTGTGGATTATTAAGAGATCATATTTCGCAAATACAAACTACCACACAAACATATTTAGTTTCTTAGCTAAGGTAGATTGTAGCTGACACACCAAACTGAATGAAAGGAGAGAAGTAAAGAGCATGAACACATAAATTAATTCGTGTATAAAAAAACCATCCTATTTCTAAAACATTCCTGAGTTTATTTATGTAGCTGCCAATAATTTTTCTTCTTATCACTGCAAATTGTGATCCACTCAAACAGTTACAAGCTGTGCAAAGGAGTATATGCATCAGAGATTATTACTGATACACTGTTCATGTAAATTGTTCTTCCTGTCAAAAAGAATCAGCAAGTGGTTCACAATGTTCAGGTATTTTTAACTTCTCTGTATTCCAAAGAGGTAAAATTAAGTCCTTTAATACTTGTACTCTTTATAAGTACCAAAGAGAACAATCTGTTGAGAGCCACATCAAATGACCAGAGTCCATTGTGGGTAATTCTGTTCATTTTGCATTATCTTTGATGGAAAACCTGAACTACCTCTGTTGGCCAAAAAGGTTAATACAATGCTGCAGATGTTCAGTTCCACCATAGAGAAAGCTTAGTATTATAATCAAATGAATTATTTTAATATACTTTTATGTAAATACTTGTAAAATGAATGTAAATTTTCCAGAATTAAATTAAATCTGTTGGAATTATGTTCAAGGTATATGTGCAATAATAGTGGACTATTAAATATATCAGGCTGTAAAAAGTATGGAGTAAATTCAGCTGTCATATAAAAAAATTGCTGTAAAATCAAAGTGAGATTTTAGATCACAAAGGATACCGTAAAATTAAGAATGTTTTGTGATTTATTTTACTGTATTTTTTTCACCTATTGCTATAAAGTAAAAAAAAGTCAATGACAATTACTGGCTTTTTTTTAATTGCTATTTCTTAGGGCATTTTTTTTCTGTATTACAAACTGTTAAATTAATGAATAGATGACTTTTAGGTTGTTAGTTTATAGATTCAGAAAATCACCTCATATTTGATAACTTTCCTTTTGCTTTAAGCTGCTCATTAGTTGGCAAGAAGTAGCTTTCCCAGTATACTGAAACCTTAAGAGATGAAGGATGGGTGATGTCAGCAACAGGTAGTCAGAGTGATGCTGGACTATTGCAAGCCCTGTCTTATGGCCTTCATCTGAACCTTATTCCATTTCTGTATCATCCTTCAGTACCACCTTCTCCCTTCTTAGTTAAGCAGAGCTTTTGTAGAGCAATAGCAGGAAACCCACTACCGAGAGTTCTTTGTAGTTAACATCTTTATTTCATCCTAATGGCCATTAGTCATCTGATTATTTTTTTTTCTCTTTCATATTTATTGGATAATATTGAGACACGTACCGATTTTTAATTAAAAGGCCAATCCCTCACTTAGAGAATAAAGTATGTGCCATTCTTGGCATTGTATAATGACAGATCTTTGGAATCAATGAATAGAAATATTACAATGAGAAGGGAGTCTAAAACTCTTACTGTAAATGTAAATAAATATTTTACTTTTATTTTCTGTTTTTATTTTTTCCAAAGGATATCCTTGTTTTTAACCTTATCCTGTCAGAGGTGTTAAGAAATGCATGTTCTTTTAGATCCTATAAGATCCCCAAAAATTTTATGAAGGAAAAAAGAGCTGATATGACAGAACAGAATTTTCATTCTGTGAATAAAATGTAAAGAAACAAATGTAATTTTTAAAGTAGTTATTACTTAATAATGCTTATAATGACACTTTCAGATTTTTTTTCCACTGTGGAAATATTTTAGAGAACTGAGATTATGAGCTTGGTGTTCCTCTTTCACAGGGACCTCCTGGAGCAACTGGAGCTGAAGGCAGACAAGGTGAAAAAGGTGCAAAGGTAATATATGCAATTATATTTTAAGAGACATGAAAAAATAAACTATTTATAAATTAAAAGTAAATTGCTTATTAGTCACTGAGTGTGTGAAACTTATCAAAATAGCAACAGGTAAATGGTAAAATCCAAATTAAGATCCAAAATTAATAGCAGTAACAGACTACATAACAGACTATGTAGTGGACTCTCACTAGTGCAGGCCCAACTTAACTCACCCCTGTGAAAAATGAGGATAAACATGCTTTGCTGGCACCCTGTGGCTTATATGAAGCTGTCATTGTTTCATTTAGTAAAACGTTCTAGAACACTGTTTTGGAATGACGTTTGAAAAACAGAGCAAAGAAACTTTCACTTTACAGCTGCTATGCCAGGCTTAGTCAACTATTCTCTTTTGACTTCTTCTTTCTTTCTAGGGTGAACCTGGTGCAGAAGGAGCTCCTGGAAAGACAGGTCCAGTTGGTCCTCAGGGACCAGCAGGAAAACCTGGCCCTGAAGGTCTCCGGGGCATTCCTGGCCCTGTGGTGAGTAAACTGAGCATAAAATATTTTAAATGTTGCATTTGTTGTATATTCTCCAGTAAAGCTAATTTTATATTTTCTCTAGGGAGAACAAGGTCTACCTGGAGCACCAGGTCAGGATGGTCCTCCTGGGCCTCTGGTGAGTATGCTTCTCTTCAGTGCCAAAACAGAAAAAGCACCCTTTAAAACACACCATTAACATGTCTGTGCGTATTACAGAAAAACGAATGTGTAAGCCAGTTCCTAGCACAAAGTTCCTATTTTTCTACCCTGTCAGAAATTGATACTTGCTCTACTTTAGTAGGCAACTATGTTGAATGCAGCTGATTTATACCAGCTGAAAAGAATAAGGTAGTGTAAAACTTCTGCCCCCACATCAGCAAATCTTAACACGTTAAATCTTTTTGTTTCCTTTCCAGTGGTAATTTTTTGGGATGCACTGATTTTAGTGACCGCCTGTGAAAACATTATTCCTGGGGTAAAATATTAGATCATACCTATACATTAGAGAAAAAATAAGTAAGTTAGAAGTAAGCCCAAAAAGAGACTTCTACATCAGAAAAAAACATACTAGTTTTGTAAAAATCAACAACAGTGACCTGTCCATTGTTCACTGTTGCAAACCCAGGAAATATAATACATGAGTGAAGTGTTTAAAAGGATCTGAGTGAAACAAGCTCCCAGTTTCTAGGGCATCGGTTAGAGCTGGATATCATGTTTCTGTGAAGCACAAAATAGCAGTGCCACAATATCAACTTTGGTTGCCAACAATGCCAATGAATTATATAATGCCATTCAGCTTGCCATTCTCCTTTTCTTCATGCTTTCAAGTTATATTATTGCTCTTTACATTTACACTATTTTATAACATTGCAGTAGGCATTGAGTGCTGCAGCTGTGATAAAATATTTATCATTGCTAATACATGAGCAGTACAAATCAAACAGGAAGACATTAGATAAAATAGTTATCAGAGCAACATTGGCTGCTCCCATGAGTATAATGATGAAACTTATTTTAGCCATACTGTTGTATAAAACCAAATTCACCTTCCATGAGGATGTTTTTATCATTTCAGCTAGAATTGAGTCTATATCATTTCTGATTTATAAATTTGACAGCAACCTGTTAGTACTAAAGCATGTATTGAGGTACTCTTAGTGGTCTGGTTGCAGTGTAAGGCAAGTTACAAGTTACAGTAAATGTACAGCTTTCTAAATTAGCTTTACCCTTACCCTAACTGCTGTAAAACTGGGACAAAATACATTTCTGTTAGCTTGATGCAAAGTAATCAAATTTTGCTATGTGTTTCTAATATGATTAGAGCAGATTACTTTTCTTAGGTAACATAACATACTACCAAATTATATCATTATTTTTATCTACACTTGCTATTTTAGTGAACTTTTCTATAAAGCTAAAAAAACCGGCATTGTGGGCAAAATGTTGATGTTGTGCAGAAATTAATATCCAAACTATATGGCCATCATGTTAATTAAAGAGTGAAAAACTGAAAAGACTGCCCTGTGCTACATCCATAATAAATACCCTCCCTAAAGAGTTTATGCTTTCAATAAAGGAATAGCTTAAATAATTTGCCTGACTTACAAATGAACGGCATGAGGCACATAAATAATGGGACTGAAATCTCCTTGGTTACAATTCCTTGCTGAACTTAAAAATAATAATAATAATAATAATAATAATAATAATAATAAAGTACTGAATTCATCAGTAGTAAACCACCATTTCTCATGTCAGTCACCAGAAGTTCCAAATGCATCAAGGTTTCTCTTCCAACATTTGACAACTTAGCTATTCAATTCAAATCTGAAGCTGAGTGTATGAATGATTAAAATACTCCCAAATGCCCTGGCTTTCTTTCAGCTCAACAAGAATTTATTTAGATGCATTGCTGTAACTTAGAATTCATTTTGGATTTTAAGAAAGTAGAATTTCTATCTATATGTTATTGAGGTTAGGCTTCGATCCTTCCCTCTCTCCCACTAATTTTACTAACAGAAGAACTGTACGAGAGCAGATTTGAAGTAGAGAGTAACACACTGCAGGTGAGAATGTCTGATTCTGTATTCCAGAAGCTTTAAAATTTCAACTTTTATTCATGAATTATGTATTTGCTTAGGCTTTTGCATCTAATGATATTCTCAAGTACAGATGCAAAGAATACACACTGAATAATATTTTTTACATTGAATGTTATGGCACTTCTTGAAACTGTGCCAGGTTGAAAAGGTCGCTTATTACTGCTATTTGTATCATAATTTCACAGATATCTACTGCAAGCACGAGACTAATAGCAATGAGCTACCAGCTTACTTCAGCAGCTCTGCTCCTAATGCATTCATGTTAGTGTGAGATTAATAGCCTCTGAGAAATTGATGCGTTTTTTTATGCTTGCATATACAAAGCCTGAATTTTTCACTTTATTTTGTGCAAATTATAGAAAACTAGCAATGCTATATATACAAACCTCAGAAGATTCCTCAAATCTCCCAAAATTTCTCAAAAATTTTAAATCAGGATTGAAATAAAATTAAAACTAATTTGGAGAAGAAAAGATAAACGCAAGGAGATTTTATCAAGCTTCATATATATTATTTATGAAAAGTTCGTATAAATATAAAAATATAAGAAGATATCACTTTGAAATCTCTGTAAGGTAGGAGTATTTTTCCAATACAACAGATGAGGAACAGAGGTCCAGAGAGAGTACAGGAGATTCTAACGGAGTTCAGAATAGCTACGCTAGTACTGCAAAACCTGAGTACATGGGCCCCTCTAAAAGTAATGCCTTATATTCATTTCCATGAAAACTACAACAGATACAAAGAGAATAAGAACACTATGGATAAATTCTCAGCTACAAAACACTGGGGTTTTTTGTTTGTTTGTTTTTGTTTTTTGCTAGCCACCACCATTATCCAATTTATATCGAAGAGCTGATGGAGATATTCCTCATTTTGTGGTGTGATGGCTGTGCATGGCCATCTGGAACATGGCTTGCCTTTCATATCACCTTCACCTCTGCTGAAATGCATCACCTATCACCTTACTGTGCTACCATCCACTCTGATGTCCACAAACAAATGTTGATGCATGTCAGTGAGTGCAATTTTTTCCTCATGGAGCAAAGGACACACCTTTGCTTCAGACACACTCCTAGGTCAGATGCCATTTTGTCAGACTGCCCCTCTGCTGCTATTTGTCACACAGCAACAAAAAGGAATGGAATACTGGTGGGAAGGTTCAACCTGTACTGTCATACCACCAGGATCTATCTCTGATATTGTAGGCCAGTGTAATAAAATGGGAGGCATTATTTTGGAGATGCCTTTTTTTTTTTTTTTAATGTTACCACATTTACCAAAATATTGGTGAACCGTATTTTTGTACATACCATTGGAGCTATTGTACTTGATGTTGTTAAGCTTGCAATGTTGAGTAGAAAGAACTTGAATATTCAGAAAATTTAACTGCATAATTCACTGTCATGCAGAAATTTCAGGTTGTAAATCAAAGAAATTGTAATCCCAAGACACTATCTGAAGTACAGAACCAAAGCATGAGGTAGTTCTTCAACAAAGCAATATTGAGAAGCTGTTACTATCAGCAATCTCATTTACTGAGTTGTAGTAACCTGGAAGAAAAAAATTAAGGGCTTGTTTCCATTCTCTTATGAAATAAAGGGCTACAGAAGTACATACTACTGTTTCACAACTGGATAGGTATAGCAATTATGGGGAAATACTAATAAAGCATATAATGTAGCCACAATCAAGATTAGGCTAATGAACAAAAAAATCAATTGAAAATTTCTTTGACTATCACATAATTTCCTGGATGCTTGCAGTACATTTTACGAATTTAGAAGATCTTTTCCTTCTTCATAAATTTCTAATAATTACAGCCTTTTCAGATTTCTAAAGTAATTTAAATGCTACAATAACATTATTACAGCATTCTAAAGATGTATGCCAATGTTATCTTGGGTTCTGAATCACAACCATCATCAATTGAGTGACCTTGTAGTTATACTATCTTTAAAATATTTCAGGAAAACTTGATTTGTACAGTATGTTGAAACTTACTTTTACATTACTTCTTTTGATTTATTTAGGGTCCACCTGGCTTGCCTGGACTGAAAGGAGATCCAGGTTCCAAAGGAGAGAAGGTATATGAGAACGTCTTTGTTCCTTGTTTGTGCCTTTGTAATTTTGGCCTGCTACACAAGTCTGTATAAAAACAGCAGAGAAATACACACTTTTTTTTTCTTTTTTTTTAATTTAAATCAGTAAGCAAGACACCCTAAATAATCCATCAGTCAGCTTTCCATAGCCTCAATGATAATGATGAAGCTTTAAGTAACATCTGATACCCTGGAGATAAGTAGAAAGAAAGGATTACTCTTTGCAGTAATCTATTGATGTTACGACTCTTTTCTGCAATGAAAGCCCTAAGGACACTGATGTAAAGAGAACCTTTGCTTTCACAATAGGCAGGAATAAAAAGTATTGATTTCACTATATAACAACAAGGTGTAAATATTTAACAGTTATAGTACCTTATTCTGAAATAATGGATTGAGAGAACAGGAATACCATTTTCTAATACAGTCCCAACCCTGTATTGATTGCTTGGATATTAGGAAAGAAATGTATACAGAAAGAAATATGAACGTATCTTGTGAATTACAATTTTTGCTTATTTATGTGGATCAGCTGTTTATATAGCTGTAATAAGAATAGCACATCAGTTTCCACAAATAATATTCTTATTAGCATATAAGTGTGGAAATTAGTACGAAATCTGTACCCACTTTTATTGTTATTTTTGCATTTCAGAAAGGACTGTGTTGCATTTAAATCTTTCACTGAATTATACACAGCTTGATAATAATGTCCAAATCCAAAGGCCAACTATTGAAAGTGAATATACTTACAAAATAGTATATCAAATGAATTGATAATAAACAATTGACGACATTTGAAAGCTCTAATCTGTGTTTACAAAGCACATCAGCTTCATAAGTATCAAGTTTTTACTCTACCTTCTTCTATCTTGTTTAGGGACATCCTGGTTTGATTGGCCTGATTGGACCTCCAGGAGAACAAGGTGAAAAGGGTGATAGGGGTCTTCCTGGCCCACAGGGGTCTCCCGGAGCCAAAGGTGATGCAGTAAGTAAAACTTTCTTTTGATTTGATTCAAGTTTCATGTATGTCTTTCTTGCAGGAGACACATGAAGTTACTACAAACATTTATACCCAGCTTGAATCTCCAGCTGGAGTTTAAAGCACAGGCTGCTAATGAGGGACAGACCTGTATGAAGGAAACAGTATACCTGTTAGGTATCAGATAGCTACCAGAACCAGTCTTGTTACATACTACCCAAAGCAGACTCTTTTTTCCTGGTTATTAAACTATGTTTTAAAGCTCTCTGTAAAATATGAAGCTTTAACATTTATCTAAAGAAAAGCAGTGTCGTAACTATAAATGCTGGAGCATGACAATAAAACTGTCAGATTATTAGTTTAAATTGAAAAATTATTTTGGACCCTAGCAAATGACCTAAAGGGAAACTAATTAGAGCTGGACACTTAGTAGAACTACCTTTCTCAATAGATCTGCATTTCTTAACTCAGACCAATACAAAAAATACTTTAATTCTGTCCTTATTTTTTCTTAGGGAATTTCTGGTCCTGCTGGTCCACTTGGACCCCCTGGTCCTCCTGGTTTACCTGTAAGTAATTTCATCCAGTTCTCCCATTCAAAACACTCCTGTGTTTTGCTGAATATATTCCAACTATATGCTTATATTCTTGCCCATAGGGTCCCCAAGGTCCAAAGGGCTCCAAAGGATCCAGTGTGAGTAATTCTCCATATTTTCTGGTTTTGTGCTTCATTTCTGTGTATACATTATTTTTTAATGTTAAGTAGTATGGTCAATAACACATTACTCTCATTGCTTGACAGGGTCCTGCTGGTCAGAAGGGTGATAGTGGTTTACCTGGCCCACCTGGTCCTCCAGTAAGTAGGAACTCTTTCTTGATATGCAAGCATATTCTGCTGTTACGATGACCCTGTTTTGGTGCAGGTAGAAAATGGCACTTGTGAACTTACACAGAAAGAAAATAGTAATGATTATTTGAAAATTAATTTGTCAGGAAACACAAATCTACCAGAGGAAGAAATACATTGTTTGCTCTAAAAAAAATCCGCTAGACATTTTAAAAAAGAACAAATTTCTAATGATTATTTACACAGATTGTAAATCTGTGCACAGAAAATGCAATGACTTTCATTTTCCACTGTTAATTCTTTTCTGTTTCTATTATTTCTTTATCATAGCATAATAATCTAGAGTTAAAACAGTGAAAATCTGAATGAAATATGTCAAATTTTGAAATAAAATATTGGTTTATAAACCCTAAGTGTAATTTTAAAGTTTTATCATTGGAAACACCCACAGTTTTTATTTGCTGCAGGCTATGCCTCTGCTTCAGGGAATTGCAGGAGATATTAAGGAAATCACAAGTAAGTTCTACACACTTATGTGAGGGTAACATACTCTTCCCCAGACAGCAATGTTTAGGGAAGAATTTAGAGCAAAACAATCTTTAATGTTCTAGAATCTGGGTTTTTTTGTGTTTTTTTTGTTTGTTTGTTTGTTTGTTTTGGTGTGTGTGTGTGTGTGTGTGTAAGGAAATCAGAAGGAAATAAGTTAAATAAATAAATTGAAAAAAAAAGCCTATCCAAAGCATCTCCTTGCAATGTTTTGTTGTCTTCCTGTCCATATTTATGCAGCTGGATAATCAACAGAAAAGGTAATATTTTTTCCATTCAGGGTCCTCCAGGTGAAGTAATTCAGCCACTGCCAATCCAGTCACCCAAAAAGACTAGAAGATCTCCAGATTACATGGTATCTGATGCTGGTGATAATATTCTGGATTATTCTGATGGCATGGAGGAGATCTTCGGTTCACTGAATTCACTGAAGCAAGACATTGAGCATATGAAGTATCCAATGGGCACTCAGAGCAACCCAGCCCGAACTTGCAAAGACTTGCAGCTCTGCCACCCAGACTTCCCAGATGGTATGTTAATATTGCATGACAAAGGCGAACAAGGCTGAAGTGATTATCTGATAAGAAACTTGGGTAGTATCATTAATTATTGGTAGATAGTTAACGTAGTGGCTAAATAAACAATGTCATTAAATCAATTTTTGCAGGTATAAAAGTGTTCTGTTTATAAAGCATGAGTGAAGACATATTCTGTTGGTAAAAAGCCATAATTCTTTAAATAAGTAACCGGATCTAGTTTTAGAAATAAAATTTTCAAGTTGCTAAAAACAGCGCTTGTTTAGAAATGTGGTCTTAGTGTTTCCAGAACTATCCAAACAGGAAAGAGATGAAAGATTGAAGCTATTTAGAACAGTGGAAGTAAAATCACAAACGTCAACGTGCTGGGATAGTTTAGAGCTTTTAAATGAAATGAAAATTATTTAGTAACTATATACTTCAGCTTAGTATAATACAAGAAGTAGGTCTCTCAAAAATTATTTCTTTTATCCTTAGGTACAATAATTTGGCTTTCTGAGTGACCACTGTTTGTTCTGTATCATTCAGCAAACGGATAAGCAAGTTTCTCTGATAGCATTTAATGCTACTAAGCACTAGCTTCACAAAATGCAGAGTAGCACGAATTAGTGGCCGTATTCTGAATGACTATTTTAATTTAATTATTTAATCATTTAATTATTCTGTTGCTTTCTTTTTTTCAAACTGATTTTAATCCTGTGGAAGAGTTTAAGTGAAAGCCAACCGTTGCACACTTTTTAGGTTTCATACTTCTTTTCTATTGCAATAGGTACTTTTTCTCCCAGTTCAAAGCAATATTTTTCTTATTTAAATGGAAGAAAAAACAGATTTTGACAGTTTAATAATACTCTATTGCTATCAGTCTAGATAGATAAATGCAGATGGTTGCCATAAGGAATAGTTTAGAGGAATATGTGCTATATGAAAAGTACACATTTTACAATTCAATACCTCCATAATAATGAATGCTTTTTATAGACCACATTTGTATTCTTCATTTAGCAGTATTTGATTATTGTTTGGAGTTTTTTTCATATCAAAGTAACTTTATTCCGGTTAAAATAAAAGTAAACGCATTCATTAAAATGTAAAATTCTGCAGAGGCAAGAGTTTCAGTTAGGAAGAACTGTTTTCAGTAAACACAGCCCAAATCAACAGAATGTTAAAATACCAAAAATGCTCTGAACTTGCAAAGTGTGCCCTGTATTAAAATACAAAATCAGTGAAAGGATTTGCCATGCTTCATCTAAATCTCCACTTTTTGCCCAAAACTGGATTAGAACACTAGTGTAAGAAAGTAATTTGCTGTCCTGCCGTGAAACTAGCTAGAGATAAGTACTCAGATCACAGAAATCATTATAATTACAATGGCAGATTTTTAAAAGATCTGATTTTTAGTGGACCCTGGATTGACTGCAGCTCTCTTTCATCCCCAGTTTTCATTCACTCCAGCATTGTAGAGTCTGTATGCTCAGCCCTGCCAGTATGTTGTGTTATAATGTCATAAAGCAGCCAAGCACTATGCAGCCACTTGCTCACTCTCCACCTTCAATATGGCTGGATGTGTGAAAGAGAATCAGAAGGGCAAAAGTAAGAGATGAATACACTTTAACTAGAGAAAGAAAACCAAAGGATAAAAAACAACACGTGCACAGAGCAATTGTTCACTAACAGTCAACCAACGTCCTATCACTAGCAGCAGATCTCCTGCCAACCCTCCCAGTTTCATGAGCATGACAACATACAATATGGATTATCCCTTTGGTCTGCTTACGTCAGCTGTGCACTCCCAGCCTCCTCACTGGCAGGCAACTTGAGAAACAGAAAATGACTCTGTGTAAACAGTGCTCATTAATAACTAAAATACTGGTGTGTTACAGCACTATCTTCATTGTTAATCCAAAATATAGCACTATATGAGCTGCCAAGAAGAAAATTACCTCAATCCCAGTCAAACCAAAACACAACCCTGTAGGACTGCTGAAACTATATTCGTGCAAGTTTCAGCTCTTTTTCTTGCTATTTGAGTTCAATATGCATTATTTAATGTGTTTTCATCACCTAAAACAGTCCAAAGTTTCACTTGTGTTCAGCCTCACAACCCAGTAGTAAAAAACAGTTTTGCCTGAGAATTCCATTTCTCTGAATGGAAGCTTTAGGTACTTGACAACTAAAGTCAGGCCCTTTCTACATAGGTTTGCAAATCACTCCAAATATGTACCTCTGCCTTAGGCCATAGTTTATTTCCGCCTAAAGCTGCCTCTGCACTGAGAGTTCTATTACCACAAGTATAAATTATCCTTCAGCTGAAATAGTGTAATAGCTAAATTGTTGAGACCTGTAATGTATGTTTCATACATTATGACCTTCCTACTCCATACTGAAGTCACTGCAGTTCCTCCTACCCCTTAGCAGTATTCTGCAATAGTCATTGTTTTAAATCGAATTAAATGAAAACAAAAGGATGTAGATAAAAATAGACTTTGATCTCAGTGTTATTTTTTATAAACAACAAAAGCAACAAATCACAAGGCAATGTACACATATATAAATGTATGCATATACGTAAATACATATAAAGATTCTTTTTTTTTAGTGGTGCCAGTGACAAGACAAGAGGCAATGGGCACAAACCAAAATGCAAGAGGTTCATAGAATCATAAAGGTTGGAAAAGACTTCTAAGATCTAGTCCAACCATTCACCTACCACCATTACTGCCTACAAAACCATGTACCTAATTACTATATGTACCCTTTCTTTAAACACCTCCAGAGACAGTGACTGACTCCACCACTTCCCTGGACAGCCTGTTCCAATACTTCACCACTCCTTTTGTGAAAAAATTCTTTCTAATATCCAACCTGAACCTCACCTGGTGCAACTTCAGGCATTTCCTATTGTTCTGTCATTAGTTAGCTGGGAGAAAAAGCTGGCCACCACCTCAATACAACCTCCTTTCAGGTAGTCATAGAGTCTCCCCTGAGCCTCCTCTTCTTCAGACTAAACAATCTTAGTTCCCTCAGCTGCTCCTCATAAGACTGTGCTCCAGACCCCTCCCAGTCTCAAAGTGCAGCCTCACCAGTGCCAAATACAGGGGAAAACTCACCTCTCCCTAGTTCTGCTGGCAGTGCTATTTTGGTAGAAGCCAGGATACTGTTGGCCTTCTTAGCCAGCTGGACACACTGCTGGGTTATGTACAGCCAAGAAGCTGAGGTTCCATCAGCGGATCAGGAAGCACTTCTTCTGTGAGGGTGACTGAGCAACACAGTAAGTTGCTCAGTGAGATTGCAGAGCATCCCTACTTAGAGATATTCAAAAGCTGTCTGGGCATGGACCTAGACAACTAGACAACGTGTTTTACGTGTCTCTTAACAGTGGTGTTGGATCAGATAACCCCAGAAGTCCCTTCCAATTTCAACTATTCTGTGATGTTTTTGAAAAGAAAGGGTTGTCTTCTCATCATGAAGATAAAATGACTTCACTACAAATTCTGGAGCACTATTAGGTAAAAAATCTACTTCTTCCAAATACCATTTACATTTTCAAAGGCTTTTCTCATTTGTTTTAGGGGAATATTGGATTGATCCTAACCAGGGTTGTTCTGGAGACTCCTTCAAAGTGTACTGCAATTTCACAGCAGGTGGGGAAACTTGCATCTACCCAGATAAGAAATCTGAAGGAGTAAGTACCACTCTGTGTTTTCACTTGGCTGTTGATAGATAGCACTATACTACTGTAATGCTGAAATAAGCAGAATAATTACACTGTCACATTTTTCATATGTGTATCTTTCTGATTATATTTAAATTTACATAAATCTGAATAAAGCAGTAAAATGATGCACAGAATTGACACACGGCATTTTTTACTTTTGCTTAGATAGCAAATTGCTTTTATGCACATCCTTGTAAAACTTTCACTGCATTCTGGAATGCAACATATCTATGCAGCAGGTTTAAATGCATAATCTAGAGTTTGACATCTAAAGTTATACTCTTATTAAGTTTCTCCTGTGGGTTCATTTGTATCTAGGCAAAGTAGATATAAAACAAACTGTCATTGGTATAAACAGCCTCTAAGGGGCATGTAGTGTAGAGGATGGCTTTCAAAAGTTTTTCAAAAAGAGATAGATATATCAACACCAAAACCAATTAAAACTCTTAATTTAGATACTCCTCACAGTAGCAGTTTATACCAGTCATTTACACTGGTCATCTGATAAGAATCATGTATGCATTAAACAGAATTATCTCTCTTTATAAGCTATCACCTCAGATTCCATGTAAAGTAATGAATCTGAAGACATTCTATTCATGAAAAACATTCTATTTTAGAGCTTTTAAAGACGCTGAAAACACTGAAAGAAGAGCCGTTTTTTTAATATCTTACGTGAAATTTGTTCCAGGTATTTTAAAACCTTCTTATCTGTTAACCCATCTTCTAAATACTTACATCTCCACTGTTCTACCACACAGGTTAGAATTTCATCATGGCCAAAAGAGAATCCAGGATCTTGGTTTAGCGAATTTAAGCGTGGCAAACTTGTAAGTGATTATTACAACACAGAATTATTCACAAATGAAGTACATGTTACGAGCGATCAACAGATCCCAAAGAATCTTAAAATATAGAAATAATAACAAACTGAAGACTTTTCATACTTGGTCCTTTTGTCCTAAATATAAGAGTAGCTCCAAGGCCTCCTGCCACTGGTCAGCAGGAGCCTGCTCTGTACTGTACTGTAAAGGCACAACAATCCCAACAGTCACCTGCAAAGCTGATGGTGAGCATCTGACTTCTGGCAGACCACAAGTCACCACTTAACTGTAGTAAAGCAGCTGGAGTACAGATTTCCTGCTTCAGTCTAGATAACTGGAAACATACTAAGTATGGAAAAATGAGGATGCAAGTTGATATAACTTTTTAATTAACTACAAACACTTTTTTTTTTTGAACTTTAAAATCTCTTAAAAAGGGATGTGATGGTTTATTTTTTTTATTAAGGACAGTTATGTGGCTCTTCCATCAACAGTAATTTTGTTCTGCATTGTAACAAATATTCATGTGGCTTCTTATGTTTTTTAGCTTTCGTATTTGGATGTTGAAGGCAATTCCATTAACATGGTTCAAATGACATTCCTTAAACTACTGAGCGCCTCTGCTAGACAAAATTTCACATACAACTGCCATCAGTCTGTAGCTTGGCACGATTCCTCATCTGACAGCTATGACAAAGCACTAAGGTTCTTAGGATCAAATGATGAAGAGATGTCTTATGACAACAATCCTTACATCAAAGCCCTTCACGATGGCTGCGCAGTAAGTAAAGATTCAGAATTTTCTTCACAAAACCTACTTGTCAATTAAAGTAGAAATCAAACAAATTATTTTTTTTTGCACAGCTCTCCCCTGAGAAAAGCTTTCTAAAGACTTAACTTTTAACAGACTGCTCTTTAGTAGTTTTTAACTAGAACACAGCAGCCCTTTATTCAATTTTTTATACGTACAAGAAATAATAAATATTATGATAAGCCAAGCAACAGAAATAGAACAAACCTAGTATGGATACAGGCTGTCAGCACCAATGTGCAACTAGACTGTTTTCTTGTACGAGCACTATGTAAGAGAACAGAAGCAAACAAGCATAATTAGAGGAAGCAGCCCAGGAGCAGAATATATTTATAGTCATAATAAACATAAGAAACGTAGTAAAAATATGTATGAACTAAGTCAGAACCCACACGTAGTGAACTAATTGCATAGTTAGGTAACATTGTATGTCCTTTTCTCTTACCTATCTATCTATATAATTTTTTTTTTTTAAATCAAAGCCAGCTGAAATTCAGGGATTGCATCTTTTACCTTCCACTCTTAGTTCAACTAAAATTCGAAGAGTAGTCCAAACATTCATCAGCTGTCTGACCACCTCTCCAGTACAGTCTGCTCTCTTCAGAAGCAGAATAGTTTGAAAACAAGAACATTCCAGAGGAATATGATAGTTAAAGCGTCATTAATTATTTTGTAGTTTGATATGAAAGGATTCTGAAGTGAGTTCCTTAGAAATCAGTGACAGAAAATGAGACTTGGAAGTAGTAGGATACATATTTGTCTCTAAGAAACAACTTAGATAAAGGCAGAGTCTCCTCCTCTTAGTAACAAAATTATAATATACAGCTGTTTCATGTCAGTCTTTTTCTATGTCCTGTATCTTTATTTTGCTGTCATTGCCCGCAGTGAATGAGAGTAAAGCTCCAGAGACAATGTAAGCAATTTAGGGTGTAACTTCCACCACTAATCTGAGAATATTCAGATATTCCAGCTTGGATATGCTCATCTGGGCATAGTTGAAAGTGGAATGATATCAGAAGGACATAAGAGACCATCTGAATGAAGTACAATTATTGTAGTTTAATCCAGCAAGCAGCTAAACAGCCTTTTGCTTTTCTCCTAAAACCAAAACACAGCACGATATTAGAAACTGTGATGAAAAACAGTTGCAGCTGAAACTGAGACTACAATCCTGATAACTAAAATAATGAGAAGGCAGAAAGCCTTTCTTAGGAATTAAGAGTGTGCTTTCGAACATCTCTAATTCATCAGTCCTGACAGACTGCTATTTTCTTCCATGCCCAAAAAGCTTATGTAATGTCTTGTAAGACAGAGTCTTTCTTCTTAGAACTAGGTATTTCTTCTCTCTCAGAACTAATTAGTGATTTCTTCACAAGGAAAACATCCTAACTACTGCAAGAATATTATCATAAATTAGGATAGGTGTGAATTCTTTCAGGAACGTTAAATGTCTTATATATGTTTTTTCATTTCTAGGCTTGCTTTAATAAGTCAAAAAGCCATGGGCCGATCTCTTTCTAAAATCAGAAATGTTCCATATCACACTTTTAAAATAAATTTAGAATTTGTAACATCAGGTGCATGAAAGGCAATCATTTATAAATTCCAAATTTCAGAGGTAGCCTATGAAGATCTACAGTGCATACTTACTCCTTTGATATGTTTGTTTTTGCTTCTTTTTTTTTAACAGTCAAGAAAGGGCTACGCAAAGACAGTGATTGAAATCAACACACCCAAAATAGACCAAGTGCCTATAGTTGATGTGATGATCAATGACTTTGGCGATCAGAACCAGAAGTTTGGATTTGAGGTTGGTCCTGTCTGCTTCCTTGGTTAAATTTAAGAAAAAGATCAGATCAACAAAAACGTGGCACTTTGGTGCTACCAGCCTACTTCATGCCACATGCAAGTTTTGAATAAGAATGGCATAGAAAATATGTCTTGCTGTGTACCTATATCTCATCTAGAAAGTAACTGTTGCCCTTGTAGGGCCAGAATCACATGACTTAAACTAATTTTGCAAGGATGCTGTGGCACAGACAGACAACATAGGGCTCACTTTGTCAACGCCCCACCCTACCTTTGGATACCTTTGGTGCTGTTTAAAAAAAGAAAAAAAAAAAAGAACAAATGACATGGTGCTCCTTTGATTACAAAGAGGTGTTAAGAAAGTGTTTAATAAATTGTAATTATTCTATGTACAGTACTATACTGTTATTTCTCTGTCCATTTGCAAAACTTGCATGTGCCTCTAAATTGCATCTGGCTCTTATTTTATAATTACAAAACTACATTGTCAATACTGTTTATGTATTCTGAAAAAATAAAGCTGTAATTGCCAGTGAAGCCATTTCAATTTCTGATTAATAATAAAATCCCTTTGTATATATTGTTGTTGAAGAGCTTTGTTATTTGAAGTCGCCAAAAAACCTTAAGGTGGCAAAACTGGAAGATCTTGAGCAGCACACTCAAATACCCTTTTCTGCTGATATTATTATGTGATGATGAATTTCAATACTGAAAGCACCTTCAAAGGTGTTGTGTTCCATGGTGCTATACCTCAGACCTTTTATTTTCTTTTCTAATTTCAGAATTTCATACAAAATCTGTATATACCTAAAATAAGTAAATTTATATTTTTGGGCAGGGAGAATATGTAAAAAAACAAAAAACAAAAAACAAACAAAAAGCAAACTTCTGTTTAAATCTGTGTGAATTAAATCAGTTAATCAGTCATATAGCTTTCCTTTTTTTTTTTTTTTTTTTTTTTTTTCTTCCCCAAATGTATCTCATGTGAATTTGTTCCTGTTGTGCTTACCTGGTATGCATAAATATTAAAACTGGATTACTGGATTCTAAACAGTTATTTATGGATTTTTGCAGTGTTTATTTACAATTTTAGTAAGCAGTAATGGATGTTTGCTTCCTGAAGTGGACATTAGAAGTTCCACAGAATGGTCCTATAAAATATTTGCCCATCCCATTAATATAAATTATTTTTCCTGTTATTTCAACTGAAGTCCAGGAATGCAATATGTCTAGGTCATGTGATTCTATATAGTTGCTAAGCAACATGAGGGGACTGCTTTCTATAGAGCTGTCTTTGACCCAAATTGTTAAAATTTGCTATTCAAATCTCACCAAAAAAGTTGGTTTGGCCTTCCCTTTGAACACTTCATTCAGGTAGTTGTAAGTAGAAATTGCATTTTAATTTTGCAGCAGAAATCCTTTTGTAATTATTTTTCATAATATATGTAAGACTTGAAAATAAATGTTTGTTTCTGTTTCTTATAAGTTGTTAAATTAAATAGTACTAGCTTCTGCTGGCTCATTTCCAACTGGTACTTTCTCATGCACGTTTATACATGTAAAGATAAGATTTCAAAAGTCAACTTCTTGCTGTTCGTATTTTCTTCTATTTTTGAACCAAAGTTTGTAACTGTCACCTCAAAGAGGAAAATACAAATTTTATTAATAAAATCAAATCTTGTCTACCTGGATTGGTCATTTTGTTTTTTAATGTCCAGAATTCACCTACTGTCATTATGATAACTTCACTCTGCTTCTAGACCATCCAGTCTCCAAATAATAATAATAATAAATAATTTTACCACATGAACTGGAAGGCACTGAGTATATTGCTGGAAAAAGGAGTGTTAATATAGGTGCTGATACTGCTACTGGAAGTATGCAGCAGATGCTATTTATCTAATTTTGCATTTATTTTACATGAATTTGTAGTCACAACAATCCACATAATACTCAACTTCTTTACTCATCCAGTGTTTTATATGCTACAGTGTTTGAGTACTTCCCATGGAAAAGGCTCCCATAATAAAAGCAGGCAAATGATGCTACTAATTGATGGAACACAGAAGACAAAACCTAGACCAGGACCTAGAAACTACTGGAACACAGAATTTCCTATATTTTGTTTTAGATATTTGAAGTATAACTGATGAAGAGTTTAAGCTAGAAATATGTTGTATGTCACCTGGGACTATCCAAGCTAAATTCCTTACTAAAACAAAACTATAAGAGAACAAGAAGCAGTATTTTTCACATCTCAAGCAAAAAACCTGTTTAATTACAAAAACTTTGGACAGTTGGACTTTGCCTCTAAAAGCTGATAAAACAGAACTAGGTCATCATGGGATCTTGAAGTTTCACATTATCTCAGATCAGACTAGCTTGTTTTTCTCTAAGGTTTGCTTCAATCTTCCCTCTAAATAGAGAAAAGCCATAGTGGAGATGTTAGACATTTTCCTCACTGCAAATAAATATGTTGTTGTAACATGACAATGTAGCAAAGTAGCTGGACAGCAATCTCAACCCAATGGACAATATTACACATTGAGGCAACACGCTGTCCAGCATAACATGGACATGGGATGGAGATCTAAAAGACAAGCTACAACTGTAGGAGTATAAATTGTCCTGTGTATATGAGTAGAGCTTCTTCTTCTCTCTCCTTTCCTCTTTCTATCTCAGGACAAGAATATATCAACTTATCATGATCAGCACATCTCTTGGAAAACTTCATCAAATGTATTGAAGATATCCTTTCTATCTTAGTGGGCAATCATTATTGCTGACTCCAGTTATCACCTTGTGAAATAAAAAGTTATAAGCTGTTTCTAAAAAAGTGAGCACATTTATATTGTTCCTCCTTTTCAGCTTTGTTAATTACAAAATAGGGCTTCATGTGCTGATGACTAGTGGGAGATGCTATGATAGCCATCAATTGATTTTCTATTACATGCAGATTCATTTTTCAGTGAATGAACCATCCTCTATTGTATGCGAGACACCAAAAATAACCCAACAGTGACAAAGGCAAGACATTCAATGCCACATCTATTATATTTACCTGGAACATAGTCTTGTGTCCCTTTTCTAGGCATACAAATTATCAAAAAGGCTCATTGTCGATTTGGTAAAAAGCAACACCAGGATTACTGTAAAGGAGCAGACTGTTCTAAAGTTATATATTCTTTTCTTTCCTTTTCAGTAAGGACATCAAAGATTATTAGAGTGAAAGAGGCTATGAACATCCAGACAAGTAGATATACTGCTTTAACAAAAATTGGGCTTTTTTTTTTCCTCTCAGCTGTATGAACGAAGGCTCTGTTCTAATGATAGAGGATGGAGCCAAAGCCCACAATACTACCTTGGAAATGTTTTGCCTAGGTTCTCTCAAGACCTTTGCCAGACCTTGACTTTGTTTCCAGTTTCTCAAGGGTGGAGTTATGACTGCCATCAAAACACAGCTAACTTCAGTAAGACAGACAGGAGTTCTTAAGAATTCAGCTGCAGGACTGGGACCTAACTGTCTTCATTGCTACTTGGTACGGCCTAATATTTATTTATTTACTTACTTAAAAATGAAATTGTAGCTAAATCTTGATGAAGCATAACAAAACCTAGCCAGCAGTGATTAAATGCAGATGAAAATTAAAATTCAATTCATCCAATTTGCTGCCATTATATTATGCACTACTAAAACATAACATATATAAGGAGCAGATGACCAAGAAATCAACCGCCAATCAATAGGATATGATAAAATGTACAAATAAGCAGTCAGTGCTTATGTCAGTGCTGACCATGCGTTGCCTTTCCATGTCTTATATGCACTAAATGAGATATTACAATCCAGCAGTAGTAGTTTTCAATTTTCTGATTATTGGCCATTGCACACCCAAGTGACTAATGCTATTGCTTTTTCTCATGCTCAGCCTTTGTGTTCAAAGCAACATAAGACTCACCAAGGATAGTCACTCTACCTTCTTTGCGATTCTAGTACAAAGAACATCTGCCAAAAACAGCACCAATAAGCCCTGAACAGATAACAAGAAAAAGAAAAATTAATCATTCTTTGGATGGTATGGTAAACAGAAGAGTTTATGGAATATTTATTATTTCTCCCGTACACATCAAAGAAGACTGAATGTAAGTATTGGAACTATTTAACAGCTTGCAAAGCCATCTATTTTTCTTATTTCTTCTCATTATATGCCTTGAACAGTGGCCAGTAGAATTCTTTGTAAGGAGAACTTTGTTTTTTTCTCTAATCCTAGTTCTCTAAGCTGGATCTTTTGTTGTTTTCACTGTAGCAAGGAAGTAATGGGTAAATAAAAGAATTTTCCTGAGTCCACAGGGCTGCGACAACAAAGCTCTCCAGAGTCCCAGGACCATCCAAATGACCAGGTATGAATACAGAAGCCTCCTGTTCTGTTCTCATCTCACGCTGAAATACTTTGTACACAGAAATACTGAAAACAACCATGGCCATGCAGCAACAGCACTAGCCCATGACGTTGTGCCTGGGAGGCCAGCCTCCAAACTCTGCAGTTCTCTGGCATAAGAGCAAAATAAGCATAGGTAGAGTGGAAAACCTGAGTTTTTAAATGGAAGAGCACATGACAGCTAAAAACGATGATGAGAGGCTTAACATTTAAGACCAGGTACACGAAAGAGGAAGAGAGGACTATGGGAGAGGGCGAAGAGGCTGAGAAATATATACAGAGCCACACTAACCTGCTGTCAGAGTCATCAAATGTAAAGCCTATTTGGGTGATCCGCACATCCACATTAGGCTTAGAAACGAAGCATCTTCTGACATTGCTTGTGTCTTGTACCTAACACAGAGAAACAGACGGCTGTCTGTCTGACAACTGCCTGTACAACAAAGTCACATGAAAACTACAGGAAGATCAGTTCACATTGATGTCTGTGAAACCTCAAAATTGGTCCATTTAATCTTATAAACACATCAACCTCAAAACTAGCCACAGTATCTTGAGGATATCACTGGAAATCACTATTTGATCATGATTGATGTTGTGTCTTTCCAGGAACATTTCCCTGGAGAAAGCAATAAATAATAATAATGGTAAGAACAGTACAGATTAATTGATAGCTGAAAGATGTTCCAGCTAAAAGATTCTTGGCTATTCCAAGGCATTATGAGTTCTGCATGCTTGCATTTTTTTCTCATGTTTTGCATAATTTCTGATGACTGTATGCACAAGTGTGCAATGCAGAAACAGCAGCTAGCTAGCATGATTGCTCATTGAATTTAATAAGTAGGTTAGAATCACCTACTATAAAAGTAAAATACAGGCAAATTAGAATTTTGGAAGCCAAGCAAAGGGTTGAAACGTATGTATGCACAGTTAGTTAACACCTTTAATATACACAACAATACATCCTTTACACAGATATACAGCCAGTTTAGACGCATGTTACCTGAGTGGAACTCAACTGCGGCAATGTGTGAAATGATATCTTCAACAGTAATGAGACATAACTCAGAGGAATCAAACCCACCAAAGTAGTTTAGGGCTCTCCTGCCCTTGCAACACTGCAATATTTAAATTATGTATGGAGTGGTAGGAAAGGGCTGCATGCTCTCTAGCTATTTTAGTGCAGAGAAGGAATGCTGCACTTGATGTGTGTTTTCAAACCTCTGCGCACAGACGTGAGCTGACTCCCACCCCCAAGAAAAGCACTGTTACAAGGAAAAAGGCACAGAAGCGTAAATCTCGGGATCTGCATGCAATGTGAGGATTAAAAAGCAAGATGAAGATAACTAAGAACAGGTAACTGAGGAAATATTTACGCTAAAGACAGCTGAGCGAGTGGCAACTAGTTTTGGTTTTTTGGTTTTTTTTTTCTTAGCAAAACAGGAACCGAGCAAAAAACCTCTACAAAGGTAAGTGTTTGATTTGAAGCTGGTAGCAAGGGCTTGTTTCAGTCACACAATCCCGGCCTTAGCAGGACCAGAGAGACGGCACCAACGCAGTGTCGTTAGCTGCTGTCTGCTCGCAGCCTCCCAGGAGCGACAAAGCTCGCCCCAAGGGCAGCTGCTTTGCAACTCCTGAGGTAACTGCTGGCTGTGTTTGTGAAAGCGATGTACCCTGCTTCTCCTGCCTACCGACAGCTAGCACGTACCTGTGAGCTGATCTCCAAAGATCTGGGGGTCTGAGACTGAGAAACCTTATTGAGAAGAGGGAAAATATGGCCCTTTGTTGTCTTCACCTAGGATCTTTGGTAGAAAGGGCTGCACAGTTCTGCACAGCTGTTGGACTTCTGACAGCAGGTATGCAAATAATTATATTTAAACTTGCTACTTGTTTTGAAACAGAATAAAGGCTTAAACACTGACAAGCATTCCCTTGAGACAGGAGTCAAATGAAGCAGCTCTTGGTGGATGTGACAGTACTTCTTTCACATAATCTCTTCCTCTGACGGCTTTGATTGAAAACTAAGCCTTGCTCAGGGTCCTGGAGCACAGCCTGGAAGCTTCTTTCAGTTAATTAACTCTCAAATTAACTGCGGCTGGATCTCATAACCTCCAAACAATGCTTCCAGAATCCTTCTCCTATTGTCTTGATTTATCAGGTTAAATTCACCTTTTTGACGTGACACCCATTAAACAGTGTAAAAGGGAAGCAGAAGATTTATCACCCAGAAGTGAAAAACAAGCATACCATCC